ATATCAATGATTCTTCTCAGAAGCATAGACGTTGTTTCATTTGCTGTTCCAATTCCAGTTTGAATAGAAGATATGTATACAATCCTTATGTTTGTATCTAAACGAATTACTCAGAAGCAACCTCAACTTTCATTTCCTTAAACCATTTTCAAGTGGAAGTATAAAGAGGAGTCACGCCTGCCAAATAATTATCTGGATTTCAAAATCAGTAGAAATTTCTCCCAAAATATTTTATGATGAAAGTAGGAATGTGAAAATTGACTTTATAGGAATGTCACTAATTTCAACTAAATATTCTTTTCATATTATAGTTAGAAAAAACTAAATATTATTCCTAAAAATTTCTTCACATCTGACCTCTTGCCTATCTGTTTCGATTTTTCTTCAGCACACCCAGAATAGCCATTCCTTTCATTCCTAATCTTGCAGTCTTCGCTATTTCAAAATCTTTGGCATCCGGGAAATTCCTTCCTGTTAGCGTTCTGGGGAAAGTGTCCATTGGCTTTTGCTGGAAACCCACCTTTCCAAAACTTTAAATTAACGTAAAGAGTACAGTTTCTGGGTTGTTTTTTTGTTTTTTTCAACCTTTGCTGATTTTTTTTTTTCGTAAACACAGACTCCAGGCTTCATAATTCTTAAACACACAGGGAAAATGACGTTCAATTCCATCAGCCAATAAAGACAGAGATTATGAGCCTATGGCCAATGGGTGCAGTCTGGGGGCGGCGCTTAGAGCAATTAACTGTCAGTGAGGCTGCGGTTGGTCTTAGATGTTCTGGAGCGAACAAAACCGCTGCTCTCCACATCTTGTGTCCGTACCAGGATACTGTTCCTAAGAGTATTGGATGGTGAGCCCTCCTCTAGTTTCTCTTTCTGAAAGTTGACCTTTCCCACTGGAATTTTCTCTTTCAACCTCTCTACCCCTCTTAGAGCAATCGAGAGCTTTCCCAAAGGTCAACCAGCCCCTCCGTTTGAATGTCCACCCCTGAGCTCCTGCCCTTCGTCCATTATCCTTTTACCCTCTTTCCAAATTATTCACCAGCATGAAGGGGGCACTGAAAAAGAAAAGTCTAGAGGGAAGCACAGGGTGCAACGAGCGTCCTCTGGTGTCTGCAGAGGACACTGAACTGGAGGAAGGACTCTGCTGAGCAGAGCGGTCTTAGGAGAGCAATGGGTCTAAGGAGACCCCCAGCCTCCAGAGTCAGTGTAATAGGTACAGACGATTGAGTATGAGCTTTGCCGTCCGTGAAGACTCATGGGACCCCACAGTGTCCTCTTTAGGATACTTTCATGACTGATTTCTTGAACATGCAGTAATTAAAAGGGGCAAAACAGCTCGCCGTTTTCAGAGACAAGCTGAATTTGTGTAACTTCCATTCCACTGGACAGTTTCTCAGAGCTGGCGGACTGATTACTGGGGCACCTGCACGCTGTTTTTGACAAGAAAGTTAATAATTACTGCCATACACAGAATTGAGAAACTAGTAACTAATTGATAAGCTGATGCACAGAACTTATGTGGTAAAATACCATTTCCTTAATGATATTTGGACTCATGTTATTTAAAAAAAAAAAAGATTTATTTATTTATTTGAAAGGCAGAGTTACAGAGAGGCAGAGGCAGAGAGAGAGAGAGGTGTTGCATCTGCTGGTTCACTCCCTGAATGGCCAAAACAGCCAGAGCTAAGCCAATCCAAAGCCAAGAGCCTGGAGCTTCCTCCAGGTCTCCCATATGGGTACAGGGGACTATCTTCCATTAATTTCCTAGGCGCATTAGCAGAGAGCTGGATTGGAAGTTGAGCAGGCGGGACTTGAACCAGTGCCCATATGGAATGCCAGCACTGCAGGTAGTGACCACAGCATCAGCCCCTGGAGTCATAGTCTTATTCAAAGCTGTCAACAGTCAATTTAAAATGAAAAGTTTTGATTGTATTGAAAACTTGTTTATTCCCACTGCTACTTTTTTTTCCCTCATACCTTTAAAACATTAAAACTGGAGTGTTTAAGCATTTGCGAGCCAATTTAAGATGAGATCTCTTCTTAGGTAAAGATTCATTCGAGGATTTTGGACTAGAGGTTGAGGAAGTCAATCTGAATATTTAGCACATATTCTTAGTTGTTCTGTACTTGATCATATCTATTCCTAAATTTCAGAAATAATCAGGATTTGGGGTAATTTTATCATTTTCTGATAAGAGTTTATTAGGACTGGATGCCCTAATAAACCTTATAAAGGTTTTCAAATCATTTTAGAAGTGTAAAAAAATGCTTGTGGGAACATGTATCCCTACTTACAAAGGGACTACAAAAAGTTTGTGGTAAAGTAGAATTAAATAGCTGCATAATTTTTTCATAATATACACTTCCATGAAGTTATTGAAGACCCCCATGTGCACAGATTTCATTTCTTTCGGCTCAAAATAGACCTATATTTTGATTTCATTTAACTTCTTTTTTTCTTTTTGAGATAGAGATCTGTTTATCCCATCTTTTTGTTTGTTTGTTTGTTTTTTAGAGTGGTAACTTCTTGATGTACCCTTGTATGGTTTAGCAAACAATAGATTCCTTAACAACATTAAATTCTGGAAACATGTAAGAATATGCAACCATTCTTTTTTTGGCCAAGTCAGTATGCTCCAGCATGTTTAGTCCTGGATTAATAGTGGGCAAGGTAAGAGTTGGCATTACAATGTGATGTATTTTCCTCAATAGTTTGTTGTTAACTAACGCAAGTATTATTGCTCAATCAGAACACTCTTTCCAAATAGCACCGATGTCTCCTAAAGTAGTCCCTCTTTAGGATCATTGAGCTGATCCTCTGAGGGTAGCACTGAGCCAGAAGCGTCATTAAAATCCTCCAAATGATTTTTTGTGTAGCCAAGTTTGACAATCTCTGTCTTTAACTCACAGTTGAGCTTGTTCTGCTCTCTCACTCATTTTACTACCAAGATCTCCAGATCTACTAGCTCTACATAAGTGAAGATGAAGTTAAGGAGCTTGGAAATCCTTTGAGGAATCTAGGACAGGGTCTGAAACTGCCAGCCTGGGCTCATTCTCACCTCATGCTGGCCTAATGCTCATAGCTAAGGCTTGTTGTTCTCCTCTTGGGTGTAAATAATCGCACAGATTATCACCATCACCATGTAAACCATGACACAAGCAAGGTAAAACCAAGGTCACAATGTAACCCATATACCAACAGTCCCTACACTCCGCTAAATGAGTGGCTGCTGTTTCCGTACATGTTTCAGCTTTATCTTAGCTCTAGCCTACTCTCCCTATATAGGTAAGATTTATCCAGATGGCCAACCAAAGAGTCATCCTGGCTTTCTGACAGCACTCAATCTAGAGTGAACCCTCCCTTGATTAGAGCCTCTCCAAAGTTACGCAGCCAAAGTCCAGGTCCTATAATAAATTCTTTAGAACATCCTTTGTTCTGAGACAACCCATCCTCCTCATGATGAGTAGTTTTTCTCAGTGCAACAAATATACAGGAAGTTGGAATTACCCAGAAGGGAGAGGCATCCTTGATTTTGCCAGACTTTGAGATATTAGAAATAAAGGAGAAATATGTGTGTGTGTTTTTAAATAGAAAGTCAAGAAAAAAAATCTTACTTTCCTTTAATCCTCTCTGAGTTTTGCAGACAGACGTGGAGTCAGATTCAGACTCACTGTGAGATACAAGAAGATGAGTACTGATAATGCCATTAGTTTCAATTCCAATCCTAATAATAGAAGAAATACTGGCTCATGGCTGGAGCTGTTCAGAGTTTTGTTTTTGAATAATGCTGAAGATCTCCCTGAAATCATCCTAATATTGTCCTTGATCTGCACCATCGGAGGTAAATATCACCCTTCCTTTGAGTTTAGTCCATAGATTTATCTTATAAATGCTAACATATAGAATTAAGGAGAACAGCAACACTAAGAGATTAGAATTTTTTTTCCCTAAATTCATACCTTTGTCCCAATATTTTCAACAAAAGGTAGCAAACAATAATCTTCCTGAGAGAAGTCCTGAAGAATCTGATTCCCTCTTTGTTTACTTCCTTTGATTCAAAGTGTTCACATCTTATTTGCTAGGTCAAGCAAATAAGATTAGGTCAAGCAAATAAGATTAAGTCACATCTTATTTGCTAGGTAAAGCAAATGATTAAAATGATGAGGATAACTGAAACAAATAAGCAGACAAACAAGGGTGGGGATAGAAGATCTCATGCGTTTTATGCAAATAACAAATTATTCTTAAGTCTTATGGTAAGAAAAGAACATTGTAGAAACAAAAAGAAAATATTGGCTTTGCCTTGATTAGCACTTGACTGAACACTTTCTTTGACCTCTGTATTACAAAGTGGAAGAAATTAAAGGAAAGGAACTGTTGCAAATTTTATTGCACTTTGACAATAATAAAGTTTAATATTTACCATGGGCTTTTGATGTGTAGGTGGTTACTGTTTTTTTTCTTTCTTAAAGCAAATAACCCTAACTAGTTTCTCATTGTTCCTCGCCTTGAAGGAACCTCTTATTGTAGGATTGCTAAATCTTTGATTCATGGATTTACAAATGCTACTGTAAATATTCCAGTAGTAACCCAAGAAGCAATGATTGTTAGCAGTGTTTATTAAGACTGCAAGGCAAGGCAATATACATCCCAGGAAAGGGAAAGCAGGAACCTGGTACATTAACAATCACACACATTCTACTTAGCTATGGGGGTGGGTTTGAATGATAGGAAATTAGCAATGAAATAGTATTTCACTGTCTTTTATATTAAGAAATTACATTACATTAAAAGTTCTACAAATGTGATATTTAATTACCTTTCCATAACAACATGTTTTTTCTAGCATTTTTAAACCTGCACTTGAAAGACTTTCCAATTCCTCTCCCTGTGATACTATTTTTACTTGGATGTAGTTTTGAAATTCTAAGTTTTACTTCTTTCCAGGTATGTATAGCAAATGGAAATTTTGCACTATATCTAAGAATCAAAAAAAATACAAAGATAGCTTAAGAAAATTTGCAAAAATACTTGTCTCCTCACTGCTTTGCCAGTCAGTAGATGTTTATTGTGTAGATAACATCACATCAGATGTGTAGAAAAAGGACCCAGGTCCAAAAAAGTGGATATACGCCTAAACATTGAATACACCCTGGGTCTGAAATGATACAGGGAGTTCAGACATAGCTACTGAGTTCATTTTCCATGAACATTTTAAAGAGCCATGGTAGTTAGAGTAGCAAAATAGTTGGAGACATTTGGAGTCAGGTAGAGAAGGGAAAGAACTGTTACTCAAGGCACACAGATGGCATTGTGGACACATTAGACAGTTCTCTAGCGCAGGAGTTTTTCACAAAGCTTTTTGTAAAAAGCCATGTTATAATTATTTTACATTATATAAGATGTAAAGCCTCTGTCAAAGCTGTTCAATTCTACCCACTTAACTCAAAAGCAACCATAGATAGCAAAGTACGATTGCTGAACTCCAATAAAACTTCATTTACAAAAATGAACGTTGGTCCAGATTGGTTCTAGCACCCATAGTTTGCCAGTGACTGTCCCAACCAATCAGAGCAGATATGAGAACCTGTGTGAAAATGATTGAATTTAGCCAGTGATGTTTATAGAAAATACATACTTATGTGTGAACCAGAGCAGGTTATTACTTCATTTGTCATAAACAGGTTTTATAATCATATAATTTTGGCATAAATTTGTCAGTAACTCAAGAACAGTGTAAGGTCCAAGATGCCACATCACCTGTTTGGTAGTAAGCTAGCTTACCACAGTTTCACAGTCCTGGCAAAAGACATGACACTTCTGGGCCAGAAACAAAAGACTTTATTATTCACATCCTTAGCAATAAGTAGAATATGTGCATTTTCCTATGCCCGCTTCTTGAACCCCAGTCCCTCAGAGACAAGAAAAGAGAGCCAGCTGAAATGTGCACAGATGGTGGGTCGCATTACAGGAGATGAAACCAGAACTCAGAAAACCCAAATCATTTATAATGATAGTAAGTTTCCTTGCTTTTTAACCCCATTAAAACACATTCTCTTTATTACATCGGACAATAAAATAAACCTGCCCTTGGCTCTGGAGGAAGACACAGATTCCTCTTAAAAGGCTGTTAGCCATATAAACATTCATGAAAAGATTGTCTTGAAGAAAAGCAATCACTACATTCATTCATAAGAAACAGAGAAAAAAAAGATCCAAGGGGAATTATTTCCCAAATGCAAATTCATCACCTAATACAGTATGTACTATTTCCTTAATGAATAAAATTTGAATAGATGCCCACAATAGGATTTACTAATACTAGCTACATTTTTTATGATAAGCATCATTATTTATTCCCAAAACTGCAATAACTTTCCAGTCTTTATCTCTGAAAGTCTTTTTATTCTTTCCACATACATCTATATATATGGCTACATATACCTACATCTATATAAATCATGGCTAATTACAGTTTCTGGAATTTGATAGAACCAGTTATTCCTTTGTGAATTTTGTGCATGGTAGTTCACCTATCTGAAATCTCTGCTTCCTCTTGTAAGCCTGGAAATCCACTATATATTCTCTAGTACCATGTCAGTGTGTTTCCTATACTAGATATTTAATATTTATAACTGATAATCTGATAGAAAATTATGAAAATTCAACATCAGTTCTTACTATCCTGTGATGTATTTTTTTAAACTGTGTTGCTAGAGATAAAAGTGCTTGACAGATATCTCATGCTAACAGATGGATGAACAAAAGAAAAAAATATTTTTATGTTACTAGATCCAAAGCTATGCAGATGCCATACAATGGATGAGTCCAGACTTATTTTTCGGTATATTTACACCAGTAATTATCTTTAATGTTGCATTTGACATGGATGTATACATGCTCCAAAAGTTATTGTGGCAGGTAAGCGCTCTTTTTCACTAATATCATTCACTCAAGGACCACATGATACCTATGCTATCTACCTACCACATGCAGGTCAGATTTTTTAAAATTTTGCTCTAAATAGACAGCAAAGAAGACAGAGAAAATTAAAAGGAATGAGAGTAGTAAATTTAGTTTCTTATGTTAGTGAATAAATCATTTTCTTGACAATTGTCTATTGAAGACCCAGGGGATAAAAGCAAGGAGGAAAAAAAAGTAATTCTGAAAAATCTGACTGGTAGAACTTTCATATCAATTATCATTTTATTTCTGAGATGCCAGCAGAGAGCTATTATGAAAGACAGTGGCTCCAGTAGAAGGGACTTGCTGAGAAAGTCATGTTTTACATTCCCATCATCTGAAGTTTCCTACACCCAGAAGTAAAAGAGCAGAAGCAGCAAAGGCGACTTCACAGACGCAGCAAGATTCCTACTCCACAAGCCATGGGATATTTTAAAGATTTTTTTAAAGTTTTATTGGAGGGAGGGGTGGTGTGGAGAGAGATGCTTGTTCACTCCATAAGTGGCCACAACAGCTTGGGCTGTACCAGGCTGGTGCCAGAAACTCCTTCCAGATCTCCTACAGGGGTGGCGAAATTCAAGTACTTGCATCATCATCCGCTGCCTCCCAGGGTGCATCAGTAGGGAGCTGGATAGTGAGCAGAGTAACCAGGACTTGAACTGGCATTCCATATGCGATGCAGGTGACACAAGTGGTGGCTTAACCGACTGCACCACAATGCCCACCTGTATCAGGAAAAGACCCTGAAATAAAATACTTCAAATCATAAACAGGAATTAAATTTCCTTCAATGTAATCAAAACAGTTTTGTAAGTATGAGGCCATTGCCTAAATTGTTTAGAAACAAAAGTACTAGAATAATTTATATTCTAAACCAAATGCAGGCACAACAAGTTCAGACAAATCACAAAAAGATGAAATTGCAAGACCAAAGAACTGAAAGTAGCTTGTGTTGGCTCAGATGAGCTCTGCTGAGCCCTTTCGTAGATCCGTGTTGCAGACAGGGGAAGTAGTTGGAGCAGGATAAGCTAAATGGCCCCACACCTGTGTCTGTTTGTAAGCGGGCACTCTTAGTGCTGGCTACATTTCTGATAATCCTGATTATCAGCTTTTTAAATAGAATACAAAAGCAAGTTGACATTTTATTGTAAATTTTCTTTGCAGATACTTTTAATTACGATTCCCGGCTTTGCGATTAATTATATCTTAATCCTTTGGTACCTGCAAACTGTGAATAAATTATTTTTGAAGACCATACCATGGTTCTTATTTGCTACTATCCTTGTGAGTTCAGATCCTATGCTGACTGCAGCTGCTATAAGAGATCTAGGTAGATATATCATTCTCTTTTCCTATTTTGAAAATGTAATGTTATAAAATCAACTTGTCTTCATGTTAACACCTTTTCTTTGTGGTGGCTTTTCCCTGTGTAATGTGATGTTGTGAGGGATTGGGGATTGAGTGTTGAACAGAGGTTCTGCAAGTGGTGGTTACAACAGAAGGAAATAGCTGTGATGCAATTACTTAGTATCCCTCCTCCCTAGAAAGCATTATATCCAGTTGCAGCAAAGGGCCAGGGATCATTTAGAATCTTTGATCTCCCTTGAGCTAGAAGAACAGTTCTGGGACATTACAATATTCTGTGTAGGCTGTGGTAACACGTCTGGCGCCGGATATTTCTTTTCTTTTGAAAGCAGTCACTAGGATAATGATAATTTTTAAATTGCCTTTGGAGTCACTGTCACCGTAAAGACCAAATGCCTGAAAAGTTATAAGCAATAAAATTACCAATCATGTAATGTTTGCAGTATATACTTTTAAAGGAGACAGAAATCTATGTTTAAAATTAAGATGCCTAATTAATTTAACCCAGAAAACCAAAAAAGAAAGAAAAGAAAAATCTAAGTGTGCCTCATAAAGAAAAACATCCTAATTTCCCCCTCAGTCACTTTTCAATCATGATCGCTAGAAAAATTGCTTTCATATGGAATATTAACATGGCATATCCATGCACATACACCACATACATTCTTTTAAATTTTATTTTCACTCTATAGCTAAAGGAAAAACAATTATTAGAGGCGAGTAAAAATAGGGTAGGGGAGACACAGCAAGTATAAATACGTGAATAAAGGAAGACTGACATAACTTGATTAAGAGAGCAAGGTGGGATTTTAGAAGGAAGGGCCAGCAAGTCATTATCTAACCCACAAATCTTGTCTCCATCTCCATGCTCTCTTACAGTGTACATCCTTACCTCTATATAACTTGGCCAGTGTTCGGCATTTTTCTATTTAAAAATAATTGGGGGAGTTCAGTGATACCTGAGACCTGATCTCACATGCCCCTAAACTTCTTAATTTGTAATATAGTATTGTACGGCTTTTCTAGCCTGCCACTGTTGAATTTAAATAATCTATTAGATAATCTTGGGATACCTTGCGAAGTTACTCTTATAAATTTTGGCCATCTTGCCATTACTTTTGGAACTTTTCTTTTCACTTTGCATCTTTCAAAAATATTTTTAAAAGTATTTTCCATTGTAATATTTTTGCCAAAACTTATAAAAACAAGATGTATAACTATATATTTTACATGTATGTCAATAATGTAAATTTTATAGATTTATATATGGATATAGATATCCTCAAAAAATCTGCCCAAGACTTCCAGGGGAGTATATGACTACATTCACATGTTTGTGAGCTTTTTGTAAAAGGTCTTTAATTCTTCTGTGCCCATGTCTTTTATTTATTTCCAATCATTTTTTGCAAAACTACTAATATTTTGTAAAATGGAATAATTACACAAGCATATCACTGAAGTCTTGGTGAGAAAGGAACAACTGCAAATGCAGTGGCTTAAAACAGCAGTTATTGCAATTTCTCATGAGTCTGGGACTTCCGATGGCATGGACTGGACTCTGCTGATGTTGGCTAGGTTCACTACTGCATCTACAGCCAGCTGGCAGGTGGTTTGTGGGCTAAGGGAACCTAGCATGGCTCCAACTGGGAAGATCTGCCTTTCCTTCATGGCTCTCTCAATGTTATTCAAGAGGGTAGCCAGGAAATGCTCTCACTGTGGCGGGAAGTTTTCAGAGCAAGGAAGCAGTCTCTACCGCAAAGGACATGGCTATAGGAGAGAAGAACTAGAACATCAAAGCCATTGAGTCTCACAGGACAGACGGCTTTGACTTTTCTTCTTTTCTATTAGCCCATGTATTGTAATTAGGTTGTGGTCATAGTTACAGAGTGTTCATTCACAGAATGGACTTTTGCATTTCCCTCCTATGGAATTTAGAAAATCACTAAAAATGTTCAGAATTATCCTGTTGCCACTACAGGCACAATTCATGGCAGAGGCAAGGGAAAACTGATAGCTAAACGCGGAATGCTGTCATAAATAGAAAACAATTAGAATGTAGATAAAACCAAGATGTGCTCCATTAATGGAACTTGACTCCTATAACCACAGAAAGACCTGTGTGTGAAAGGCAGGTAGTTTGGAGCTCTCACTAGATTATCTGGGCAATTCCCTTAATACTTAAGTGCTGGGTTATAAAGTCTTGATCTTTGATTTACTTTATCCCTCAATCATTATTTTCTGTGTTGCTTTAAATATATCTAATTTATAGTGCATCCATTTATATAGGCCAAATCGCTGAATTTGAAGAAATTTTAGGCCAGCGCCGCGGCTCAATAGGCTAATCCTCCGCCTGCGGCGCTGGCACACCGGGTTCTAGTCCCGGTCGGGGCGCCAGATTCTGTCCCGGTTGCCCCTCTTCCAGGCCAGCTCTCTGCTGTGGCCCAGGAGTGCAGTGGAGGATGGCCCAATGTCCTTGGGCCCTGCACCCGCATGGGAGACCAGGAGAAGCACCTGGCTCCTGGCCAGCACACCGGCCGTGGCGGCCGTTGGAGGGTGAACCAATGGCAAAAGGAAGACCTTTCTGTCTCTCTCTCTCACTGTCCACTCTGCCTGCCTGTCAAAAATAAACAAAAAAAAAAAAAAGAAAAGAAATTTTATATTTTTTCTATACTTTGAAATGAGGAATGGCAGCTCTAGTTAATTATCTTACTTAATATAAATAGAATGGACCATAGTTAATTTAGCAGTGAATTATGAATATCTAACTTAACTTGCAGTTGATAATATAATTAAATTTCCTTTAAGTGAGTTTTTAAAAATGAATAAAGTTTGATATAGTAGTGGAAATTGTGTGAGATAAATCCATAGCTATAAATACCTTTCTACCTGCTAATATAAATTTATTATTTAATATTAATGAAATTGTTCTTATTTAAAAAAATCTTCTCCTTCTCTCTTTGATACACACAGGTCTTTCTAGAGGCCTCACCAATTTAATTAATGGAGAAAGTCTGATGACCTCTGTTATATCATTAATTATATTTAACAGTGTTGTAAATACTAACTTCAGAAGACAACATAAGACAAACAGTACTTTAGGTAAGCACCTATTTTTTTCTTAATTACTTAAAAATCAGAATGCTTTATTTCTGAAAACTGACATGGATTTTTTAGTATCTTACCATAAGTCGTACTCTTAGAAATATAATACTCAGGGGCCAGCATTGTGGTACAGCAGGTTATGGCACTGTTACAATGTTGACATCCCATATTGGAGTTCTGTTTGAGTTCTAGCTGCTTTATTTCTCATCCAGCTCCCTGATAATGCACCTGGGAAAGTGGTGGATGACGGCCAAGTATTCGGGCCCATGCCAAACATGTGGGAGATTCAGTTGGAGCTCTGGACTCCTGGCTCTGGCCTGGCCCAGCCCTGGGTCATTGTGGTCATTTAAGGAGTGAACCAGCATATGGGAGATCTCTTTCTCTTCCTCTCTATCATTCTGTCTTTCCAATAAATAAAATAAATCTTTTTAAACAACCAACAAAAAGGAATTGTGTAGTGATTCACTCTTTATATAACTCTACCACACATTCCTTATTTTAGTTTTGTCATGAGGTTTGATAGGGACTTTCCATGAGGATGCTTATAACAGCAGCATCCCACAGGCCTGATACGAATCAAAATACTAGACCACAAGAACAAAAGATGTTTTAATTTTTTTAAGATTTTATTTATTTGAGAGGTAGAGTTAACAGACAGAGGGAGTGCCAGAAAGAAGGGTCTTCCATCAGCTGGTTCACTCCTCAAATGGCTGCAATGGCCAGCACTGGGCTGATCCAAAGCCAGGATCCAGGAGCTTCTCCTAGGTCTCCCATGTGGGTACAGGGGCCCAAGCACTTGGGCCACCTTCCACTGCTTTCCCAGACCATATGTAGAGAGCTGGATTGGAAGAGGAGCAGCCAGGACATGAACTGGTGCCCATATGGGATGCTGGCACAACAGGCAAAGGTTTAGCCTACTATGCTACAGCATCAGCCCCCAGGTCTTGGATTCTAACCTATGGGGTGTTGGTGTGCTAAGCATCTAAACCACTGCACAAATACCTGTCCCTTAGGGTCTTTTATAAGAGCACTCATCCCAGTCATGAAGGTTCCACTCGCATGGTTGATCACCCTCCAAAGGCACCCCCACCTCTTAATCCCATCATGTTGGGAATTAAGCTTTCAGCATATGAATTTTGAGGGGACACATACATTCTTAGCAGATAATAAGATGAGAAAGATATACTTCCACTTCTCAGGTAGCTTACCAGCTAATGGGAAGAAGGCACTGTGAAGAAATGGTACACAAATTACTGCAGGTACAGTAAGTGCTTTAGAATTTCAAAGAGACAAATGTTCCTTGAAGGGATTAAGAAAAGCAGCTTGTGGAGGGTGATGTGGCCTAGTGGGTTAAGTCAACACTGGAAACCCATATTGAAGTGCCAGTTGGAGGCCTGCCTGTGCTGCTTATGAACTAGCTTCCTGCTAATGTGCTTGGGAAGGCAGCAGAAGATGGCCAAAGTAGGTGGGGCCCTGCCACCCACATGGGAGATCTGGATGGAGTTCTTCCTCCTGGTTTTGACCTGGCCCAGCACTGGCTGGTGCTGCCACTTGGGGAGTAAACAAACAGATGGAAGCACTCTCTCTCTCCCTCTCTCTCTCTGCTACTCTGACTTTCAAATAAATAAGCAAACAAATCTTCAAGCAACTTGAAGGCTGGGTAAGATTATGACAGATGGAAGTAGTAATAAGAAAGAACAATCCAAGAAGATGAGAAACGAAGGTGGAAACGTTCAGGGTAAAGTTGGAATGGAAAATAGAGTGAATTTAGGCTAGAAAAATAGGGTGGGACCAGTCAGAGGGTCTTAGGTGGCAGATTAATAAGTTTATCATTAATGGGCAAGTCCTTGGGTTTCCTCTGTGTAGGTGAGTACCTACCAGAGCTGTTTTGAAAAGAGTAATCTGCAAAGAGATGGAATAGAAGTTGAAACACTCATTATGATGAGACTCTCTTACCTAAGGTAGGAGCTTATTAGAGGGTAAGCAGAGATGGAAATTTTGGCTAAGGCATAAGAGTGAAATAACAAATCTTCAAGCAATTTGAAGGCTGCTTAAGATGTGGTAAATCTTGTTCATTCATGTGTACAGTCAATGATTATTTATTGAGTTCCTATCATAACGAGGCACTGCTGCTGTTAGGTGCAAGAGAAAAAGGAAGACTAAGAAAGGCCAGGTCCCTTCTCAGGGAGCTTGCCGTCTAATGAATGAGATAGATGACGAATCAAACAAGTAATTTCAAACTGTCATAAGTTTATTTAAAAAAGAAAAGAGCAAGGATTGTAAGACTTTTTTAATAAGGACAGATAACAAATAATTTAAGCGTTGTAGACTGTAAAGTTTCTGCCATTGTAGCACCAAAACAGCCACACACAGGGCATAAAGGAATGGGCATGGCTGTGTACCAATAAAACTTTATATACATAAGTGGGTGGAGGTTGAATTTGACCAACAGTCTGAGTCTGTCGTTGGCTGACTCATAATACAGTGGTAACCATTCCAGTTATAAGATCAACTGTTGAGGTAAGGCAGTGCGTGTGTTCAAGTGACACAGAGGTACTAGCCTAACACCATGGTCAAAATGCCAGTGTTGTTCACTCACTCGATCTCATCATGTAGGCAACTGTGTCACATCAACATCAAAAGATGAAGGGTGAGTAGAGTAAAACATTTTGAGAAACAGACCACATTCACAAAATTTATTATAATCTATTTTATTGTTGATGTCTAATTTATCAATGAAACTTTATCCTAAGTACATATGTTTAGGAAAAAGCATTGTATATATAGGGTGGGTTTCATACTATCCGTGGTTTCAGGCATCCACTTAGAACATATCCCCCAAAAGATGTTTTTTATGTGCTAAACATAAGATAAGAAAACAAGTCAAGTAGCTTTCCCACAAGTGGTGAGAGGAGGCAGCTTCCCTTTTCTTCTTTGGACTGTCTGTCTCCCATGAGGCAACACAGGAAACTGTCAACTCAGGGAAGAAGTGGACTTATGAGGCCATCTGCAGGACAGAGAGCAAAGCTACTAAGCTTTGGGATTGCAAGGTGCTCAACAGTTCTCTCTAATTACTTTCACATGGCCCTGAACCATAGTCATGTTTTTGTCTACTCTATCATGTGCATCTGTGAGTATAAAAAACGGATGGTATATGGACAATTATAATGAATAATTATAAAATATGCAGCTGCATAATCACTCACAACAAGACATATATGATTACAGCATCTCCTGATGCATTGTATGTGCCCTCTCTTTGGTCAAAACACCCATCTTCCTCCTACAGATATTGTTCTCAATGTCCAGTTTCTGAACGTCTGTATAGTGGATGGAGGCAGGTCCACAGGACCACTTTAAAGCATAAACATTCATAAAACTAAAAATATTTTCATAATAAAAATGAGATATTTACTTATTTTATTTTGTTGGCATTTTCAGTGATTATAATAGTCTTGAGAAACAGTTTGTATACTATTCTACTCACTAGATGTCTTCTTTGTCCTAATGCCTTCTGCAGTGTTGTCTCATTCCAGCACCACTCCAGTCCCTTGAAAAACAAATAATGTTTAGGAAGTATCTCCATGCCATGTTCTAACCCAACATAGGTCTGTATGATGCCAAAGCATCCACAGTGTTGAGGTGGGATTATTCTACTGCCCTTCCTCCTTCAAATCACCTTTCCAACCACTCAGGAAGGGGAGGCTTTAGTTGTAATTGTTTGCCATGTCCCTGGATAGTGGTTCATTGCTAAGCATCCAGAGACCCTGTTTTCCTCTGTTCTGATCCACCTCTGCTTACCTTATTTATAATCATATCTAAAACTCAGAAGTGGACTACTGCTACCTGGAAGATCCATTCTGAGTGCCACTACCCCTATCATCTCTTCCTCAGAGTTACTTATCTACACTGTGGACAGTTACCCATAAAGCATACAAGGCATTTACAGTTAGCCTGGGGATATGCAAGCAATAAACTGATGAAGAGTTCCATATCTAGTGTTCATTTCCCCAAGTCATGCAGCTTGGAACACCTGTAGGGAACTGGGAACCTCAGTTCAGCATAGGAATTGTGCTTCAAATGTATGATGTCTGGGAAGCCATGAAAACACCCATACAAAATCTTCTAAAATCAAGAGTACAAAGAGAGGTGATCCTGTATGGCACTCAGAAATTTCACCATGAAACTTCCTGGAAATAAAACCTTCCTGAAGATAATTAAGAAGAAATTTCTGCTTCAGATACTTCCAAGAGAAAGGCAATTCTTGGGGTAACTGAAAAGATAAAGGAATACAAGTACACATGCCAGTTAGGAAGATCCATGTGTAGCTGCTAAACACAATCCAGTATTATACCAGGACACGCCGTTTCAGCTGGTCATGTCACCAGCTACTCTGCTTCTTTTTTTTTTTTTTTTTTTTTTTTTTTTTTTTGACAGGCAGAGTGGACAGTGAGAGAGAGAGAGACAGAGAGAAAGGTCTTCCTTTTGCCGTTGGTTCACTCTCCAATGGCCCCCGCGGCCGGCGCACCGCGCTGATCCAATGGCAGGAGCCAGGAGCCAGGTGCTTCTCCTGGTCTCCCATGGGGTGCAGGGCCCAAGCACCTGGGCCATCCTCCACTGCACTCCCTGGCCACAGCAGAGAGCTGGCCTGGAAGAGGGGCAACCGGGACAGAATCCGGCGCCCCGACCGGGACTAGAACCCGGTGTGCCGGCGCCGCAAGGCGGAGGATTAGCCTAGTGAGCCGCGGTGCCGGCCCGAGCTGAAAGCCTTTTACCTCAGATCTAGAACAAGACAAAGATGTCTACTTTCACCACTGTCATTCAATGTGGTATTGGAGTTATTAGCAAGAGCAGTTAAAGGGAAAAAGAAACAGGGGCATCAAAAATGGGAGGGAGAAAGTTAAAATATCAATGTTTGGTGATGACATGATGTTGTATATGGAAAACCTAAGCACTCCACCTAAAAGCAGTTATAACTGATGAATCAAGTCAGTAAAGCACAGATTACACAAAATAAACATATTAAAAGCAGTAGTTTTTATATGCTAATGATGAGCTAACTAAAAGCAAAATCAAGGAAGAAATTTCATTTACAATAGCCACAAAAAATAAATATTTAGGTATAAATTTAACCAGAGACGTTTCTCTACAATGAAAATTATCAAACATTGATGAAAGAAATCATCAAGGATGCAAAAAAAGGAAAGATATTCCTTGATCATGGATTGGAAGAATTAATATCAATAAAATGTCTATACTATTATAAAGCCATCTACAGATTCATTGCAACTTACATCATAATACCAATGACATTCTTTACAGAATTAGAACAATCCTAAAATTCATATGGAATCACAAAAGTCCCTGAAGACCCAAAGTCAACCTGTTCAAAAAAATCAGTCTGGAGGCATCACAATAGCTGACTTCAAAATGTGCTACAAAGCAGCCGGCGCCGCGGCTCACTAGGCTAATCCTCCGCCTAGTGGCGCCGGCACAACGGGTTCTAGTCCCGGTCGGGGCGCCGGATTCTGTCCTGGTTGCCCCTCTTCCAGGCCAGCTCTCTGCTGTGGCCCAGGAGTGCAGTGGAGGATGGCCCAGGTGCTTGGGCCCTGCACCCCATGGGAGACCAGGAAAAGCACCTGGCTCCTGGCTCCTGCCATCAGCGCGGTGCGCCAGCCGCAGCGCGCCGGCCGCGGCGGCCATTGGAGGGTGAACCAACGGCAAAGGAAGACCTTTCTCTCTGTCTCTCTCTCTCACTGTCCACTCTACCTGTCGAGAAAAGAAAAAAAAATGTGCTACAAAGCTATAATAATTAAAACAGCATGGTATTGGTATAAAACCCAACACATAGATCAATGAAACACAATAGCCAGAAATTAATCCATGTACATACAGCCAATTGATTTTTTGACCAAAGTCCCCAGACCATACACTGAGGTAAGGATAATCTCTTGAATAAATGATGCCAGCAAAACTGAATGTATATATGTAGAAGAATGAAATTAGAGCTCTACCTCTCACCATATATCAAAGGTCTAAATTTAACACTTAAGACTATGAAGTTTCTGGAAGAAAATTTAGGGAAAACCCTAAATGATGACGACTTCCTGGATAAGACCTCCAAAATACAGGAAACGGCAGCAAAACAAATGAGATTATATCAAACTTGGAAGCTTCTTCACAGTAAAGGAAACAATAGAGTGAAGAGACATCCAACAGAATGGGAAAAAATATTTGCAAGCTACTTATCTGACAAAGGATTCATAATCAGAATGTTTCAGCAATTCAAAAACACAATAATAAAAACAATAGTCCTGTTAACAAATGGGCAAAAGACTTCAATAGACAGTTCTTAAAAGAATAAATACAAATGGCCAGCAATACATAAAAAAATGCTCAACATCACTAGCTATAAGGGAAATGCAAATCAAAAACACAATGAGATATCAAATCACCACTGTCAGAATACTATTTTATGAAAGAGAGTAGCAAATGCTAGTGAGGATGCAGAGAAAGGAGAACTCTTATACACTGTTGGTGGGAATATATGTATTAGTACAGCCATTGTGGTAAACAGTGTAGTTAAAAAATGAGGAACAGACTTGGTATACAATCCAGCAGTCCCACTCCTGGGTATGTACCCAAATGACATGAACACACTGTATCAAAGAGAAACTCACATCACCATGTTTATAGCAGCACTGTTCACAACAGCCAAAACATTGAATCAACCAAGGTTGATTTTATTTACATGTGTATGTATATATGTGATGGAATGTACAAGATTCACACACACACACACACACACACACGATAGAATAATATTCAGCTGTAAAAAATGAATGAAATTCTATCACAATAAAAATGTTGCAACTGGAGCACAATCATGCTGAGTGAATATGCAAGATATATGTGAAAGCTAAATTTTTTTTAAAAAATCAACACCAAAAAATAAAACAGAAAGCAGTGTTTGTGTGTACCTGTTTTGTTGTAAGTAGAGTGTTTTGTCTCAGCTTTAAAAAAATTTTTGTCAAATATTTTTAGGCAAGTAAAGGAAGAAAGTTGATTTTTCCTGTATATATCTCCCTGCCTATTTTTTTCAGTTGCAATGTGGTTTTGTGCTATAAAAGTAAACCAAGAAAATACTTCTATTTTTACAATAAAATTATATACTACTAGTTTTAGTAATCTGTGGTAGTTTTAAAATATATTGTATATGAGTGAAATTGACATTGTTTCATTTGATTATTTTTATAGCCCTTGTCTATATTCTTGCTGAACTATGGTCTTCTTACTTCTTACTTTTTATTGATGCACTCTTTATTGAGAGGAGCATTAAGCCTTTGACTATAATGTAAATTAAGATTGTGTTTCCTCAAAGAAATAAAATTTTTAATTAAAAAATAAATTTTAAAAAATTGGAAAGAAATAAAGATGCTTAATAGTCTTTACCACTATTATATTTATATCAACTGACACAATTGTAAATTGTTACTTTTTAAAATAACCATAATTTTTCATAAACCATGTAATTATTTAAATTGTTACTAATCTTGAAGTTAGCACATACTTCATAATGGCAGAAAATTAAGAAAAGTTATTGCACCCAGAGTTGTTGCCTTTTCCAAATTGGGACTAAGAATTTAAGAACAGGGGCTGGCGCTGTTGTAGCCGGTAAACCCATCACCTGTGATGCCAGCATCCCATATGGGTACCAGTTTGAGTTCTGGCTGTTCCACTTATCATTCAGCTCCTTGCTAATGTGCCTGGGAAGGCAGCAGAAGAAGGCCCAAGAGCTTGGGCCCCTGCCACCAACGTACAAGACTTGGAGGAAGCTCCTGGATCCTGGCTTCAGTGTGGCTCAGCTCCGGCTGTGGACCTTTCCTTCCGTGCCCTCCCCACCAATGGGCATCAGGGGTGAAGAGTCACAATAGGATCCTTTCTCCCTTTATCCTGTCACCTCAGAGCACCAGTGTTGGCTGTACTTCCCAAATTTCACTGTGGGTTGTGCTGTGGGTGGTGTCATTGCTGTTTTTCTATGGACCATCCTTTGCTTCGGTTTAGTTCCTGCTTTTGATCTCTCCACTGGAGTCAGCCCTTCTGGCTTTCTGAACCCCAGGACTCACTCTCACCTGGAAGTCATATTTTGACCTTCTGTTGCTCACTCCGTGAAGGTAGGGAGGACTTCCTTGCACGTTGGCATGTCAGATTCCAGGGACTGAATCCACCATGGGTTCAAAGCTCCTTGCTTTTCTGGAAAAGGCATCATTAATTCACTTGGGAAAAGCAATTGAAACAAATATAAAAATATCAACAACAAAAGAGCAACTATCTTTTGGTGCAATCATTCCACTTATAGGATTGAAGGAAATAATCAGAAAAGAACAAAAAACTTATTTACAGAAATATACACTTCTGCAGTGTTTACTTGATGGGGGGGAAGGGAATTAAAACAATTAGAAAGCCCCCCCAAAGGAAGGAATGAGTCAGTTTGGAAGTCTAACACAAAATAGCAGGTTCACCCTGTTTCCATGGTATATTCCATTAGATCCAAAATGTAACTTGTATGAGTTTGAACCTCCTAACTTACTGTCCATTCCTGTATCTCCACAATTTATTACATCATTTGATCTGCAGTAATCACTGGATAGATGTATATGCCTTAATGGAGACTTAAATGTAAAACACTCTTAGACTACACTAATCAAATTTTACAATGTAAGCATGGCTTTCAGTGTTTGATTAGAAACTCTTTCAAATGAGAAATCAGAAAATACTGCACATCATCCCCAAGACAATGAACTGTCTTATCAATATTGTTTTAAATTACTAAATTATAAATGTATGTAGATGTAGTGTACAATATAATATGGAATGATTCAAACAATTAACATACATCATTTTACCTATGGTTTTTTTGTGAGATATTTGAAATTTAGTTATTTTGACACATATAGTACAGTATGATCGACTATGGTCAATCTACAACTTATTTCTTCTTTGCGTCTGAATCATTTTACCTTTTAGTCAATAATTCCCCTTCCCTCTCTCCTCATTCCCTATATCTGGCCTATAGCAAATCAACTGTCCACTTCTCTAAGTTCAAATTTGTTAGATTTCACATACAAGTGGGATCATGTGATATTTTTCTTTTTGTGCCTGGCCTATTTCACTTAGTGTGTGCCCTCTAGTTTCACCCTTGTTACTGCAAATGACAGAATTTCCTTCTTTTGAAAGGTTAACTAACATTCCGTTGTGTATGTATACCACATTTTCTTTATCCATTCCCTCACTGATGGGCACTTAGGTTGATCCTGTATCTTAGAAGCAAATAACGAATGTTTTAAATGAACAAAGGACTGAAAAAATATTTCTCAAAAGCAAACATCCAAAATAGCCAACAAACACATGAAAAAATATTCAGCATCATTAAACATTAGGGAAATGCAAATTAAAACCACAATAAGATATCATATAACAGCTGTTAGACTGCTTTTCTTATCAGAAAGACGATAGATAAGATGCTGAGCATGCCAAAAACAGGAAATTCCTGTATATTGTTGATGGGAATGAAAAGTTGTACAGCCATAATGGAAAAAAGAATGAAGGCTCCTCAGAAAACTTAAAATAGAATTATCATATGATCCAACAATCACACTTCTTGGTATATATCCAAAGGAATTAAAGTCAACACGTCTTATGAATACTTACACTCCGAAGTCCACTGAAGAAATGAACTAAGTTTAAAGATAATGAAAAAAGACAGGTTGACCCAGAGTCCACTTAAAACTAAGAGCAAGTAGGTTCTATTAACTATTTTCTATCTGTTGCTCTTTTTTGTAGGCTCTCAAGTCATGTATGGAATTTGGTCATATTTCATTGCAAGTTTCTTGTTTGGAATTCTAAGTTCAAAACTGATTCAATTGTGGATGTCAACAGTTTTTGGTGATGATGTCAATTATATAAGTCTCATCTTTTCCCTCCTATACCTCATCTTTTATATTTGTAAGTGAGGGGCCAATGCCAAAAATTGAATGATATTGACAGATTCAAAATAATATGGGGGTGGGGGGCGCTGTGGTGTAGCGGGTAGAGTCACTGCCTGCAGTGCCAGCATCTCATATGGGCACTGGTTTGAGACCCAGCGGCTCCACTTCCAATCCAGCTCTCTGCTATAGCCTGGCAGTGCAGTGGAGGATGGCCCAAGTCCTTGGGCCCCTGTACCCGCATGGGAGACCTAGAGGGGGCTCCTGGCTCCTGGCTTTCAATTAGCGCAGCTCCAGCCATTGTGTCTATTTGAAGAGTGATCAGTGGATGGAAAACCTTTTTCTCTCTCTGTCTCTACCTCTCTCTGTAACTTTTTCTAATAAATGAAATTAATTTTTTTTAAAAAAATGTAAAGCCAAAATGAGTATTTAAAACCTTGCTTTTATAGTTAAAATTTAATTGCATCATTGTTGGCTATGTTTGGAAATTTATTTAAAGTTCTATTTTAGTTCATTTCTATTAATAATCTATAGGTATATATATGCAAGGGATATATATTCCATTTTGGGAAGTAAAACTTTATGTATCTTATAAAGCAAACATATAAATTGTTATTTAAATACTTTTGTACTCATAATTATTTTTTGTCCATTTGGCTATGAAATATACTTTTCTTGATAACTCATATCATATGGTAGCTTTTTTTTCTCTGTATCTCTCTGCCTAACAAATAATTTAAAAGTTTTAAAAAATTGTACCTGAATTCTTATCAATGGAAGTATAGGTGTTCTTTTTTTCAAACACTAATCTCTATATTGTACCATAGTTTTTGAATTTTCCCACAGGGATAATATGGCACTTTCATAGGCTTAAGGGAGAAACAACTCTGACGGAGCTACTTTTAAGAATATTCCACAGAGGTAGATGTTGTGGTACAGTGGATTAAGCTGCCACTTGGGACACCTACATCCCACTTCAAAGTGCCAGTTTAAGTCCTGGCTTCTCCTCTTCCAGACAAGCTTCCAGCTCAGGCACACTGGGAGGTGGTAGATGATGGCTTAAGGGGTTGGAGCCCTACAGTCTCACTTGGGAGACCTGGATGGAGTTCCTTGATCTTCACTTCAGCATGGCCTACTCCAGACTGTCCTGGGCATTTGAGTAGTGAACGAGTGGATGGAGAGCTCTCTCTCTCTCTCTCTCTCTCTCTCTCATCTCTCCCTCTCTGCCTGTTCCCCCCAACCACCACTCTGCCTTTCAAGTAGAAGATAGATAGGTAGATAGATAGATAGGCAGAGTGGACAGTGAGAGAGAGAGACAGAGAGAAAGGTCTTCCTTTTGCCGTTGGTTCACCCTCCAATGGCCACCGTGGCTGGCGCGCTGCGGCCGGCACACCGTGCTGATCCGATGGCAGGAGCCAGGTACTTCTCCTGGTCTCCCATGGGTTGCAGGGCCCAAGCACTTGGGCCATCCTCCACTGCACTCCCTAGCCACAGCAGAGAGCTGGCCTGGAAGAGGGGCAACCGGGACAGAATCTGGCACCCTGACTGGGACTAGAACCCGGTGTGCCGGTGCCGCAAGGCAGAGAATTAGCCTAGTGAGCCACGGCGCCGGCCAGAATAAATATATTTTTAAACATCTCTCAAATAGATCATACTTTATTATGCTTTTTGTCCCCCACAATAAGTTCATTAAACCAAAATAATGCTGGGGGGAGTAGATCTGTGTTGAGTTGCTTCTGGCCAAACTTCCTTAGTCCTCTCACAGTATCAAACTGTTTCTATCTTCTACTATCACCCAGGCCAAAGGCATATGATGGGATCTGTTCCATTCAAAACTCATCAGGTCATTTCCATTTCAACTCTGATGAGCTCCCTGAAACTATCCGACCTGTATAGGGTGTTCCAGCCTCATTAGCAGACATGAAGTATTTCATTAGCTTCATATGTTGCCAATGATTTGCATCGAAGGGTCATTATATATATATATAATATATATATTATAGACTTTACTGTAAAGTTGGATGTAAATTCAAGGATGAAAAAGAACAATTGGTGGTGGTAATAAGATGCAATATTTCCCAGTTGTTGCCAAGTGGGGTAGTCTCTCTATAAAGTCACCATACTAGCAGATATTTGATATTTTAATCTTGTAAATGTTGTGCTGTTATTCATATTAATATTTTGTGTTTATCCCCTTCTAAAAATAGGTGAACTAGTTGGAATGTCTGGAATATTCACCCTGACCATTATGGGCCTTTTTTTAAATTCTACAAGTTTCAAACCAGGAGTTGAAGTACTTCTTCTCGAGTGAGTGGCTAGAATATTTTTACTTTGTTTCATACATGAGAAGCAATACCATTATAGTTGTAAGTACAGATGTACTAAAAACTCTTCATAAATCTCTTTGGCCTGTACAATTTGTAATCTCACCTTGAATTCACATTGGTCTTTTTTCCCCTAACTCTTCAAGCCTTTGACCATCTACTCTGCTTTTTCCAATCTAAAATTCATGCTTGATAGACAGGGTCAGGATTAAGATAAGAGAAGTGAAGCAGTCACCTCAGGCATGAAATTTAAGAGGCATCAATACATAAAGTAATTGAGATAAATCATATTGTAGTGCAATATTTTTTAAAATGGAAATTAATGCAAAAAATTAAAGGTCAATATTTCAAGGATGATGAAGAGATGCTACATAAAGCAAATTAAAAGATTAAGCCAGGACACTTGAATAAGATTGATAGTATTATAAAAGACAGTATGGCCAGGGGAAGACATTTGGCCTAGCAGTTAAGATGCCTGCTAGGACACCATTGTACCTGGGAGTATTTGGATTCAATTCCTTGCTCTGGCTCTGACTCCAGCTTCCTGATAATATGCATCCTGGGACAGCAAATGATGGCTCAAATAGTTGGATACCCAGATTGAGTCCCTGGCACGCATCCTATTAGCTATAGATCAAAGTTATTTTAATGGTAACATTCTGTAATTTGTCCCCGTGATACAATTTTTTTTTTTTGACAGGCAGAGTGGACAGTGAGAGAGAGAGACAGAGAGAAAGGTCTTCCTTTGCCGTTGGTTCACCCTCCAATGGCTGCCGCGGCCAGCGCACCGCGCTGATCTGATGGCAGGAGCTAGGTGCTTCCTCCTGGTCTCCCATGGGGTGCAGGGCCCAAGCACCTGGGCCATCCTCCACTGCACTCCCTGGCCACAGCAGAGAGCTGGCCTGGAAGAGGGGCAACCAGGACAGAATCCGGTGCCCCAACCGGGACTAGAACCCGGGTTGCCAGCACCGCAGGCAGAGGATTAGCCTATTGAGCCGTGGCACCAGCCCCCATGATACAATTCTTATTCATTTCTGCCACCCTCATCCTCACCCACTCTGCTTGAGCCACACTGATCACCTTGCCACTCCTTAAGCAAGTTAAATATATTACCCTATTCAGCTCTGTGTCCTTGTGCTTCCGCTCTTAGAAGGAACTTTCCCACACACACTGGCAAAAGTGACTTCCTCACTTTGTTCATGTTTCTATTTATGTACCACCTTGTTAAAAAGATATCCCCAAATAAAAACTACCTCCTTGCCAGACAGCACAATATTTTATTCTTGGAAAATTGACCTCCCCCAAATGTCCAGCCAGTTAGTTGTTTTCTTTTCTCCAGTTTATTATTGGTCAATAAAAATGTGGATGTCAGATCTCTGAAAATCAAAATCTTGATGGTGAGATCAAAGGGCTTCTGATTTTTTAAAAGCTCGTCCCAGGTGACACATATATATAGATAACATTGTAGTTCATTGCTTCTCAAAACAACTAGTTTATTAGCACAAGTCATGATCAACAAATGAAGGAAAGAGACTTTTAAAAATATTCACAGGCTCTGTTTTTGTGTGCCTACATAATATTATGTGTACACACACAGAAACGTGTGCAAGTGCATGCACACATCTACTGGATGGGTTTGGAGCTCGGGTGTTGGTCTCCCACCCACCTCAAACTCAAAGGAAACTGATTCCTAAGAGAATATGATTTCATCCGCATCACATTTCTCTGATTAATTTTAAGTATGAAAGTACCTTGACAGCTTCTCAATATTTTTGGCTTAGCTAATTAAAAAGACTGATTTGGAATGTTCAGAGGCATTTTTTCCACTAGGAGAAGTTTTTAAACTGTGTGTTAAGTCAATGATAAAATGTTCTTGTGGCTCACAGTCGTCATTCACTTGACTGAATTATCCTAGTCAGCATTTACTGATCCTGTTAATTGTATGGATAATGTGTACAATGCTTTGAGGGATTCTTTTGGGGAGAGGCTTATGCACATGTTTCAACACTTGAGTTTTTTTTTTTTTTTTTGATAATGAAGTCAAAAGAAGGAAAAGTATAAAAATTATACACTTGTCATAAAATATGTCTTAGTGAGTTTTCCTGCAAGTTTGTGTGGGATGGATTAGTTAAACACCAGAAAATAACAGAAGTTAAAATATGATCATCCATTTTCTTTACCTGGTCATCAGTTGATCATATCAAAATGTGATATATACACATAAAGGACTACAACTCAGCTATAAGTAAGAATGAAATATTGACATTCACAACAAAATGGAACTACAAATCATTATGCTAGAAAGACAAATGTCACATGCTTTCTCTTACATATGAAAATCAGTATATAGGTATTTGGTATATAGTATTGTCTTCTCTGAATTATACCATGGCAATATACCCATTTTCTTCAATTTATGGTCTTTATTAGGAATCACATATCTTGTTACATTAATTGGCTGGTTTTCAAGAAAAATAGCATATACGTGAATATTTAATATACATGTGAATTGACTATGAAAAAACATTAAAATTATTAAATATTTAAATTTAAAAATAAATTAAAAAATAAAAGTCTTTAAATGGCTGCACATGTTAAAACAAAGGAATGCTAGTTTATAGTCTGAGTACTAAACAAATTTTTAGTAACAGAAAAATATTTTGTACAATACAAAATAATATTTCTTAGACTTTTTATGTTGATCTTAACTTGAATTCAAATAGCATTCATATGACTTTTTAGTTTTTTCTATTTATTTTATTAAAATGTGGAAATTAAAGACATAAAATACATAGAAAGGAAGAAAGAGTAAGTTTAAAAATTATTTTCCATATTCACACCACCAAAATGTGATCAATATTGCTTTTTGAGAATCCTTCTCTAAAAAGTACTTATTTGTGAGGAAGAGAGACACAGAGACAGGCAGACAGAGATTTCCCATCTGCTAATTCACTCCCCCCAATGCCTACAATAGTTGGAGCTTGACCAGGTTTAAATCAGTTCAGAATTTAATCCAGGTCTCCCACATGGGAGGCAACTATCCAACTACTTGAGCCATCACCTGTGCCTCCCAAAAGTGTGCATTAGCAGGAAGCAGGAATTGGGAGTACTCAGGCACTCTGATTGGGGATATATGTATCTACAGTGGTATCTTAATCACTTCATCAAATGCCCATCCACTGAGCACCCTTTTATTTAAGTTGCTCTGCCTATGGCTGATAAGAACACGAGCTTTGGGAATGATATAGAATTCCCCTAGACTGAAGCACTTGTACAGGCATTTTTATTAATAACATTTTAAAAAGCAAAAGAAAACACAATGAAATGAATCGGGAAAATCATACATGAACAAATGAGAAGCTTAATAAACATATTGAAGTCATAAAAAAGAAACAAATTCTGCAGCTGAGGAATACAATGACATATGAAAAATTCAAGAAAGATTTTTAAGAACAAACTTCATTACACAAATGAGATAAGCAACCTCAACAACACGTCCTTTGAAATTAGCCAGTTAGAGGACCAAAATGAAAAAAAAAAAAGAAAGAGTGAAAGAATTAAAAAAGCACAAGGGGCCTATAGGACATCATCAAGTGAGCTTGTATATACATGAAGGGAGGTTAATAAAGAGAAGAGAGGGAAAGGAATAGAAGGCTTATTTAAAGAAATAATGGCTGAACGCATCCCATATCTAGAAAAAGAGGCATCTTGATTCATGAAGTCCAAAAATTCTAGAAAAATTGTCCCTTAAGAATAAAGGAGAGATTAATATTTTCTCAAGTTGACAAAATTGGAGAGCTTACCCCACTAAATCTGCCTTACAGGAAATGCTAAAGAGAATTCTTCAAGTTGAAAAAAAAATACAAATAAACAATGTGAAAATATGTGAAGGTCTAAACCTCACCGCTAAAGGCAGACATAAAGGCAGATACAGACCATTGAAGAACTGTAATGGTGGCACATAACCGGTTTTTAACATCATATGTAAATTAACAACAATTTACTAAGAACACTATCACCACAAAAGAAAGAAATAAAATCTGGCATCGATGACCTAGAATATGTGATACAAAAGTAAAGTGTAGATTTTCTTCTGCAAATGAAGTTAAGATATTATCAGCTTTAAATAGAATGCAGTAACTATAATAAGATTAAGTAGTACTGACCTACCCAAAACCACTTTAAAAGTAAATGGACGATAGACTCCCATCAAAGAACATAGAGAGGTAACTAGATTTTTGAAAACTCCAAAATGCACTTTGTATAGGAGAGACTCACTTTAAAGACAGTTATGCCGATTTGTACACTAAAAAATGTAAAACACAGAAAATACACCGAGCAAGATACAAATAAATGGAAAGACATCCTTTATTCATGTCTTAGAATTATTATTATGAAAGTCTTCATGCTACCCAAAATAATCTACAGATTTAATGCGATCTTTAGCAAAATCTCAATGACATTCTTTACAGAAAAAAATTCTAAAATTCATATTGAACCACACAGGATCCTGAAGCCAAAACAAAATCATCAAAAAAGAGCAGAGGCCAGCAGTGTGGCATAGTGGGCTAAGCCTCCGCCTGTGGCATCAGCATCCCATATGGGTGCCTGTTCATGTCCTGGCTGCTCCTCTTCCAATCCATCTCTTTTCTTATGGCCCGGGGAAAGCAGTAAAGATGGTCCAAGTGCTTGGGCCCCTGCACCCACGTGACAGACCCACAAGAAGCTCCTGGCTCCTGGCTTCGGATTGGCTCAGCTCCAGTTGTTGCAGCCATTTGGGGAGTGAACCAGCAGATGGATGGCCTTTCTATCTCTTCTTCTCTCAGTAACTCTACCTCTCAAGTAAATAAATAAATAAAATCTTTTAAAAAAAAAAAAAAGAAGAAGAAGAAGAGCAAAGCTGTAGATATTACACTTCCTGATTTTAAAATATATTACCTCTTTTTCCTTCAGCACACCACCAAAGACCCTGGTGTCGCCATGGGCCACTGCCCAACCCAGTGGCAGCACTGAATAGTGCCTGGTAAGCTCACATGTGAAGCCCACCAAATCTGGAGTTCTTTTCCTTTCTGCAGCTACTGATATTTTAAGAACAAGCCATACCCTAAGTCTTGTTTCTGCTGAGGTGTCCCCGATGCCAATATCGCATCTTTGATCTGGGCTGGAAGAAGCCAAAGTGGATGAGTTTCCACTGAGTGGCCCCATGGTGTCATGAATATGAGCAGCTGTCTTCTGAGGCCCTGGAGGCTCCCCATTTTGTGACAGCAAATACATGGTAAAAAGCTGTGTCAAAGATGATGTGGCTTTCATATCCAAGTGCGGCTCCACCCCTTCCATGTCATCCAAATCAACAAGATGTTGCCCTGTGCCGGTGCTGACAGGCTGCAGACAGGTATGTGGGGTGCTTTTGGAAAGCCCCAAAGGCACAGTAGCCAGAGTTCACATTGCCATCATGTCCATCGGCACCAAGCTGCAGAACAAGGAACATGTGGTTGAGGCCCTACGCAGGGCCAAGTTCAAGTTTCCTGGCCACCAGAAGATAACACATCTCAAAGAAGTGGGGCTTTACCAAGTTTAATGCAGATGAATTTGAAGACATGGTGGCTGAGAAGCGGCTCATCCCAGACAGCTGTGGGATCAAATACATTCCCATGGGCCCTTAGACAAGTGGCGGGCCCTCCACTCATGAGGGCTTCACTCTCCTGTGCTTCTTAATCATCAATAATACATCTGGATGCCTGTTAAAAATAAAAATATATTACAAAAAATTACAAAGTTACAGTAATCAAAAACCACACAACAGCATAAAAACACATAAACACATACAACACATAGACCAATACAATGGAATAAAAAGCCCCAAAATAAATCCAAGAATTTAAAATCAACTGCCCTTTGACAAAGATTCCAAAATACATGATAGGCAAAGGCTAGTCTCCAAGTAATTGGTATTAGGAAATATGAATATCCACATTCAAAAGAATAAAACTAGACCTTATTTCACATCACATAAAAAATCAACTCAAAATTAAATAAAGACTTAATAGGACACAAAATTATAAAATTAGAGGAAAACAAAGATAAAATGCTTTTTTTGATAGGCTAATCCTCCGCCTTGTGGCGCTGGCACACAGGGTTCTAGTCCCGGTCGGGGAGCCGGATTCTGTCCCGGTTGCCCCTTTTCCAGGCCAGCTCTCTGCTGTGGCTAGGGAGTGCAGTGGAGGATGGCCCAGGTGCTTGGGCCCTGCACCCCATGGGAGACCAGGATAAGTACCCGGCTCCTGCCATCGGATCAGCGCGGTGCGCCGGCCGCAGTGCTCCAGCCGTGGCGGCCATTGGAGGGTGAATCAACGGCAAAAGGAAGACCTTTCTCTCTGTCTCTCTCTCTCACTGTCCACTCTGCCTGTCAAAAAAAAATGCTTTTTTTGAGAGAGACAAAGAGGCAGAGACAGACAAACGTGATCCCATCTACTGGTTCACTCCCCAAATGCCCATAATGGCCAACACTGGGGCTAGAGCTGGGAGCTGGGAACTTGAGTGGCAGGAATTTAATTACTTAAGCTATCACAGCTGACTCTAAGGGTCTGCCCTGGTAGGAATCTGGAGTCAGGAGCCAGAACTAGAAATCAAACCCAAGAATTTTGATATAGGAAGCAGCTTTCTAACAGTGATTTTGCAATGATTTTTGGATATGATCCATAAATCACAGGGAAATAAGCAAAGCTAGATAGGTAGGATACATAAAAGTGAATGTTTTCAAACCATAAATCTGACAAGGGGTTAATATCCAAAATGCACAAGGAACTCACATAACTCAATGACAATAAAAATCAAATAATCCAATTAAAAATTAGTAAGGAATCTCAGAACACATTTCTCAAAAGATGACATATCAGTGGCCAATGGGTATATGAAGATGCTCAACATTGCTAAACATTAGGGAAATGCAATCAAAACTGCAATGAGATGTCACCTTATACCTATGAGAATGACTACTATCAGAAAGAAAAAAGGCAGTAAGTGTTAGCAAGAAACTGGAGAAGAGGGGACGCTTGTATACTGTTGGAGAGAATCTCAATTGATACATATTTACTATAGAAAACAGTATGAAAGTTCCTAAAAAATAAAAAAGGACCTACCATATGACCCATCAATCTCATTACTGGGTAATTATCCAAAAGAAATGAAATCAGTATATCAGAGAAATATCTGCACTTCATGTTTTTGTAACACTATTTATAATAACCAAATTATGGAATCAACCCAAATGTCTGTTGACAGAAGAATGGATGAAGAAAACATGTGATATGATAGGTAGGTAGGTAGATAGATAGATAGATAGATAGATAGATAGATAGATAGATAGATAATGTGTGTGCGCCTGTATGCATAGATTCAGGAATTGTCCAGCATATATGTATATATCAGGGAAACATAATAGAATATTATCTTTGGAAAAGAATATCATGCCATTTGCAACAACATGGGCAAACCAGGAGAACATTATACCAAGTGAAATAAGGCAGAAAAACAAATACTGCATAATCTTACTTACATGTGACTCCAAAATTCTCAGTCTTGAAGAAGTACAGAGAATGGTGGTTGTCGGGTAAAAACTGCATAAAAAGCGAGAAACAATGCTTTAGTTAGGCAAGATGAATAAGCTTTGGAGAGCTAATATATAACATGATGGTGACTTTAGTTAACAATACTGTATTGTATGTTTAGAAGTTGATAAAAGAGGATAATATGTTCTCCTAACATGCACGCGGGCGCACACACAGACACACACACACACAAAACTAAGTATATGAGGTGATGAATATGTTAACTAGCTTGAGATTGTGGCCATCATTTTATACTATATATGTATAACAAAATGTAAGTTTGTACAACTTAAATATACATAGTTTCTATTTGTCAATTATCCCCCATAAGCTTAATGAGAGAACGGGGTTCTTTTAATGCCTTAATGCTTCTCTCTTCGTACCAAATTTTAAGTACCTTGAGTGTTGATAAATGCCTTATTCATCTTTTTTCCTTATTAATGAATGGCACAGTATGTAATATGAGTAAATCTTGCAATGAACATTATAATTAACTATACTTAAATTTTTTCCTGAAAAATGCAGATTCTGGAATTGTTTATCATTTGTTGCTTTTCTCATGGTGTTTTCTTTCACTGGACTTCTAATCCCTGCACATACATATTTATATATATCATTTTCTGACATATATTATTCAATAAATATATACTTCACACTGATTGTTTTAAGGTAAGAGTACCATTTGAATTTTTGTATTTATAGGAGGTTAAGATCTTCTGTTAAATAATAAAAAGGTTTCCTATCTTAGATTGAACAATTGACTCAAACTTCTCCAGGAATCATCAACAAATTAATGCATAATATATTTTCAAATTTTTAACTGAATTTCAAAGCAATGTAAATACCTTATAAAGTTTTTTGAAAAAATAGAAAGAAAGAAAATATATTTCATAATTTTAACACCTAGAGGTAACCACTGTAAATACTTGGCATATTTTATCCAGTGTTTCTTTTTCTATGAGGTTTCATGAAGCTAAACACCTATCATACACAGAAATCTGATCTTGTGTTTTTGCTTAGCATTACATAACAAGCTATTTTGAATTAAAGTTAGAGTTCAAAATCAATTTTTAAAAAGCACAGAAAAATTCTTTTTGTAAATGTGATTTATGCTTAAAGAAATGAGTAGTTAAGGCCAGCAAAGTGCCTGCCTGTGCCACATTAGAGATGACACTTGTAGGAGAAATCACCATAACTTCAAACTCACAGTTCTTTAATCCCAACAATCAATTTACAACAGTCTATTTTTATCCAGGAAAATTAGTTGAATTGATAACACTAAGTCACTAGTGCCAATTAAATGGAAATGAGTTCCAAATTATCAAGTAAATTTGTTGAAAAGTGTAGAAATGGTATGTTACTGAATGAAGAAAAACAGATATTGGACAGATTCAATAAGATTAAAATCTATGAAGAAAAATAGAGGAGGGAACTTTTTTCTCACTTATAATTTGCTAGATTATTTTTGTTCTTTTTGGGATTTAAAATATATCTAGAAAACATATCCTTTTGTTTTTGTTGTTGTTGCACTTGAAGAAGCGCTCTTCAAGGATGATGTGGAATGGCCCTACTACTGCTCACCTTGTAGAAGAAACAAAGAGAAAAATGCCATTGTCTTGGCATGTGCCTCTAGGTGAAATGCCTTCTACCTTCCTTTGGTGCCAGACCAATAGCATGTGTCGGTTCATTTCTTTGACAGTTAGCAGTGACTCAGGAAATACACTGAAATAGTGCAGAAGGAAACAAATTTCTGTGACAAAAAATAACTTTTCAAAAATTGTTTTGTCTTTTAGACTTCTGGTCTTTCTATTAATGAGCCCTCTTTTGTCTCGACTTGGCCATGGGTTCAGCTGGCGCTGGGCATTCATAATGGTCTGGAGTGAAATGAAAGGGATGCCTAATATAAACATGGCCCTTCTGCTCGCCTACTCTGACCTTTCTCTTGGATCCGAGAGGGAAAAATACCAAGTAAACAAAGCTGTATTTTCCTGTTTGGCTATTTGATAAAATCGTTGCTGCATACTTAAAATATGCTTTTGTGGTGAGGTAGTACAACTTGCAGAGGCATGGAGGAGAGTTACAGCTATGATGGCAAGACTGGGAAAAGGAGGAATGATTGGCAACTCTCCCCTTCCCCATTCTAGCTTAGGACATCCTAAATTCCTTCATACTCCTAAAAGTAGGTTTATTATGATGAAATGAATTAAAATTTGTAAATCATCCAGAATATATATCCAAACAAACTATGCCCTTAATAAATGTCCTCATTTTTATTCAGTCAAATAAAAATTAATTTTAAAATGTAATACTCACTCAAGTGAAGACAAACTCTACCTCTGGTTGGCTCTATTGCCTTCTGTAATAAATTCCTCTATTGCCTATGTTTAGTAACACTAGGAACCATCATATTTTAATTGCCAGGTAAAGTTATCTCTAAGACAGCAACCCCAAACTGTTAACAGAACATACTGGGCATGACTCTCCCTCTGCTGAGTTGCAAGGCAAGAGAATTACAAGGAGCCCTGTAAGATATTTCCTATGCAGGCATCACAGGACAACAGATGATTTCATTACATTATATTTTTTATATAAATGCCAAATGTAAATAGAAGAGTATCAGAGTGATTGTTATGTTTCTTATTAAATAATAATCTAAGAATTAAGCTGCTTTTAAAACTGAGATGATGTATTATCACACAACTTCCTTTTTCTTTTTAGCCTAGTTACACATGCCTTAATTATCATGATCAACACCATCACCATGCATGTTGATCGTTGTGGTGATAAACACGGCACATGCATTTGGGTTCTGAAATTTTCACCTCAGCTGCTATTTTCCATGTGACCCTAAATTTATTTAATTCCACCTTACCCTAAGTGTCAGTGCCCCTCACTTCTTAGGGCACTATTTAGTATATATTAAATGTACAATAAATAGAAGTAATAATGCTGCTGATGGTGAGATGATAATGATTGTTAATAGTTTGAACAAGATTGAGCTCCCAAAACTCATGCTGACATTTAGACCTCAAAGTCTTACAATAGTTAATAGATTAATGTTACTGAATTAAGAATGGAGAATTAATCTAATTATGGCTTCTGGGAAGCAGGCCTGGTGGGAGGTGTTTTGACCAGTGGGTCTTGCCTTTGGAAGGTAGGCATCAAGGGAGGGTTGGTTGCATAACTTGAGCACGCTTCCTCTCTCCCTCTACTTCTTGGCTTGCCATGTGATCATTGCTCTATGTGCTCTGCCATTGCCAACATCAATCAGATGCCAGACTACTGGGGCTGCTCAATCTTAGACTGTGAACATCCAAACTGTACACTGAAATCAAACTTCCTTCCTCCTAAGTCATTCCTCTTAGGTATTTAGTGAAAATACCAAAAGACTGACTAATGTAATGATGAGGATGATGTTATTCCAGGTAGTCCTGCTTTAAAACTTTAGTCAATAAAATTGTTTTGGAAATGTCTTCTCTTTTACTTGAGAAAAACAGTCATATACCCTGCTTGATTTAATTTAGCTGAACTCTATAACTAACTTAGTTATTACAAATAGGCAGTATAGTAGAGAGTTAAAAATACTAACTTCAAAGACATGCTGCCTTTTAAATTGTGTCTATACTACTCAGAAGTAATGTAACTTTGGGTAAGTTACAGTGAGTCAGATGCTTATATGTATAATTGGAGAATTTTGGTTTTGACTTTACAGATTTGTAATGAGATTAAGTAACCCTATTATATTATACTATATGCCCACTTCCTGAACTGCTTTAATTATCTTCAATCTAGAATGCACTAGGGTATACTTTACGAACTTTTAGAAAACCTCAAGCATGTGGAATTCTGGCCCAGGCTATGATGCATAAAGGATATCAAACTCAGTTTCCTTAGTAAAATAGCTATAACAAGCCGGCGCCGTGGCTCAATAGGCTAATCCTCCACCTTGCGGCGCCGGCACACCGGGTTCTAGTCCCGGTTGGGGCGCCGGATTCTGTCCCGGTTGCCCCTCTTCCAGGCCAGCTCTCTGCTATGGCCAGGGAGTGCAGTGGAGGATGGCCCAGGTGCTTGGGCCCTGCACCCCATGGGAGACCAGGAAAAGCACCTGGATCCTGGCTCCTGCCATCGGATCAGCGCGGTGCGCCGGCTGCAGCGGCGGCCATTGGAGGGTGATCCAACGGCAAAGGAAGACCTTTCTCTCTGTCTCTCTCTCTCACTGTCCACTCTGCCTGTCAAAAAAAAAAAAAAAAAAAAAACACTAAATACTTTGGGATAAATTTATCCATATATGTGTAAGATCTCTACAATGAAAATTATAAAACATTAATGAAAGAAATAGAAGACACACAAAAAAAAGCTATAACAAAGGTGAAAATATATGAAGCAGTGGATTTTTTTTGAAGATTCATTTATTTATCCATTTGAAAAGCACAATTACAGAGATACAGAAGCAGAGAGAGGGAGAGGTCTTCCATCCACTGATTCACACCCCAGACGGCCGCAACAGCTGGAGCTGCACTGATCCGAAGCCAGGAGCCAGAAGTTTCCTCCAGGTCTCCCACGTGGGTGCTGATCCGATGGCAGGAGCCAGGTGCTTATCCTGGTCTCCCATGGGGTGCAGGGGCCCAAGGACTTGGGCCATCTTTTACTGCTTTCCAGGCCATAACAGAGAGCTGGATCAGAAGTGGAGCAGCAGAGACTCGAACCGGCACCCATATGGGATGCAAGCACTACAGGCATCAGCTTTACCTGTTTTGCCACAGCACCAGGCCCACAATGGATTTTGAGTACCAGGAAAGGAATGTTGCACAGTTATAGGTTATATGCTTGAGAAAATAGAAACATAGGAGGTGGCCAGCGCTGTGGCTCACTAGGCTAATCCTCTGCCTTGCGGCGCCGGCACACGGGGTTCTAGTCCCGGTCGGGGAGCCGGATTCTGTCCCGGTTGCCCCTCTTCCAGGCCAGCTCTCTGCTGTGGCCAGGAAGTGCAGTGGAGGATGGCCCAGGTGCTTGGGCCCTGCACCCCATGGGAGACCAGGAGAAGTACCTGGCTCCTGCCATCAGATCAGCACGGTGTGCCGGCCACAGCTGCGGTGGCCATTGGAGGGTGAACCAACGGCAAAGGAAGACCTTTCTCTCTGTCTCTCTCTCTCACTGTCCACTCTGCCTGTCAAAAAAAAAAAAAGAAAAAAAGAAAAAAAAAGAAAAGAAAGAAACATAGGAGGTGAATTCATACTCATTCTGATCTGTCTTCCAAAATCTGGTAGAGAGAAGTGAATATCAGAGTATAATAATCTCGCTGAGTAGAAAAAAATGAAATCAGGGTTTAGGACTACTGAAACAATTTGAATTTATGGGACAGGGTATCATAAATGCAAGAATGTGTAGAAAGAAATTACTATGGGGCTGGTGTTGTGGTACAGCTGATTGAGCATCACATATGAGCCCTGGCTGCTCCACTGCCAATCCAGCTTCCTGCTAACGTGCCTGGGAAATCAGAGGAAGATGGCCTGAGTGCTTGGGCCCCTGCCACCCAAAGGTGGGAGACCTGGATCTAGTTCCAGGCTCCTGACATCTACCAGTCACAGTGCATGAACCTCACCTAACAACATGGGTTAGGTTGTGACCCATGTTGTATATTTACTCCAGATCACTCTGAGATGAGAATGCTGACTGGCATAATATAGTGATCTCCCCGGAAATTAACAGCCTAACACAAAACTTGAAACTCTTTACCAGAAAACAACTTAATAAAAATTCAACAATGTAGCATCCATCATGTACAACCTAAAGTAAAATATGAAGAAGCATGAAATGTGGCCTACTGAGAGATAAAATTATTTAAACCAAACAGACATAGAGAAGACAAATATGTTGGAACCAACAGAGCTATTAAAACATTTTCTAGAATTTAAAGGAAAAATAGACATAAGAAATGAGAACATGGAATACTTTGGTGAAGAAATTCAAACAATTAAAAATTCTAAAAATAAAAGGTATAATGATGGAAATGGAAATTTTTCATGAACTTGATGGCAGACTGGACACTGAAAAAGAAAAAATTCAATTCTATATTCATATATTCTAAACAAGAGCAGGAAGATATGTGAAGCAAAACCAATTTATCATTGGAGAATTTAACACCCCTTCCTATAACTTTTTATAATTGATAGTCTTATCAAAAAGTAGTGTTAAGGGGAGGGTGCTGTGGCAGGTAGAGGTGCCACCTTTGGTTCCAGCATCCCATATGGGCACCAGTACCAGCATCCCATATGGGGTACCAGTTCAAATCCCAGATGTTCTATTTCCAATCCAACCCCCTGCTAATGTGACTGGGAAGGCAACAGAGGATGGCTCAAATACTTGAGTTCCTGCACCCACTTGAGAGCCTGGAAGAGTCTCCTGGCTTCTGGCTCTGGATTGACCCAGCTTTGGCCATTGCAGCTGTTTGGGGGATGAACCAGCAGATGGAAGATCTCTCTCTCTCTCTCTCTCTCTCTCTCTCTCTCCCCCCAACTCACCCTCTCTGTAAACCTCCCCTTCAAATAAATACATAATTTTTTAAATTAGCACTAAAGAATTGGACATTCAGGATGAAAATAAAGAAAGGGAATCTGATGTCTCACAAATTACATGAAAGTTAATCCAAGTGGATCATGGAATTAAACAGAAAATGTGAAATTATAGTTTTTTTAAAAAATTTGGTGTAAAATCTCTGAAACCTAAAGTAAAGCAAATAATTCTTAGATTTGACACCAAAAATACAATCCATAAAAGAAATAAAGAAGTAAATTACACTTCAACAAAATGTAAAAATTTGTCCAATGAGAGACCCCATTAAGCATATGAAAAGATGAACTCCTAGCTGACATCTTATATTTGCAAGACAGATATGTGACAGTGTTTCATCTCTAGACTATATAAAGAATTTTCAGAATCACACAGTAAAAGAAACAATATTTCAAATGGCAGAGAACATGAAGAGACATTTTACTAGAGTGAATACTGATGACAAACATGAAAATAGTGCAAATTAAGACCACAATGAGACATTATCTTTCAGAAATGATAAAATAAAACATAGTGGCAACATCAAATGCTAATGAAGATGCAGAAAAACTGGACCAGTCATATACTGTTGGCAACACTATAAAGACACAGTCACTTGAGAAAAGAGTTTGGCAGTTATTTTTAAAAAATTAAAACTATACATGCAAGTATCAAAATGTCTAACAGTTCCAGAGAAGTGAGAATGACTTTTTATAGTAACTTTATTTACAACAATGAAAAACATTCCAGAAACATTGGAAACTGTTCAAATGTTCTTCACAGGTAAATGTTGAAGTGCACTGTTATATACTTATACCATGGAATACTACTCAGGAATGAAAAGGGCAAAACTATTGATGAGAGCAATAACCTTGCAGAATCTCTACACAGTTATGCTGAGGGAAAAGCTAGTCTCAAATAAAGGAGTACATATTATATGATTCCAATTATAGAATGTTCTTTAGTGACAAAATTATAGAAATGAAGAACTGGAGCCAGTGCTGTGGCATAGCGGGTAAAGCCCTGGCCTGAAGAGCCGGCATCCCATATGGGCACCAGTTAGAGTCCCGGCTACTCTACTTCTGATCCAGCTCTCTGCTATGGCCTGGGAAAGCCATAGAAGATGACCTAAGTCCTTGGGCCCCTGCGCCCGCGTGGGAGACCTGGAGGAAGTTCTTGGCTCCTGGCTTCGGATCGGCTCAGCTCTGGCCGTTGCAGCCATCTGGGGAGTGAGCCAGCGGATGGAAGACTTCTCTCTCTCTGCCTCTCCTCCTTTCTCTGTGTAACTCTGACTTTCACGTAAATAAATAAAATCTTTAAAAAAAAAAAAGAAATGAAGAACTGATTATTGGTTGTTGGTACTCAAAGAGGGATGGTGGCAGGACAGAACTGGATGTGACTACACAAGGGCAGTAGGAAGAATATTTATGATATAGAACGGTCATAACCATGAGAGTGCCAATATCCTGGTTACCATATTCTAGTATTTTGGAAGATATTGCCATCTATGAAGTTAATGATATACAGGATCTCTTTGTGTTATTTATTAAAACTATATATGACTGTACAATTATCTCAAAACAAAATGATCAATCTTTTTTTAAAAAATGAGAGAAAAGAACAAATTACCAGTATCAGCATTAAAGAGAATGTAACTACAAATTATATTTTATCAATAGTAAGTGTAAAACATGCACAATTTTTTGTCAAGAACTTTAACACCTTAGATGAAATGGCTAAAATCATGGGGAAAAAAAGGTCTAACTGACACAGGAACAGAAAATTTAAATAATCCTATATCTGTTAAAGAAATTAGGTATATAAATTAAATATTCACACAGAGAAAACTAAAATCCCAGATAGCTTGACTGATGAGTTCTACCAAACATTTAAAAGATAAATAGCACTATCTCTATACAAATTATTCCACGAAATGGAAAAGGATGGAATACTGCCTTACTTTTTTATGTGGCTGGCTCGGTCTGATACCAAAAGCCAGTAAATATATTATCAGAAAAATAAACTATTGATAAAACATGATGCAAAAATCATTAAATATTTATTCAAGGGCTGGATATGATGGTACAGTTGGTTAAGCTGCCACTTGGGATGCCCATTTCCTATATCCCAGTGCCTGGGTTTGATTTCTGGCTACTCTACTTCTGATCTAGCTTCCTGCTAATGCACCCTGGGAGGCTGCTGGTGATGGTTCTAGTGTGCTTAGGCTCCTGTCAGCCACATAGGAGATGCAGATCGAGTTCTTGGCCCCTGGCTTTGGTGTGTCCCTCCCTCAGTGGTTGCGGCCATTCGGAGAATGAAACCGTGGATGGAAGAGCGATCTCTTTGTCTCTGCACCTGTCAAGTAGAAAAAAATTAATAGTTAATTTTTTAAAAGAATAGTTTAAAAATAATTAGTCAATAAAATCCAAATTTTGGTGTAAAAGATAACACACTATGATCAAGTAGATTTTATCCAACATGCAACATTAATTTCGCATTCAAAAACAAACAGCACAGCTCCGTGCACTACCACAATAAAGGAGAAAATGTACGTCACTCTCAGCAGATGCTGACGAAGCATTTGACAAAATTTATGCCCGTTTATGAATCAGGAAAAGAAAACCTTTCTGTGAAATAGCCTTAATCTGATAGCTGGCATTTTAAAAACATCTTTGATAAACAATATTCGTGCATGTTTACGGGGCACAGTGTGACATTGCAACACATATATGCAATAAATATTGGTCAAATCAGAGTGATTAACATTTCTCTCTCTCTGCCATTACTTTATTATTTAAATTATGTAAAAGATATTTATTTAAAAAAAAAAAACAACCTAATGCTCACATGACACATAATAATAAAATACTGAATATTCCCCCCGTAAATCTGGGAAAAAGGCAAATATGTCTGCCTCCCACAGTATTCAATGTCCTACCCAGGGAAACAAGCAGAAAGATACAGAGTTTGCTTTACATGAATACAAATAACTACTAGAACCAGAAAGTGGATTTAGTAAGATCATGAAGCACATATTCAACATACAAAACAAATTGATACCTGTGTGAACCAGAAACAGAAGAGTGAAATAACAGTAGCATCAGAAACATGACAGAGGAATAAAAATAATTAAAATATTACACATGAGTTATCTACGGCTATGTAGTAAATTGCTTCACAATTTAACTGTCTTATTTTTCTAAGATTTATTTATTTGAAAAGCAGGGAAAAGGGAGGGTGGGTGTAGGGAGAGAGAAAGAGAGGGAGAGACAGATATTTTCCATCTGCTTGTTCAATCCAGCTAAGACTGGACCAGGGCAAAGTCAGGAGCCTCCTGGTCTCCTATGTAGGTGGCAGGGGACCAAGTACTAAAGGCAATATCTACTGCCTCCCTAGGCGCACTAGCAGGAAACTGGGTTGGAACAGAGTAGCCAGGACTAGAATCAGCACTCTAATATGCCATGTCAGTGTTGCAAGCAGCCATTTAACCCTTTGTGCCACAATGCCAGCCTCAATGTAGCTGCTCTGAACAGAAACTGATCTCAGATTCTGCAGGTCAGAAATCTGGATGTAGGTTAGCTGGATGCCTGTGGGTCAGTTTCTCCCCTAAACTTCTAGTCAAGCGTTAAATGGGGGAAGCCGACATCACAAGACTCAGCCAGGACTGGAAAACCTGCTTCCAAACACAGATACCTGATTGTTGAGAGGATTCAGCCCTCTGCAGGTAGTAGGACTAAGGGCCAGAACCCTCCTTCTGTGCCTTGTTACTTGAGTCTGCACAGAGGTCAGCTCACAATACGGTAGCTGGCTTCTCTTAGAATGAGCAAAGCAAGAGAGTAAGCCCCCAAGACAGAAGCCCTGGTCCTGATTTCGGTTTGATTTAAAACATGGGTTCAGTATGTGCAATAAGATGGACATCCCAGAGTACTTTTCTTGTACTTGCCTCCAGTTTCCTCCCTTGCCATGAGCATCTTCAACAGGCTACAACCTGACTTAGGCTACATTGCTTAATGTAGAATATGCTATGAGAAATTGTTGAGAACACTCACTTTGTATTTTTTCTTTCAATTCCAGGTGTTATTTCATGGAGTCTTAGTATGCTTAATTACCCTAATTGTTAATAGATTTATTTTGCCAATGGCAGTTAACAAACTAGGTAAGCCCTCCTAATTACTATTCTGAGTGAATACAAAGAATTCTAAGTTTGCTAATGAAGTGCTAGTACAAAAAAAAAAAAAAAAAGAGAGAGAGAGAGAGAATTCATATAAATACAAGGCCTGTTGTCAAACTAAGAGCAAATAGAATCACCATGTAAAGGCATATTAACAGCTTTGTTCAATAAGCTTTTCCTTTTAAAAGATTACTTATTAGCCGGTGCCTCGGCTCAATAGGCTAATCCTCCGCCTTGCAGCGCCAGCACACAGGGTTCTAGTCCCGGTCGGGGCACCGGATTTGTCCCAGTTGCCCCTTTTCCAGGCCAGCTCTCTGCTGTGGCCAGGGAGGGCAGTGGAGGATGGCCCAAGTGCTTGGGCCCTGCACCCCATGGGAGATCAGGAGATGCACCTGGCTCCTGCCATCGGATCAGTGTGGTGCCCTGGCCGCAGCGCGCTGGCCACGGCGGCCATTGGAGGGTGAACCAACGGCAAAGGAAGACCTTTCTCTCTGTCTCTCTCTCTCTCTCTCACTGTCCACTCTGTCTGTTAAAAAAAAAAAAAAAGATTACTTATTCACCTTAGTTCCATATAACTGAAATGGTGATGTAAATTTATCCAATATTAAACAAGATTTTAAGAGCTTCCTTTATGCTAAGCACTATTATAATTGTTTGTGATGCAATCACAGAGATTTTTCCTGAATTGACAGAGCTTACATGGGAGTGAGGAGAAACAGACAGTTAACATGACAATTAAGGTACTATCAGAGAGTCCTATGTGCATCCAAGAAAACAAATTCATCCAAAGTAAAAGAGGGAATATAGCAGGTGCTACAGCAGCTTCCAGAGAAAGCTGGAAACTGGGAAGGCTCAAGGACAGAAAGAAGGTCTGAGGGGTTAGAAATGTAAGAGACTAATACTGGTAATCCCTCCTACATGATTGTGGAAGCTAAGTCCCATAATCTGCTAGCTGAAGGTCTACGAATCAACAAAATCGATAGGGTAAGTCCCAGTCCATGTTCAAAGGCAGAAGACCAGTGTCCCAGCTTACAGACCTTCAGGCAGAGAGAAGCTTCTCTGGCTCAGCCTTCCATTTCGTCAGGCCTCCCGCAGACTGAATGAGGCCGGCCTGCCTTGGGGATGGCAATCCGCTTTAGTCAGTCTACCCAGTGAAATGCTCTTCTCAGGCAGAAACACCCTGGTGGACACGGCCAGAATAATGTTAACCCCAATGCAGATGGCGTGTGGCTTTCAATGGTTCCGCTTGGGATCTTTCAACATGAAGATGGTGCAAAAGTGAAATTCATTCCATGGGAACCGTACTTTCTAATCTTCAGTTTTAATCTTTTCCTGGGCTGGTGACATGCAGTACAATGTTGAGCCCCACCCCCCAGGCAGCCCCAGAATCCAGGAGGAGAAACAACTGACATCCTGCAGAGTGTTGTGTGGTTCAGCCACATTATTCGGTATATTAGGTATCTTCAACCCCTTTTTCCCCTACGGGACTTTCAGTTTAGGATGGGTTTATCAGGACATCATCCCACTGTAACTGGAAGAGCATCTGTGTCCAATTACGTTCTGGCCCAATCAAGTTGACAAAAAATGAACCAAAAAACCCTGATCCTCTGTTTCTTCACCTATCATACTAGGAGAAGGGACTCACAGCAAAAGTTGATCAAGACAAACAAAAAAGGCTTACTACATTCAAAGTGGCCAGACAGGTTTTCCTAGCACAGAGTAAGCAATCAATACATTGTATCTGTTACTATTATTTTATCTCAACTTTTATGAAGACTATTATAATAAAAAAATTTAATTGTTAGCATTCCTATTATACAATTTATGTTGTCTTTTTTTAAAGAAATGATTGATGACAATAAGAATCAAAAAGAGCTTTATAATTTACATCAAAATGGTGATGCTCCCATTAATTTATAAAATGTACTCTTTGTGTCAAAGGTCTTCGTGATGTCACATCAACAAAATATAAATCAGTTTATTATACATTTCAACACTTTCAAGAGCTAACTAAATCTACGGCCTCTGCACTAAAATTTGACAGGGATCTTGCTAATGCTGATTGGAATGTGGTTGAGAAAGCGATTGTACTTCGAAACCCATATGCCGTAAGCAAATAATATCTTTTGCTTATTCCTTCAAAGTAAATATGATTGCCTTTAAGTAAGTATAAATCATCTCATAAATATTAATTCACAACTTTTAATATTTGTACTCAACAGAGAAGTTGTATTAGTAGGTCCTTATTTGTCAGAATAGTAAAGAGAGGCTCTTAACTCTGTGATCATGATTGAGCAAAATGGAAGTCTCAACTCTTTTGAGAGTAAAGAAAACCTATGCATTGTAAATTCAAGAGGAAGCAGTTTTTTGGAGCTTTCTTTAAGAGATATCATAAAAACAAGAGTGTGAGGCTTAAAAAATGGTCAGTTTTTGACCAGATCGAGGTTGGCAGTAGCCTTGATTCATTCATTTTTCAGCATTTATTTAGTTCATTATATATGCTAAACATTTGCTAGACCTTAATTGGTTAAAAATAGAACTGAAGGCCAGTCATCAGTTAGCTGTGTGTGCATGAAATGTCACTTTCTGGTTGGGAGATACACTTTAAAATCTTTGTGGTCAAACTGAGTCATGAATGAGTACTCAGCACACCAAACAGTAATGGCGTCCTTAAGAAGAAATAATATGTCCTGGGATCTCAAAGCTGCTGCTGCTTTTCTTTCCCACATCCCACGTCATGTCTGGTTTTCCTTGCAATTTTCTTCTCTATCACACGGTACGAAGGACCAACTTTTAGGAGTGCAAAGGAAAGATCATGAATCTATGAAATAGAGTATCCCCAATCCATCTCATATCCACTATCCAGTGCTTGAAGCTGCAGATAGGGCCAGAGCCAATCCCTGCACCTGAAGAACTACTGCCAGGATTTCTGAATCAAGAAAGTATCACAAATCCGAGAATTTCTCTAGCAGCTCTCAATAGCTGATTGTGGCCTTTTGCTAATCTGTCTGCATCAGAATAATCTGAAAACCTTTCTAAAAATATTGAGCTCCTGGCTCCCATTCTGGAAGCATTTAATACACTACCTAGATAATTCTAATGCAGAATAAGAGTTTGGGCTACAGCTCTAGTGACTGATGTACTTCAGAAATAGGAAGAACAAGCAACTACACTGTTCTCCTTATGAGGCAGACATAAAGAATGCTATAGTCTTATAGACAAGCACTGGCTTTGGACTTGAAAGTCTTGGGTTCACATCCTAGCTTTGTTACTTAATTCATAGCTTTGTGGTCTTAAGGAAATCAATTACTTTCTGTAAGATTCAGGTCTTCTCATCTATAAATTGTCTGTACTCCCATCTTCTTACATGTCCACCCTCTGACTCCCTTAAGTGATTAAAGCAGCAGTTGTCAAACTTCAGCTGAAGTAGAATTGTCAAGTGAGTTTGTAGAAACACAGACTGCTGTCCCCCCACTTCCAGTTCTGATCTAGTTGGTCTGAGAACATGCATCTCTAACAGGTCCCAGGGGCTGCAGTTGCTCGTGGAGGATCATACTTTGAGAACTGCTAGCTTCAAGTCTGATTGAATATAATATGGGATCACCTTTATAAACTTTTCAGAATGCCGTGTAAAAGTAAAACATATGATATAGCTCTTCTCTCTGAACTGATAGTTATTTTACCTTCTACACAACTAAGAAAGTGGAAGGGACATTTTTAAAAACTGATGAGCATCTGAACATTTTTCTAAATCTCACAGATTTTCTATAATATTTTGATTGGTTCTGGTATGAGAATTGCTTGAGGTTTATGCAAAGTTATATGTTATATATGTTAATATATGTCATATGTTAATATCCATGTATTATTTTGAAATTTGTGTTGGATTTAGTTGGAGCATGAGGAAGAAACACTAGAACATCAGAAAGTGAGATGTCCAAGCTGTGACAAGGAAATAGATGAGACCCTTAACCTCGAAGCAATGGAGCTGGCCAACAGACGTCTCTTGTCTGCACAAATAGTTAGTACTATACTACACCATTTTAACATTGCTTGGGGGTATAAAATCATACTGAAAACTTTCTCCTTGCTAAAGAATCCATGAGTATGTTCATTTGCATAATCTATTATTTACAAGCAAAGGGAAGTTTGGCATTGTCTTAGGAATCTGCTTGACAGACAAAGGTGGGAGGAGAGAGAGTGAACATCACCCATTCCAACTTCAGTAAAAGGCATTTTTAGAATGGAGATCTGTGAATTTCACAGACCCAAAGGCAAGAATTACTATTGGGCCCAACCTCTGATATATTAGGCAATCAGTTCCATGACACTTCCCATCTCTAGCTCCATGCCATTTTTTTCAGAGAAGGATACCACCCAATTCTCTCATAACAACAGGTAGAGAATATTGTGCTTCAAACCTTGGGTAAAAATTAGAGAAATTCTGGAGCACAGCAGCCTACAGGATGCTGTGGAAATCAGTTAATAATTTAGTTTCTGTTTGCTAACCAGCTCAGGATGTTCACCATCTACCACAACTCATGCTTTCAAAATGTTCAATATTGGGTCTTAGTGCATATGGAGCTGTCATAAATTTTTCAGCTATTCTATCCATCCAATATTCCAAGCATTCTATTTGCTCAATCTAACTCTGGAAACAGGAGATAGGAAGGGATGATGGTTCTCTTTAGCAGTTGTCCTGGCAGACAAGTTGAGCCACCAAAACAATCTTGGTTTTTTAAAATTTATATATTTATTTGATACTCAGTTATAGGGAGAAAAAGGAAGAGACAGAGAGAGGAGAGAGATCTTCCATCCACTGGTTCACTCCTCAAATAACAGCAACTACCATGGCTGGGCCAGGCCAAACCCAAGAGCTTCACCTGGATCTCCCACATGGGTACAGGGGCCCAAGCACTTGGGGCATCTTCCACTACCTTCCCTGGCACATTAGCATGGAGCTGGATCAGGAGCGGAGCAGCCATGACATGAACCAGTGCCCATCTGGGATGCTGGTTCTGCAGATGGCAGATTAATCCACTGCAACACAGCATGGGACCCCAAAGCAGCTTTTTCAAGGGGCCAGATAACCTCTTTAAGCAGCTGAGGCACTGCCATGCAGGATGAAGCTTATGGCCACATGATACTTTGTTCAACCATCAGAATTCCTACCTCTCTCACCAAATTAGGTGTTGCCACCTGCAGGGCAATGATTGCCTCACATAGGCTAATTTAACACAGGGGAAAATACTCCCTTTCTACCTCTGTCAGTCTTCTAAATCTGAAACTCCAGAAGCAAAGAGTCTGGAGATACATGGTCAAAAGCCAGTCATCAGGGTTCCCCTCTGAAGCCAAGACCAGGATGCAGACTATGTGAAAACACTAAGCCAGCAGGAATGAGCCGGGGGGAAAAGTCAGTCAAAAGGGAACACTGGAACAGGAGAGACAAATACTGCAATCAGAATTTCAAAGTAGAAGAGCATCAGAAACCACAGAGAGCTATGCTAGGATAACCCTGGATGATTATGAACACTCAAGTATTGCTTCTTTAAGCTGCAACCTTTGCTCCCTTGGACTAGGAAACTAGAAAGGGGAAGTTTGTAGAAATTGGTCTGTAGCTGTGAAAACATGCAACAGAATAGTGAAAAGCAAAGCTGTCTGCTATATAATATAGGAAATATAAATCACAGTTCTTTATTTCTGTAGAAGTCCCAAAATAAAAAAACTTCCGATGAGATAGAAAATGAAAGCCAAATTCATTCTGCTTCACCTTGAATTGACCAACTTCACTGTGTCCTCCTTTTTACATACATGTAAAAAAATGTATTTACTCATTTATTTGAAAGGCAGAGAGAGAATTTTCCATCCATTGGTTCACTCTCCAAATGACCACAACAGCCAGGAATGAATGGGCCAGGCTGAAGTCACGAGCCAGTAACTTCATCCAGGTCTCTATTTGGTGACAGGAAGTCAAGTATGTGAGCCATCAATTGCTGCTTCCCAGGAGAATTAGCAGGGCACGTGATTCAAAGCAGAGCAGCCAGGACTGGAACTGGCAACCTGTTATGGAAAGCTGGCATCCCAAGTGGCTGTTTAAGCCACTGTTCCACAACACTCACCCACACTGTGTCCTCCCTTTGTCCTACTACTCAGATTTGTGCAGACATACATTCTGATAATAATTCTGCTCTCCATGTCGGTAATGTACTTTCTAACCAAATTTTGTAATAACCATTCTAGTTGGAATTGGAATGCAAGAATCTCCAACTGCGATCACAACCCCATTCCATATTGCCAGTGCTATACAGTTTGTGTGTGTGCACACACACACAATATTGTGGGGAGCAAACCGGACTAGACTGAGTTACTGGAATTAAGACTTATTCTATGCATCTGCTCTCCCACAATATGGCGCTGGGAGAGGAGAAAACAGCTTCTACACAGCTGCCTCCAGTTCAACCAATAAACTGTAGGACCTACTCCTGATTAGAGGAGAGCAGCGTACTCGGCGTGTGGGCAGCCGAGTTAGGATTGGTGGAGGAGGACTATAAAGGAGGAGAGAGACGGCATTCACCAGGAACATCTAAGGGGAACATCTAGCTGAAGGAACACCTGTGCAGCCCCCGAGAAGAGCCGGCCGGCGGTGTGCCGCTCCCCTGCGGAAGTGGGGAATGTGGCCGGGGGAACTGCCCTTCCACGGAGGTGGAAGGGATAGTAGCCAACCCGGGAAGAACCAGCAGCAAACCCGGGGAGGGCTGAGCAGACGAAAGAACAGCGCAGGGTCCTTTGTCGTTCCTCCACGAAGACGGGGAGCGACATAATGGTGCCGTGACTCGGATATGAAGCCTAGGCAGGGCTTAGTGTCGTTCCTCCACGAAGAGGGGGAGTGACATAATGGTGCCGTGACTCGGATAGGAAACTTAGGAGGGAAGAAATGACTCGGATAGGAAACCTAGAACGGATAGGAAACTTAGGAGGGAAGAAATGACTCGGATAGGAAACCTAGAACGGATATGAAACTTAGGAGGGAAGAAACGGGAAGAACTAGGGAAAATATCGGAGAGAGAGACTAGCAAACAGCCTAGGGAAAAGCCGGACGAAAAGGGTGCCGGAAGAAGCTATTGAAAGCCTAGGCATAGACTCAGATACGGACTACGGGGGGAAGCTGGGAGAAATCTCTAAGGTCGAAAGCGAAAGTGAAAGCTAGAACAAACAGACTCGGACGCGGACTGTGGGGAGAAGCCAGGAGAAATGAGGGAGGAATATTGTTGGAAGAAAACTTAGGGAAACATACCGGGTAGAGAAAACTGTTAGGGAAATTGAAGCCGTGGGGGGCAGGCCAAGGCGGACACGAAAGCCACTTTGGGATTCTCAAGTTAGCCCGGGAATAGGGGGCGAAAAGTTGAAACCAGAAGCTGAAACGTGAGCCTGGTTGGGATCCGTCTGATTAGCCCGGGGAGCAAAGGACGGGAAGCCAAACCGTGGGGCGGAGACGTATGCTGGGTTGAATTCGCCAGGCTAGCCCGGGGAACTTAGATTGAATGCTAGTGGCGGACACGTAAGCTACGCTGTGTTAGAATGCTGGGAGATAGAAGTAAAATGGGAGAAATAGGAATGCCCGGAGATAGAGAAATAGAGAAATAGAAAGGCCTCCCCTCAACATGGCAACGAGAAAGTTTGGATTCGGTCTGCCTGATTAAGTGAGGCGATGAGCACGATGAGCACCTGCGGGCAGCTAGCAGCTTATGCGCCGCAGGTCACCGAAGACAGGCACGAATTAACATCAGTAAGGCCTCCCCACAAAAAGGCAATGAGAAGGCTTGGATTCGGTTTGCCTGATTGCTAGGTTTTGTAAGCCCCTGCAGGCAGAGCAAAGCATGCGCTGCAGGGCACCGAACACAGGCACGCATCAGCGCCTAAAAACCTCCTCACAACATGGCGAAGAGAGGACCCGGATTCGGTTTGCCTGATTGATAGGACTTGTAAGAGCCTGTGGCAACTCTAGCAAGTAGAGCAGAGTGTGTGCCGCGGGACACCGAAGACAGGCGCGTATCAACGCCAAAAATAAAAAGAAAGGGGGATCTGTGGGGAGCAAACCAGACTAGACTGAGTTACTGGAATTAAGACTTATTCTATGCATCTGCTCTCCCACAATATGGCGCTGGGAGAGGAGAAAACAGCTTCTACACAGCTGCCTCCAGTTCAACCAATAAACTGTAGGACCTACTCCTGATTAGAGGAGAGCAGCGTACTCGGCGTGTGGGCAGCCGAGTTAGGATTGGCGGAGGAGGACTATAAAGGAGGAGAGAGACGGCATTCACCAGGAACATCTAAGGGGAACATCTAGCTGAAGGAACACCTGTGCAGCCCCCGAGAAGAGCCGGCCGGCGGTGTGCCGCTCCCCTGCGGAAGTGGGGAATGTGGCCGGGGGAACTGCCCTTCCACGGAGGTGGAAGGGATAGTAGCCAACCCGGGAAGAACCAGCAGCAAACCCGGGGAGGGCTGAGCAGACGAAAGAACAGCGCAGGATCCTTTGTCGTTCCTCCACGAAGACGGGGAGCGACATAATGGTGCCGTGACTCGGATATGAAGCCTAGGCAGGGCTTAGTGTCGTTCCTCCACGAAGAGGGGGAGCGACACAATATTTTTTCAGTCTTAAAAAAATTACATGTCTTTTTGCTTACTGACCCTTTTTGTATTCTGAGTTACTAAACTTTACTTTTTAATAGAGCTTATTTCCTTCCTAGGCAAATCTAGAAAACCTAGCTAATATCCTTAAAGTTAAAGACCTATGATTTACTAGTCTGTATATCTATCTATCTATCTATCTATCTATCTATCTATCTATCTATTTGAGAGATAGAATTACAGACAGAGGGAGGGAGAGAAAAAAAGAAAATTCTTCCATCCGCTGGTTCACTCCCCAAATGGTTGCAATGGCTGGAGCTGTGCTGATCCGAAGCCAGGAGCCAGGAGCCAGGAGCGTCTTCTGGGTCTCCCACATGGGTGCAGGGACCCAAGCACTCAGACCGTCTTCTACTGCTTTTCCAGGCCACAGCAGAGAGCTGGATCAGAAAGAGCAGCAGCTGAGACATGAACTGGTACCCATAAGGGATGCTGTTGCCACAGGCTGAGGCTTAGCCTACTGCACCACAGCATTAGCTCCAAGTCTGTGTATCCTGAGCAAATAGCACAGAATATCATAGGCTCTCAATTAATGGTTGTTCAATTAATTAATCTCTTTGGGCTGTGTGATGTTTATTATAAGAAATAATCATGGGTAAATTTTTGCATCTCTTCTCTTCTTTTAACTTCTCTCTCTTCTTTTCTTTCTTTTCTTTGCTTTCCTTTACTTTTCTTTCTTTTCCTTTCCTGTTCTCTTTCCTTTTCTTTCCTTCCTTCTTTTTGATTAAGATCTATATTATCCTTAGTTTCTGTCCAGTAAACCAACTTGAAAAGTATCTCAAGTTTCTTAAAATATTATAAACATAGATAATTCTCTCTGAATCTGTAAATTTTTAGCTAAAAATGCTAACTGTAGACTCACTTTTAAGGTAGACTTTTTTTTCAACTTCTCTAAATATTGCTATTGTTCAGTTTTTTAAAAATAAAAAGAATAAAAATAGTTTACTAGACCTTGTATCAGTGGTTGAGGATATAAAGATGAATTTATTTCAATATTTTGAACACTTTTATGTTCCTCTTTTAACTTTTAAATCATATTTACAAAATTGTTTTTCCAACAATTATGCTTATTAGCTATTCTTATAAACAATCATTTTCTTATAGTTTCCTTTTTTAAATATTACATTCTTCAACAGGCTATCATTATTTTATTATTTTTACTAATTATTTCTGGCAGCTTTGTTAGTGGAAAATATTTCTCAAATCTACTTTCTAATAATGTTATACTTTGTGCCTGTAGCCAAATGTATAGAAAAAGTGATTGATTATTGAATGTTTAAAGTATTTCAAATCTAAAAATATGAGAGTACAGCTATGATACACTCATATAAAAACAACAGAGTAATGAAATTCATAAATTAATATTTGTGAAATTAAATACAGCTTCTTTTCCTGCTTGGATGCTAGCAGAATTATTTCTATTTGCTCATAACATAAAATTCTGATGGGATTATGTCTTCTAATCACTTTCAAATTTGTAAATTTATTTCAATAAAACATAATATTCAAGAACTAGCAAAACAAATGAAGGATATTCTATTTCAAATCTTGCTTTCATTGTTAATAGTACATACAACTCAGAACTCATCTGTAAAACAGAAAAATTATGCTGACTGGATGATCTCTTAGATTCCTTCCACTTGTGATATTCTACATTTTCTGCACCATATATTCTATGCACCATTTTGGTTTCTTACCTCCAAACTTTGGTTTCTTTTATTATATCTTTGACTGTTGATTTTGTGCCTTTGTGCAATGCTGTGCTTAATATGGAAATCCAATTTTCCAAAGTAGAATGGATCTCTCGTCCCACTTTTTATCTTTGCAGTCCTTTTTATGACATATTTTCATGTTTATCTTGTTTGTTGTTCGGTTTCTGCAGTCTCAATTCTAATGTTCCCAATAGTAATATAAATTGGTCTTTTACAGTTTTCAGAGCTTCAAAAGCTTCCCTGTAAGTCTCAGCCGGTTCTTGCCGAGATGGTATTTACTGTACGTTGGAAAAGAAAGCACAGCGTGGCAAGATGGTGGTGCAGAAGCACCATGTGGGAGGAGGGGAACAAGCCTTAAATGCAGAGATATCTGGGTTTCTAATATGATCTTGGGAAAACTCAATTCTAGGAGCCTCAGCTTTCTCATATATAGAACAGAGATCAGAACATGATTTTTCATAATGCAATAATAATGTTAAACAAAAACATGTAGACTAGTTAATCTAATAGTATAGCAGAGAGCTCCTGAATAAAAATTGTCTTTAGAAGTCAGTCATTTCCTAAATTCTTCTTTTATTTTGGTGGGAGTTATCATTCAACAACTTATATTTTTAGTATCTTAGCCACCAGAGCACCAGGGAGACAGGATTTTTCTAGTATCTTAACTATTTTATATTGCTAAGCTTTCTTGAGCTCCATGTTATTTTCAGTTTCTTCTTTTTCTGTCAACTACAATTTTTAGGATTGAAGACACAAAATTTTAATCTTATATGATTTTTAAGGATTTTGGTGATGTTTAAGGAAACAGATGCTATTTTATTGAATTCCTGTTGTCATGGACAATAGCTTTTTGATGCTATAATCCCCAAATGTAGTTGCTTTCTCTTCCTAGTATCCTTCAAGAACAAAACAGTGCTTTAATATCCATAAATGATGTTTCAGAGAGAATGCCTGCTATGGAGCTCAGGGATCTTGGGTTATACCAGACATTTCAGTTTAGGAAGTTGGTATATACAGTGATCTCAACAGTGTGCAGCACATTTAGGCAGAGACAGTGTCAGGTGGTGCTTTCCACAGCAGGAATTACAGTCCCTGAAGCTGAATAAGCTCCCAATATTTGAACTGAATGAAGGAGTAGCTGTGTTCTGTACAATAATAGTAGTCCCTTAAATCTTTAGAAAAGACTGCAGACAACAGTGTTCTGTTGTGACAGCATGTGTAAAAGTGAAACTAAATAAAGACATAAGCCAAGATCTTTCATCTTAAGATTTCTCAGTCCCTCTAATATTCTAATTTTGGAGGTAGACATTTGATTCAACAATTAAGTTGCCACATGGGACACCCATGTCCCATATCAGAGTGCCTTGTTCACGTCCTGGATTCTCTGCTTCCGGTTTCCTGCTAGTGCACAGCTTGGGAGGCAACAGGTGATGGCTCAAGTACATGAGGCCCTGCCATCCACATGGGAGACCCAGATGGAATCCTGGCTTCTGGCTTCGCCCTGGCTCAACCCTGGCTATGGTGAGCATTTGGGAAACCAGCAGATAGAAGATCTGTAGCTGTTTCTCTCTCTCTCTCTCTCTCTCTCTGCCTTTCAAATAAGATGAAAATAAATAAAAATTTTAAAACTATATATCCTATTACGCATTATGAACTTTTAAGCTGGGGATGTAGCTCGCAGCAATTCCTGGCCTTATTTGTCACAGAACTCCATTTTACTTTGTGGAAACCTAATTAACGTCTAGGAGAACCCTAGTCCCTTCAGAACAAGTTGGGTTCTACCCAAAGCCCAGAGGTACCTTCTATACTGATTGAAGATTCTTTTTTAAAGAAACTAGATTATTTGGGGATTTTTTACCCCTTTCTCACAGATTATATTCTCATAAAAGCGGTAATAAGTTATTGCTGTTATCCATGCTCTGTAATGATCTGAACCAACATTTCTTTCAGGCAAGCTACCAGAGACAGTACAGGAATGAGATTCTGTCTCAGAGTGCAGTCCAGGTGCTGGTAGGTGCAGCAGGAAGCTTTGGTGAAAAGAAGGGAGAGTAAGTATGTTGGAAAGAGAGGGCTTTTATCCCAAACCACTGCATTTAGGAAGCTATGCAAGTGAGTTTTCATGCTTTTAGTAACTTGGGTTCATCTGGTATTATACGTGCAAGCCACTGCTTGCTCTGAACTCCACACTCAGGCCAGAACACCTGTCTTCAGTTCCCCAGATGTGCCGTATTATTTCACGCCTCTGTGCACTTGAACTAGCAGCTGCTTCTAACCAAAACGCTCTTCCCTTTCTTTCTTTACCCCCTCCAAAAGCTAGACTGTGGTGGATTAGTCTTCCCATTTAGACTACTGGGACACCTGACTAACGGCAAAGTCTTCCTTAATCCCTCTACACATGATTTCAAGACATACTACAGGGCAGTTATAATCAAAACAGCCTGGTACTGGTACAAAAACAGATGGATAGACCAATAAAACAGAATAGAAACACCAGAAATAAATCCAAACATCTACAACCAACTTGTATTTTATCAAGGAGCTAAAACCAATCCCTGGAACAGGGACAGTCTCTTCAACAAATGGTGATCTCACAGAGCTTTAGGATCTGTTGGAATCTCTGAAATTATCAGGAATCTGTGAAGTCATTAGCTTCAGCATTAATCTCTTCAATGAGATTTAATCATTCCCCAAACCTACATTAGGTGCCCCTCTTTGTGGGTCCAGAATGCTATCATCTTAATTATTATCTGTTGCAACATGTGTTACAGTTTACTGCAATTGCTATTTCTTGCCTTATCCCACTAGTTGGCTGGAGCCTTGAGGCAGTGATCAGTATTTTCTTATGGTTTATCCCAAGCACAGTAGGTCTTCAGTAATTATTTTTTAAATTATGAATGAATCAAGTCATAGATCCATTGAAGATTTTCCATGTAAATAGCATATTGAATCATGAAGAATTAAATTACTGCATTTTCAATTTTTGATTAATATCTCTACAGCACAGAGACTTAGAAATTTCAGAGTCAAAACATTAAAATCAATAGGAAAGACACGGTCCATCTTGAATTTAAGTCTCCATGACTCCTTCATTAAACCACATTATAAGCTGAACCTACCCTCCTTCTGATGAAGACAATGAAAGTATTTGACCAACATCAGGCAAATTCCCCATAAAACCAAGGGGATTCACCAAACAGGATCATAGCACAGACTGAACAGTCTCAGTGCAGAAGCCAACAGAAACCTGTAGCCACCTTTTAGGTCCTTTGGGTAATTTATGACCGTTGACTTCTACAATCTACAATTTTGACTTTTTTGTAGTCCTTTTAGCCCGACTACTTGCCCTAAAGGTGAAAGAAGAGAAGTGGGAAGATGTGTGAGATGGACTGGATGTGTTATATATACTTTCTCATTTAACTATCCCAGCCTGACATAGATGAACAAGCATGTTACTGAGGTGATCTATTTATTGTGCTGCCAGAGAATGGAAGCTCCAACATGAAAACCCAGATGAAACCGAACCCTAAATATTTGAATCATGATATACTTTCTCTCCCTAAACCTAGAACGGTCACACTATTTTGAGCCATGTATCTCCAATTTCTTATACGCTCTTTATAATGAGTGGGCTCTACAAGCTTATTTTATGATTATATATATACTAGTTCTAACTTCATGACTTGGAACTCTGCCCATGAAAATGTCTCATTCACAGTCACCGCTGTACAAAATGGTCATTTTGCTTTCTGACAATACTGCATTGTTTACCCATTTTGAAAACAAGTCCAAATGCTGTTCTTTCTTTTAGATATATGAATCTTGGGACAATAAAGGTTTATTCTGAAAGTAAAAAATTCCTTACCTTTTTAAGAAAATTACTGCTCAACTGGGTATATAATACTAAAAAAGACAAAGGAGTCCCATCAAGGTAAGTGCTTATAAATGTTACAAGAAATGCTTTTACATTTATTTGAAATTCTCTATTTATTTTTATTTTTTTAACTTTTATTTAATGAATATAAATTTCCAAAGTACAGCTTATGGATTATAATGGCTTCCCCCCCATAACGTCCCTCCCACCTGCAACCCTCCCCTTTCCCACTCCCCCTCCCCTTCCATTCACATCAAGATTCATTTTCGATTCTCTTTATATACAGAAGATCAGTTTAGCATACATTAAGTAAAGATTTCAACAGTTTGCTCCCACACAGAAACATAAAGTGAAAAATACTGTTTGAGTGCTAGTTGTAGCATTAACTCTCAATGTACAGCACACTAAGGACAAAGATCCTACATGAGGAGTAAGTGCACAGTGACTCCTGTTGTTGACTTAACAAATTGACACTCTTGTTTATGGCATCTCTATTTATTTTTAAATCATATCCAGAAATACTCTGCAAAGTATTTTGAAGTAGTATACAAATCACTAAATTTGGTAGTATACTAAATTACTTACATACATACAGAAATATACTTGAAAAGAGATAAGATTATGTTCTCTCTTCTTTAACTGATGTAAATTTCACCTAAAATTAACCATAGCCATTTTAAAGTGTACAGTTCAATGTTATAGTCAATGTTATTTTGTACATTCATAATGTTGAACAGCAATCAGTTCCCAAAATTTCTTACAAATAGAATCATCAATATTTAGCCTTGCATTTCTGTCTTCTTTCATTTATCATAATGTTTTCTTAATTTCATTTTTCATAGTTCATTTCTAATGTATAAGGATACAACTGATTATATATTGCTATTCTATCTTGAAAGATTATTGATTTAGCTTTTTAATTCTAGCAGTTCTTTTGTGGCTTCTCTAGGATCTTCTATATATACAGTCATGTCATCTGTGAATAGAGACAATTTTTATTTCTTTCGTTTCAATTTGAATTCCTTTTCTTAGATTCAAGGGCAAGGAATTCATTTGCTTCAAGAGAAGTCTCAAAGAACTTACAGCCATCTTTAATCTACCACACTCAAATATCAAAATAATATTTTTGTATTAATTATAAACCTTTAACAATGACTTAAGCTACAATTTTTCTGAGCAGTATTTCTATTGATAATAACTTAGAAGGGAATTTGAGAAACTAGTATTGGCAGTCCATGTATCCATAGGTTATCTTTCAAATATTATCCTAGAGTAAGCAATTTTATAGATTCTGGAGTCAGATGACTTGGTTTAGAATCCCAGGCTCCATCACTCGTTAGCTGAATAAGTTTTTAAGGTCTGAGTTTCTTCATTTGAAAAATGAACACAATCATGTTGACATTTCTGGAGAATAGCAGATATTTGTAAAGGATCTAGTAAGGTAAATGACACATAGTAGGTACTAGGATATTCTAATTGAGTTACCTTCTGCTTATCTAATGAGATTATTGTAAAGACTGCATAAACAGTATGTATAGAAAAACAGAGGGACAAGAACTAAGTAAACAGCTAACAAAAGTTAGCATTTATTACTAAGTGCTAAGTAGCATCTATTCAAAATTGAGTCCCATAGCCAATGGATGAAACTACTATTAAAGATCAACAAACACAGAAGAAAATGCATAGCCATGAAAGAGAATCAGCAGAACCATCTGCAGTTTTATGTCTCTAATACTTCAGTTATTAGAGTTATTCAATATGTACTATAAGAATAGTATTACTAAGATGTAAGACTTTATAAACAATGGAATCACAAACATGGTAAGTCCAATCACCGGAAGAAACTGAATAGAAAAGTAGAATACATATTAATTATAATTGGAATTAATTCAACTTGTTAAAAATCAAATAATAAAATCACTATACCATTTATAATTTGAAGGGCTGTAGCTACAGCTGTGCAAAGGAAATTAAATGCAGAGCATTGACAATGCTTCTGATAGAAAAAGATTGAGTCTGTGACACAGGAAGTAGCAACATTAAGCAAGTGGACAGACCTGAAGGTCTTAAATCCTCAGATTCTCACAGGTGCTGTGGCCTGTCAGAAGCAACCTCCTCTCCCCACTAGAGAAGAGTAGCCTCATATCTTTTCCACATGCAGCAAGGTCATCACAAAATGAAGATTTCTAAGACTGATTTTTAATGATCTTTCATTGTTTCCAGGGAAATTACCGGGCCAGGTGTCAGCACAGCTAGAAGGGGAAATACAGTGCTTGCTTCTAGAGACTACAGATTATTACAGAGATTATGAGATTGAGTAACAAATTCTGGTAGGATTTATGAAGTAATGAATCTGGAGGGTATCAGTCAAGTACGTAAAACAGATCAGGGAGAATATATTGGCATAGGTGGTCTTTCCACCTGCTACTCAGGGCTCAGCACTCTGTAGTACCCAGTACTCTGGCACTATTTTATTCCAGAGGTAGTTCTTTAAAATTTAACCAGGCCAATAGCCTACACTAAGTGAGATGCAGATGACAAAAACTGGAATGTTTGGCCACATTATTGCATAAGAAAGAAGAAGCAACTACATGACTGTGGTAGATGTCTTCTGCAAGGCACAGTTCACAGTAGGAGAAGCTGCTGTGGAGTTGGTGTCATTAATTACAGAAGGATGTTAAGGATTCATGAATGGCAAAAAGGAAGATGGTAACACCTAAATGTCAGCAGCAAGGTGGGCATATTTTCTCTTATGGGCAGCATATCTGTAGTAATAGGGGAGCTTGACCTGCAGAATTTCTGGATCTATGTATGAGTAGAAAATAATACATGTGGAGGATGTGGGGGAAAAGGGACACTAATCCACTGTTGGTGGGAATGCAAACTGGTTAAGCCACTATGGAAGTCAGTTTGGAGATCCTCAAAACCTGAATATAACCCTACCGTACAACCCAGACATCCCACCCCTTGGAATTTGCCCAAAGGAAATAAAATTGGAAAATAAAAGAGCTGTCTGCACCTCAATGCTTATTGCAGCTCAATTCACAATGGCTAAGACCTGGAATCAACCTAATTGCCCATCAACAGTTGACTGTATAAAGAAATTATGGGATATGTACTCTGTAGAATACTATACAGCAGTAAAAAAACAATTAAATCCAGTCATATGCAACAAAATGGAGGAATCTGGAAAACATCATGCTGAGTGAAATAAGCCAGTCCCAAAGGGACAAATATCATATGTTCTCCCTGATTGGTGACAACTAACTGAGCACCAAAAAGGAAACCTGTTGAAGTGAAATGGACACTATGAGAAACAGTGACTTGATCAGCCCTTGTCCTGACTGTTGATGAACAATTTAATACTTTATCCCTTTTAGTATTTTTTTGTTCTACTTAATACTATTGGTTGAACTCTGTAATTAACACACAATTATTCTTAGGTGTTAAAATTTAACTGAAAAGTGATCCCTGTTAAATATAAGAGTGGGAATAAGAGAGGGAGGAGATGTACAATCTGGGACATGCTCAATCGGACTTGCCCCAAACGGTAGAGTTAGAAACGTGCCAGGGGATTCCAATTCAATCCCATCAAGGTGGCATGTACCAATGCCATCTCACTAGTCCAAGTGATCAGTTTCAGTTCACAAATGTTCATAATGATAGGACTAAGAGTCAAAGGGATCACATAAACAAGACTAGTGTCTTCTAATACTAACTGATAGAATAAAAAAGGAGAGAACGATCCAACATGGGAAGTGGGATACACAGCAGACCCATAGAATGGCAGATGTCCTAAACAGCACTCTGGCCTCAGAATCAGCCCTTAAGGCATTCGGATCTGGCTGAAGAGCCCATGAGAGTATTTTAGGCATGGAAAGCCAAGAAATTCTGGCAAAAAAAAAAAAAAGAAAAAAAACCTAAATGAAAAATCTCTGCGAGTGAGATCCCAGTGGAAAGAACGGGCCATCAAAGAAGGAGGTACCTTTCTCTGAAGGGAGGAGAGAACTTCCACTTTGACTATGACCTTGTCTAAATAAGATTGGAGGAGTTGGTAAACTCAAAAGGCTTCCATAGCCTTGGCAACTCATGACAAGAGCTTCGGGTGATTACTGATGCCATAAACAAGAGTGTCAATTGTTAAGTCAACAACAGGAGTCACTGTGCACTTACTCCCCATGTAGGATCTCTGTCCTTAATGTGTTGTACAATGTGAATTAATGCTATAACTAGTACTCAAACAGTACTTTACACTTTGTGTTTCTGTGTGGGTGAAAACTGTTGAAGTCTTTACTTAATATATACTAAATTGATCTTCTGTATGTAATTGAAAATGAATCTTGAAGTGAATGGAATGGGAGAGGGAGCGGGAGATGGGAGGATTGTGGGTGGGAGGGAAGTTATGGGGAGGGAAATCCACTGTAATCCAAAAGCTATACTTTAGAAATTTATATATATTAAATAAAAGTTTAAAAAAGAAAATAATGCTTGTGAAAGGACAGTAGAGATGAACAAATACTTTTCTACAGAGAGAACTAATGACAAACAAGATAGATCAACTAGCACAAAGCAAGACTAAGATTCCCTCCCTGCCTTGCTATAGAATATCTTGTCATTTCTCAGAGCCAGAGCCATTGACTTACAAAGGACTTAAAATCACATCACAAGGAAATAGAATGAATGTTCCTTCAACTTTTTCCCAAAACATTAGCCATTTTACAAGTTACTACGCATTGAGGAAAGAAAATACCCAGGGTTTTTGATGATTTTTAGACATGGCATTTAAGAAGCCAATGCTACTACCAAAGGCCTGAAATGTTATTGTGGTCCTCAAATGAGATGGGGGCTTTTAGGCTGGACAACATATGCTGTTTCTGGCCTACTTTTCCTGAATCAGAGTCTAGCAGGTCTACTCCATCATTATTTCTCTGAGTCCCTTAAGGCATAGTTGAGATTAATATACTAGTATCTAGCCAAACACTTCCCTTGACTCACTAACCTACACAGAACAAGAACAATTAGAGCAGGAAAAATCAAATATCCAACTGGATCTTAAAAATACAGCATTCCAAAAAGAATTAATGATTAACACAAACACTAAATATTATAAGGAGTACCTATCATGCCCCTCTCAATACACTTATCTGGCACACACCAAAAAAAACCCAGATTATAGTCATCCATGAACATAAACAAAAGGTTAACTAAATCTTGGTGTTGTGCCAGGTATGATTCTGCCATTGGAAAAAATCAAGGCAATCAGCCTGGAGAGATTGACTGGAAAGCCAGAAGTGGTGTTACCGTGAACCTAACAAGGCATGCACTCCATGGTTGCTCTCCTAGACAGGCCCTGCTATAGACTTTGGTGGGCACTAGCAACATGGTCATGTGATCACATGTTTCTGATTTCATCTATGTTTTCTCAAATAAGATCCTAAATTGTAAAAGCTTCTGACGCATAACAAAGATCTACTCCTGATAAAGGGAAAATGATTCAGTGCCTACCCAATTTTTGATTAGTAGTTGATCAATTCTTTAATTTGAATTTTAACACTAGTGCATCATTTTACTACTTGAATAATTTTAAAAACAGGATTAAAATGTAAAAACCAAATTCTATTCTTCAGCATACCTGTTGGGGAAACTATTTTTCAAAGCAAATATATTAAATTAAATTTTGTGACAAAACATGTGTTCATACTGTTTCATTACCATACATTCTAGGCTTCTGTTCACAACTGTACACCTTGACAAGGGAAGATGTTCATAATTCCTTGAAAAAGAAGGAGAAAGCAGATTACAGTAAAATATGTGTAATGTTATTCCTTTCATGTTTACAGATAATGATTATAAATATAAAAAGATTAGAACAATATTCAAACTGTTAATAGTAGTCATCTTTGGGAAAGAGGAATTATTGGAAGGTGGGAGAGATTCTCCTTGCTTTATTTTTAAAATATTTTCAATTTGAGTTATCCCTGTCATATAACAAAAGTATTTCTATTTTTGTTTAAAAAAAAAGGTGAATGAAAGATACAGAAACATAGAGAAAGAGACAAGCAACTAGACTCAAGACAAGGAGATTCAGATGAAGAATATGGAAGCAAATGCCAGTGTTAGCAAGTAATGGCTGCTTCTCAGAATTAAGCAGGGACTATTAAACTTAGAACAGACCTGGGTATATAATAAAAATCAGTACTTCTGCCAGATAAAACTGTTTTGTCTTTCTTTTCTTACAGACATCTACTTTTTCGTGTATGCCATAAAGCAGTATTTACTGATGAATTTGAGTATGTCGGATACCTTGTGATACTAATGAATGTATTTCCTATTATAATCAGTTGGATACCACAGTTAAATAAAATATATGACGATGAAATAAAATATACTAACTACTCTTTTCTTGCAATTTATATTCTAGAGGCCCTACTTAAGGTAACTTGAAGTGTGTGTATGTCTGTGTATATACATGAAAGACAGACAGAGATTGAGACACAGAGAGAGAACATGTTATATTTCCTAATCTAATTTTTCAGTACTAACTCCAGACAATGTTCTAAGGGTATATGAAATTCTCCCTCATGTCTCAATTTTTTTTTCATTTTTAAAGTCTATTTTAGGGTAATTCAATAGAAAATTTGCGTACTGTAAGCATTGATGTTTGTTTGCAAAAATAAGTTTCAAGATGGTGTGAGTCAAAGAATACAGAGTGGATGTAAAAAGTATTGGCAATATTCCTATACTTTGCAAGTGCACGAGTCCATGGATGTTCATCTTACTGCTTCTATACTGGATAGACAGATAAATGGATAGGTAGCTTGATAGGTATTCTTTTATATTTGAAAAAATTTGTAATTTTTATTAAAACCCAATCGACATTTATTAAATGATGGAAATCTATCTATACAAATTTATGGTGGTACTTATGTGTTTTATGGATCAACAGGTTGTAATATAAAAGAATTTTAGCCAGAAAATTTAAACAGAGGAATTATATCTGATATATGGACAAAATAAATGGACATTAAATCCTGACTGGAAAATTATATGCCACTGCAGACCCATGATATTGGAAAAGAGGAGTTTCAAATTCAATCACATTGTGTGTAATAATTTCCAAGCCAGTCAGAAAGACTGCAGGGGGTCTCATAGAATTAAGAGATTAAAAAAAAAAAAAAAAACAGTTAAGGTTAGTGTGTGGTCGAGGACTAAAATTCCCCTAAAATAATTTAACACACAGTGTAGTGGAGAAATGAGTGAGCTGAGACTTAGTAAACCTTGACATTGTAATCTGCTGGCCATTACTGAACTTTTCCCAACCTTCATTTCCTCTGGTATAAAATGGCAGGGTTGGCCTAAACAACAGATGAGCATCTCTCTAGATCAGTCTACTTTTCTAGATGCTGCCGTGGCCTTGATGGGCTTCTTACAGTCAGGCCCGCTTACAATGCCAGAGCTGGGCTGCAGAGACACTACTCCACCCTCTAGCTGAGTGGGTACTGCGCCATCCTGGTCTTATTTCTATGTCCTCCTTAAGACTCATCCTCACTTCGCAGTTGGAGAACTTGCACTCACATCGCATTTCCTTTATCTGCTTTTCTGTTTGGTCAGTTCTATCCTTGTTAACATGCCTTTTTTTTCTACTTAAGCCTCAGAATAGATGATTTTCCCTCAGTTGAGATTTTCAGACAGGAATAACTACTTATACACTTACTTTGCCTTTTTAAATGTTTATTATGTTAGTAACAATAAGTTATTACCTACAAGGTGCCAGTCATTTTGACACTAACATTTCACATTCTTAAATTAATCCTGTAAAATATGCATTCTGCCTGTGCTTTACAGATCGGGAAGCTGAGTCTGAAGAATTGTGTTATTGCTTAGAATCACAGAACAAATGAAGAGTAGAGTACAGATACGATTCCTTAAAAGCTTACGCTCTTTCAAATAAACAATGCTGCCTTCAAATTCCCTTCTTCGTATTTTCAACCTCTTTTCAAAACAGTCTTCCCTCTGTTAGAGAAATTAATTTCCCGAAACTCGGAGGGGAAGGCCCATCATGCCTCTCAAACAGCATATTTAAAAGAGATGTTATCATCTCTAATCCTACTCTTTCTCCAGAATTCCTCTAGAAACCCAGTTTCCCAAGCTGAAATCCAGGTATCTTTGGAAACTTCCACTCTCTTACCTGTAGTAGGTTCTCAATAAGTATTTATCTGAAATAAGGACTGGCTGAATAAACTATCATAAAATAGTAGGCATTATTTTTGTTTCAAATTTCAAAGTAAAATTATCATTTAATAGTGTGAGCATATCTTTTAATTTAGCACATTTGAAAATCAGGTGATTTTTTTTAAAAAAGATAGATGGTATGATATGAATCCCTCATAGCTAGTCACAATTCTGGAATATCTAAAAATTACTGTTCCGGTATTGTAATTTCAGCAAATCAATTAACTGTTAGTGAAGTGCAATAAAATATGAAGGTACAGATATAAAATTTAAAGTTTTCAGATATGTTTTGCCTTAATTTACAAATAACTCATTCTATAATATGCATATTCTAGTAGAAATTTTATATTCTACTAGAAGCTGCATCAACTATCTTTAATAGGCATTCACCTGGCCCTAGATGGAACTGTCAGAAAAGTTTTCTCATCTATGTATTCAAGGTGATGAAATTCTTGTTTTTAGAATTCAAATTACATTACAGTGTTAATGTAGTCAACACAGCAGAAGGGATCTCCGTGTTCCAGCAAGGCACCTTGCCCACAAGCACGGGATTTGTAGGCACTTCATTTTTCTTATTTCCTTTGCTTCTACCAGGCTCTCCTTTTCAGGGATCCTGAAGGAATGCTGCCTTAATACCTACTCTGGTTGTCTTCACTAGCTCTCTAGAGGTATATAAAAAACAAAACAATAGCCTATTTTAAAGTGGCAGAAGTCGGAGTGGGCATTTTGCCTAGCTGTGGAGATGCCTTATTTTAACTCTAAAAACAATGCATTTGTCAAAATAAAAGAAGACATTGATGCAATTGCCAAGGTAATTCTGACAGAATATTTACTTTTAAGAAATCAAAAATAACTTCTTTTCTACATCATCACAGAATGAAATTACATGAATGGATTTAGTGAATAAAAGCCTTTTATAAACATTATTTAAATTGTGAATCACTTTCATAAAAGTCTTGTCCGTATACATCCCAATAAACAAAATCTATTTTTCCTTGATTACCTCAAGTCACTATTTTGGATATTAATCATTTAGTACTAAAAGACAGAATTCAACCCACGGATTATTGTAGTATTTAGGCTGCTTGTTTTAATTAAAAGACCCTGACACACCATGGATGTTTTCATGCTGTTACTTTTTACTGGTGTTTTTCTATAAATCTGTTCCTTTTCACCTGTATCTGTACTGTACTGCTTATCCTAAATCAACAGTCTTTTTAGTGTTTCCTTTACTAGAGGATAAAGTTGATGAACAAGTTTGGTTTATCTGTTTGATTTAGGTTTCTTGGTGATTTTTCAGAGATGTAAAGTCTTAAGGTAAATCAGAGAAATAACAACCTGACTGGTGATGTGTAAGTCTGAGAAAAAGCAAAAACACATTCCTGTAATTTCTTTTCCAATCAACAGATAGCAGCAATGAGGAGGGCATATTTTTCACATGCCTGGAATATATTTGAGTTAGCAATTACATTCATTGGCATCATAGACGTAATACTGATCGAAACAAGTGCAATTAATTATTCATTTGACTTGATCCAGACAGTGGTCATTATGAAAATTGCTCGATTTCTTCGGTTGCTGCGCATTTTGAAGGTAAAGAACAAGTAACTCATGCAATTTTAAATCCCAGCTGTTTTCATAAAATATGGACTAAAATCAGTTTACTTGCTTTATGGTTACCAACTGCTGTTGAGCAATACTTACATTATGAATTTTAGCTCATGGAGTGGGCATGGCCTAGTAGTTGGGACACCTGCATCCCATATCACAGTGTCTGCATTGAGTCCTGGCTCCTCCCCAGATTCCAGATTCCAGCTATTGCGCACATCAGGAGGCAGCAGGGGATGGCTAAGTAGTTGAGTTCCAGCCTTCATTTCCCAGAGGATGAGAGCTCTCTTTGTCTTTATGTCTGTTTTTCGGGTCTCATAAATAAATAAATAAAGCACTCTTTGACAGCTTTTATAAAATTTTGTATTATGAATATCCAAATCATATTAGAAATACATTTCTCACATGAAAGTAAGGAAATACTTATCACAGCTTGTTCTTTGAATAGAGAACACATGGAACAAATATCTATATTAATTCAAGTGCAAGTTGACCATAGCATTTCTTTTATAGATTCGTGGGGGATAAAAGATGGAAATCTTCAGAACACACAAACATGCAAACCATTCACAGGGAAAAATAGTATGCAAATCAAGAACAAAAACATACATTCCTTGTTTTTGTTTTTGTTTTTGTTTTTGTTTTTGTTTTTGTTTTGACAGGCAGAGTGGACAGTGAGAGAGAGAGAGAGAAAGGTCTTCCTTTTGCTGTTGGTTCACCCTCCAGTGGCCGCCGCGGCTGGCGCACTGCAGCCGGCGCACCGCGCTGATCCGATGGCAGGAGCCAGGTACTTCTCCTGGTCTCCCATGGGGTGCAGGGCCCAAGGACTTGGGCCATCCTCCACTGCACTCCCTGGCCACAGCAGAGAGCTGGCCTGGAAGAGGGGCAACCGGGACAGAATCTGGTGCCCCGACTGGGACTAGAACCCCGTGTGCCGGCGCCACAAGGCGGAGGATTAGCCTAGTGAGCCGCGGCACCGGCCTCACACATTCCTTGTTATATATATTCATAGTATCATAGACTCAGGATATAAAAAACAACCTTTGAATATCTGAACAAGTTTCTATACAAATATGATGGGTAGATATTTATATGTTCTATATTTTATGAAATGAAATGCATTCCATCATAGGATATATAAGTATGTATGGATAGATATTTTCAGTATGTGTGTGCTTTTCTATACTCATACACAACCAAAACATGCACACATATCAGCACTGTGGAAGGTATAAAGAAATATCACCTATTTCATCTAGAGACAAATTAATGGACTAGAACATTTGCATTTAGATATTTTTCTAAAGGTCTAATTTGAATGTTATAGTCACAGCCTTTCTTTTTATTATAAGATTTATTTATTTGAGAGGCAGAGTTACAGACAGAAAGAGGGAGAGACAAAGAGAGAGGTCTTCCATCCACTGGCTTGTTCCCTACATGGCCACAATGGCCAGATCTGGGCTCATCCAAAGCCAGGATCCAGGAGCTTCTTCCAGGTCTCCCTTAGGGGTACAGGGGCCCAAGCACTTGGACTGTCTTCCAGTGCTTTTCCAGGGCCATTAGCAGAGAGCTGGATCAGAAGAGGAGCAGCCGGGACTTGAACCAGCACCCATATAGGATGCCAGTGCCACAGGCAGGGGCTTAACCTACTATGCCACTGTAATGGCCCCTCCCCTACAATTAGATCTTTTCTCATGTATCTTAAAAGTAGTCTTCTCCTCTTTCTATTCTGTGGGGCTGTTAGTATTGCTAGTGCACAATTTGGCCTGAGGAAGGCAAGTCCAAATTATTCCAATGATCAGTTAACTCTTGCTGATAGGAAAGTATAGTCTACCTAATAGTTTAGATGGTACAAAAAACTGACAAACTACCTAAGAAAAGTTTTTTTATATAATCAGGAAATTCTGCACCCTGTATCAGACGGTAGCCCCTTGGAACAGGGAGACAAATTAGATACAGTCTCTGCCCCTGGGGAGTTTACTGTAGAAGGGAAATGACAAGTAATCTAGATATTTCAGTGTGATATGGCAGGATAAGTGTAAGATGTAGCACAGAATGCTGATGGAATAGTAAAGACTTCCTTTGTGAGCTGATTCTTGAGTGGAATCTTGAAAGAGGAAAATAAACTCTTCAGGGATTAATGGCGGTTTTCTGGGGACAGGTGGAGTGTTTACATTGTGGAACCTTGGTAGGAAGACAAAGAACAGCCAACTTTATTGGAGCTAGGGGACCGCACATTGGCAGAAAATAACCTGGAGATTTAAACCCTCAGCAAAGAAAGAGGGAAAGAACGTAATTATGCATCTTAACAGGGATTATGGTTGTGGTAGGTTCTAACCCAAAGGGATCACTTACTAGGACAATTAGTAGACATAGCTTTCAAATGGCAGTACTTTTTAGATAGTCACTTTATTACCTAAGCCCAGAAGATGAACCACAATATTTTCCAAGAATTTAAACTAGTTAAAAATCACATTCAAATCTCCATAAATGAAACAATTAAAGAATTGTCATAAACTTCACATAGGTGCCCGATGTTATTAGTCACAGAGAAATAGCTATAGTTGTGAAGTCATAGAGCTGCCAAGAATAAAATAAGAACCTAGGCAGATTGCTGCAATTACTTTTGAGGGCATTTATCTTATTATCAACAATTTTGGTAAAACTAGTCAAATAAAATTTTTTTCAGCTCGTAACACCAAAGTTGCTGCAAATAATAGATCAAAAGATGAGCCACCAGCTGTCCTTTAGATATGCTATACTAAAAGGATATGTCCAAGGTGAAATGGATGTGATGACCATAATTGATCAGATCGCAAGTTCTAAACAGGTTAAACAGGTGAGGAAAACCTTAAATACCAAGAAAAGAGTTTATTCTCCCACTAGTCAGTTGTCCTCGCATCCTCTGTCTATATATGTAAATGCGGACCCAGACTCCTGGCTTGCTAATTAATTCCTGTGAAAACTTAAATTGTCTATATTTAAATTACTTCAGTGCCTCCCTACAGAAATATCTGTGCCACATTAGCAAGCTACAAGGCTCTTGGAAGTCACCTTTTGTCTTGTGGAGAAAGCCATGAAACCCACATGTGGTGGGCAGCTTCCTCCCAATGCAAGCCCTTGACTGTGTCAGGCTACAGGTGTCTTAAGTGCAGAATATGGGGAGGTGAGATCTTAAGGCAATGTGGAACAAATGGAGGTTCCTCCTGACACCCACTATTTCCTTCCAACTCCTTCAATCCCTAGATTCCCCACAATAAACAGCAAAAGAAAATGAAACCAGGTGATCTGGCAAATGGAAAGAAGTAAAGAGGGAAACCTAGTCTGATAAGAAAAACAAGGCCAAAGAGGGTTAGATGACTGTGCAAAAACTACAGAGCAAATAAGCAGCACAGACAGTTCTAGGATCTAAGCTCTGGATTTCATTTTTGATTTTCTACATTGAAGTAGATTAACACTAATAACAGGCCCAAAAGCCTGTGTGGAGTTCAATATTGACCTTTCACAGTGATTTAGTACATTTGGGTTATATTTTGTACGCCCAAAGACTTGCTGTTCCATAAAATGAACATTCAACATGTGATAGGACACAAAAAGTAGTATCTTCCCTCCCTTCTCCACCTGCAACTTTAAATATCACCTCCAGCCACTGATAGCACTGCAATTTGAGAAAATTGCAGGAGAAAATACCAAAGAACTTCAGTTTCTAAAACACTGACCTCATTTCTGCTCTTCCACACCTTGGCCAAACCTTCTACTCGTTTACAGTGGAAAGCCATTCCTGGGTCCCAAATTTGGAGGCTTTCATAAGGCTGAATGAGAAAGTATCTGCCACATCTACACTTTAAGAACAAACAGTATCCTAAGCCACATTGCACATAAGGAAAAGAATAGGACGCACCTTCGTGCTTCTCAAAATTGGCATAGGGAATACCACTTCTCTTCTCCACTGCTCTTGCTCAAGCAAAGAAAACTAATTGCACACAATTCAGTTCTTTTTTGTTTTAAGGCAAAGGGTTTATTGGTGGGGAAACCCGGCAGAACTGAGGGAAGGGGCGAAGAAGGAAAAGATAAAGAAGGAGAACGTAAGAGCGAGAGCGAGGCAGAGACAGAGACAGAGACAGAGAATTCAGTTCTAATCCCTGAAAACTCTCCATCATACTTTTCTTTGCAGTTTTTCATTTGTATTAAAAACTAAATTAAGACATTAAACAAATAACTATTTGTTTTTCTGGTGGAAGTAACATTTCTTTTGTTCCGTAGATGTTATTAAAGCGAGTCATAAGAAACATGGAACTATCTATGAAAGAGCTAGGTAGGTACTTCCCATCCTACATTCAGAAAGGCAATGGCATTTATAACTAACCTGATCCTTGAGAAATCCTACTCACTGATAATGATGAAGTGGATAATGGAAACAATCAACAGGGTCACACTCTCTGGTTCAGATGAGAACAGTGTAATAATAGCTCTATGAATGTGTTCTGTCTGCCTTATACCACAATTGAGAACTTTTAATTTCTGTTTAAAGAATCCTCATTAGTATTCCATGATTACACAGGTCATTAGAGCCTTATTCATTCTATTTTCTTCCAAGCCAGAAATACATGTACCTTCTGCGATTGACACAAGGAAATCAGTTACCTTTATTTTCTGCTTGCCACAGGGCGGTCACCCAAGGACTGAGGCTTTACAATGAGTTCAAATCCAAACATAGTCTTAACATGTCTCTGTTGTGACTGTGTGGAGGCTCAGTGCACAAACATGGCAGCAGGCTGTAAGTCATGCCGGCTCATGCTCCTGGTGCAAGACGAATAGTGGCAGTGGAACAGATATTACTGTAACATGATGATCATGGGAGAGGAGGAGGAAAAAGGGTTTCAGACCCAATGGTGGGCATCAAGATAACACAGAAAGTCTGGATATAAAATCAGCCTTGAGAGATCTTGTATGGTAGATAATTACCAAGCCACATAAAAGGTTATGAACAAGGAAAAGCCCGAATGTGGAATCTAAATGGATGAAATCTACATGGGCATCCAGTAATCCAGATGAGACAAGCAGAGAAGCATAGATAGATGAGTCATTTAGAGGCACTGCAAGGTGAGTTCACAGTGATCCAGGTAGAGTGAGAATCAATCAGAAGCACAGTCTATAGTCAAAAATTCTGATTCAGGGACTGGCACTGCGATGTAATAGGTTATGCCTCCATCTGTGGTACCAGCATCCCACAGGGGCACCAGTTCACGTCCCAGATACTCCTTTTCCAATCCAGCTCTCTGCTATGTCCTGGGAAAGCAGCAGAAAATGGCCCAAGTGCTTGAGTCCCTGCACCTGCATGTGAGACCTGGAAGAAGCAGCCCAGCTCCAGCCATTGTGCCATTTGGGGAATGAATCAGCGTATGGAAGACCTTTCTCTCCATCTCACCCTCTTCCTGTCTGTAACTACTTCTCAAGTAAATAAATAAAATCTTTTTAAAAAATCAAATTTAAACAGAATAGGAAAGTGGGTCATGCACTTCAGACCTAAAGCTCTGGGTGGCTTCCCTGTGTCCAGAGCAGGTAGATCAATGTAACAGTAAACCTAGGACTAAGGCTATCACTCTCCATGAAATTAGGGACGAGCATGAGACCTGCCAAGAAAAGCCATTCAGACCTCAGGCACCACTGGTAAGTAATGGTTGACTGCAACAGCTACATCAGGGAGAGATACATTTCCCATGTTTAGGGTTACACTCCAAGGGCTTAATATCCACTTATTGAGATATTCCAAACAATGTCCTTTATTTCATCTGAAAATATGGTTTTTTTTCAGGCTACTTAGAATATGACCACCCAGAAATTGCTGTCACCATGAAATCAAAGGAGCAGATTAATGTCATGCTCAATATGGCTAGAGAAATTGTGAAGGTTTTCAGGTCAAAGGGAATTATTCATAAAATTGAATGTGCCGAAATTAATAAGGTAAAATAGAGTATTGTCAAAGAAAGTATATTTACTTCATTTATAGTCATTCATGATCTTCAATCCTACTTTTGACATTTTCTAATATCAACATTTATGAGAGATGAAATTCTTACTCAAAATAACTATCTAAAAACAGATAATCTTCTTCCTGCAGTCCCAGCAGTCAACTCCTCTTTCCATTTTTTCATTGGTGAGGAACCACCTCTTTCTCTGCATTGTTCCCAAACCAAGGGCCTGTTGAATCTAATCTTCATTCTAGGTTACAGTGGGTATCAGTATATTCTTGGAAATTACCAGGGACATGGAAATAATGCTTTACATATAAACTATGATTCAGGAAAACAATTATAGTTGAGATTGTCTACATTATCTTCCTCTAAGTTATTTAAAATGATACAATGACATGTAAAAATATAGAAAGGGTCCCAATTCATTCTCTAAGTACAAATAAGACACTAAAATGGGAATAGAATAAAAACAGAAAGCTTTTATATTTGTGGGTACATATATAAAACTTCATAGTTTAATAGTACTGAATAGAATTTAAAAGTATGTTAAATGGTAGTATATTGGATATAAGTAGTTTTTAATCCCCAAAATAGCTATGTGTCTCACACAGAAAAGAAAAATCAATTTTATAAGACTCAACCCTCATTCAGAATGTTAAAAAAAATCTTAAAAGGCTAATAACAGAAGAAACATCCTTAACTTGATTTAAAAAATACTTGTTAAAAACTAACAGCAAACACTGCATTAGCTAGCAGGACATTAAGAAGCATTCCAATGAAACTCTGGAGTGAAAGAAAAGCAGTGTCATGTCCAATCACTGAATGGTGGGCTGGAAGTCAGCTTCATCTAGGAGGAAAGAATGGAAATGGAGAGATGGCAATTTTGGAAAGAGGAGAAAACTGCTTTTTTATTTTTAATTAAAAATCATAGGGAGTTAACACAAAAACTGTGGGACTGAAGGGCGCGTTGAGTCTAGCTGCTAAGATGTGCAAGTCCCATCAGCTCTGGCTCTAGACTCAGCTTCCTGAGATCATAGATCCGGTACTGCAGCAGTGCTGGTTTATGTAATTGGGTTCCTATCACTCATGGAGGAGACTTGGATTGAGTTCCTGGCTCTTGGCTCCAGCCCAGCCCAGCCCCAGCCATTGCAGGCATTTGGGGAATCAATGAATCAATGGAAGCTCATACACTCTCTCTCCTTCTCTCTCTATTTCTCTGTTTCTCAGCCTCTCAAGTAATAATTTTTTTAAAACATCATCGGGGAGGGGCGAGCATTGTGGCATAATGGGTAAATCTGCCACCAGCACTGCCAGCATCCCATATGGGCACTGATACCGATTCATGTTCCAACTGCTCTGCTTCTGATCCAGCTCCCTGCTAATGGCCCAAGTATTTGGGCCCCTGCACCCCTGTGAGAGATCTGGATGAAGTTCCGTCTCCTGGCTTTGGCCTAGACTAGCCCAGCTGTTGTGGCCTCTGGGGAGTGGACCAACAGTTGGAAGATCTCTCTCTCTCTCTCTTTCTCTCTCTCTCTCCCCCCCCTTCCTTTCCCTCTCCTACTCTTTCTCCCTCTCTCTCCCTCACCCTCTGTCTCTCCCTCTCTCTAATTCTGACTTTCAAATGAATAAATAGATATTTAAAAATAAATCTGTAGGACTAATAAGTAAATTCAGTAGGGTTTCAAGAAATGAGATCAATACATAAAGTTTTTCTTCAATAAAAGAAAATGTAGAAAGTGTCATATTACAAATTATAGGAAAAATCTAAATCTGTAAACATGAGTTTTATGTAAAATATGTAACATCTATATGGCACGAATTGAAAAATTTTACGGAATACATGTTTCTGTAGAGAAAGAGTTGGCCATTCTCTGTTAAGGACAACTTAATAAACCTTTTATATTATTTGAGTTTTGTAGTCGTTGTCACAACCACTGCATTCTGACATTATAGAACCAAACGGACATTAGAGAATTTACAGATAAATGGGCATGACTGTGTTCTGGAAAAAAAAAAAAAAAAGCTTTATTTACGAAAACAGGATTCAAGCAGGAGTTGACCTAAGGGCAGTAGATTACAAATTATTCCTCAGAAAATCAATGTACTAAGATGTTAGTTATCAATAAAACATTAGTCAAACTAATAAGCCTTGAACAAAATTCAAACAACATTCTAGAGAATTTAACAAGTAGATTTTACTTACACAATTTACTGCTCAGAGGTTATTTAAAAAAAAAAAAAAAAAAACTAGCAAGCATATTGGAGTGCTGGCTGGAGTCCCAGCTACTCCACTTCTGATCCAGCTTCCTGCTAATGCATTCTAGGAAGCAACAAAAGACAGCTAAAGTGCTTGGATCCCTGCCACCCACATGGGATTCCTGGATGGAGTTCTTGGCTGATGGCTTTGGCCTGGCTCAGCTCTGGCTATTGTTGCTGTTGCAGGCATTTGAAGAATGAACCAATAGATGGAAGACATTTCCCCCTCTCTCCTCCCTCTCTCTCTCTTTCCACCTTTCAAGTAAATGAAACAAACAAATAAAAAAATCTTAAAAATAAATTATTCTGGCACAATTGGACATATGTATGTAGAAAAATAAAATTAGATCCCTATCTCTTGCCAAATACAAAAATAACTCGATATATCAAAGACTTGAAACTATGAAATTGCAACAAGAAAATGTAGAGAAACACTTTAAGACATTGGTGTAGGCAATGACAGTTTTGCACAAGACCCCAAAAGCTCAGACAACAAAATCAAAACTAGATAAATGGTATTATATCAAACTCAGAAGCTTCTGCACAGTAAAAGAAGCAAGAGAAGATATATCTTACAGACTTGGAGAAAATATTTGCAAGCTACTTTTCAAACAAGGGATTAATATCCAGAATATACGAGGAACTAAAAACACTCAAAAACGAAAACAAAAAAGAAACCAATCAGTGAATAAATAGACAAAAGACCTGAATAAACAGTGGTCAAAAGAAGAAATACAAATGCTCAACAAATATATGAAAAACTGCTCAACAACACTAGCTATCAGGAAAAGTTGAAAAGAAAGAATGTCTTCCATAACAATGCTAGGTCAAAGTTAGCATTTTTTCTATATAGATAATCAATTGACCTAGCATAATTTGTGAAACACCCCACTCTGTTACACCATATGAGCCTTTGTCATAAATTAAGTGATTGTGTAATATGTAGATGTGGATAGATTTTTACAGTCTATTTTGTCCCATTGTTTAGTCTATTATTGAACCAAATCACACTGTCTTATAACTAAAACTTAATACTTCATATCTGATCATGTGTGTCTTCCAGTTGTGATTTTTATAGACTATTTTGACTAGTTTCTGACATTTCATATTTTCAAATAAATGCTAAAGTCAGCTTGGAAATTTCCACTAAATAGTTGTTCAGATTCCATTAAACTTTCCACTGAGATCCCATTCAACCTGCATATCAATTTGAGGAGCATTGACATCTTTGTAATACTGACTCAATCTATCAACACAATATTTGTTTAGGCTTGAATTTTGTCTAAATAGCTTCTTTTTCTCTGTTAGAATGCCTTCACTATTTCATTCATGAATCTGAACCCTTATTTCACATCATACAATTCAAGATAGATTGTAGAATCAAATGTAGAAGGTAATGCAATAAGATTCTAGAAGATATTAGAATTTTAATGATATTGGCATAGACTGTGATTTTTTAAACAGGACACAAAATTGGATTTAAGTAACATAAAAATCAAAAAAAGATTGAGGAAATGAAAACATAATCCACAAAAGGGAAGAGGATATTTGCAAGATAAATATATCCAAAGAAGAACTCATACCCAAAATATACAGAAAAATAAATTTAAAATATATTTTAAAATCTCTTACTAATCCATAAAAACAAAATAGAAAGTCCACTTTTTAAATGGGCAAAAGATTTGTGTAAACAACACTTCAAACAGAGAATATTCAGATGGTCAATAAATATAGGAAAATGCGTTAAATATAATTGCATTGAGCTTAATGCAAATTAAAACCAGAGTGAAATACTAATACACAACTATAAGAAACTTAATTTTTCAAAATTTCCATACCAAATGTAGGTCACTATATATAATTGGAACATTAGAGGAGGAGTATAAATCTATGCAAGCACTTTGAAAAATTATTGAACACATGCAAATCTTACGACCCAACATGAGGTTAGATAACCATATACCCAATGAAAATGTATGCTTATTAATATCAGACATATATTCACAATAGCATTATTCATAAAAGCCTCAAGCTGAAGCAGCCCAAATGGCAAGCAATAGGTAAATAAAGCTGTGGTGTTTTCATACAACAAAATACTACATAGCAATGAAAATAAAATGAATAAATTTTGCTCCTTGCAACCCATGGATGAATCTCAGAAGCACAATGCTGAGCAAATGAAACCAAAGCAAACAATATATATCCTGATTTCATGTAGATAAAGCCTGAGACAATAAAAAGCTTAACAACGGTTGTAGAAAAATCCACGCTAGTCTTTGGAAAAGAATGATGATTTGAAGAGATCACAAAGCAGGATTTTCAGATGTAGAAAAAAATATCTTTTTTAGAGGAAAGGTGAGCTGCGGAGCTGGCCATCATGTGTTTTATTTTTAATCTGGATGCTGGTTACTAAGAATTTTCACTTTGTAAATACTCTTTGAATGGACATTTATGATTTGTGCTCTTCAGGTGTATCCAATATACTTGAGTTTGTAAAGAGAAGAGATTAGAGGTTTTCATGGAAGAAAAAAAGAATCAGATCAAGAACAGGAAATAGGGCTGGCACTGTGCATAGCTGGTAAAGCCGCCGCCTGCAGTGCCAGCATCCCATATGGACACCAGTTCAAGTCCCAGCTACTCCACTTCTGATCCAGCTCTCTGCTGTGGCCTGGGAAAGCAGTAGAAACTGGCCCAAGTCTTTGGGCTCCTGCACCCACATGGGAGACCTGGAAGAAACTCCTGGCTCCTGGCTTTGGATCAGCACAGCTCCTGCTGTTGCAGCCATCTGGGGAGTGAACCAGCGGATGGAGGACCTCTTTCTCTCTCTCCCTCTCTTTCTCTCTCTCTCTCCCTCTCTGCTTCTCCTTCTCTCTCTCTGTAACTCTGATTTTCAAATAAATAAATAAATCTTTAAAAAATACACACACACACACACATATATATATAAAGAACAGGAAATAGCACAAAAACAATATTGCTTTGAACATTCTGTTTACTAAAGTTTGGTTCCTCATCTTTTTAAATTTTGTGGTTTCAGTTAATCATGGCCAAAACAAGAGAGGTGCTCGATTTTCAATCTATTATCAAGCCTATGACTGTTGAAGAAACCCTATATCATATTCCATGGCTAGATAAGGATGAAAACTTCATAAACTTCATCCAGGTAACATTTTTTATTTGCTAGTAATTCATCTTTAATGCACCAAGATATAATATTTTAAAAAATAAGGATTTTACCATAGTATGCTCTAGTATAAGATTTGCTAAATTTTCCTTTTATTGCTCATCACATAAAATCAAAATCCTCGAGTATGACGTGCAACTCCCTTCCACAATCTGTTTCTGTGTCTGCAACTTCTGTTTTTTATGCATCAGACACTCTCCGTGCTCTGTGCTGTTCTACTCAATGGTGATCGCACACTTGACACTGCTTTCTCATCCCAGTCATTTGTGGATGCTTTTTACTTTTCATGGACTGCTCCTTCACATTTGTCTTTTTCAAACATCTCTTGCTCCTCTGGACACCAGAGGTCCTAGGAGAAGTAGACTTTGGGGTCAGATACTCCCATTGGTAGAGGACCATCCTGAGGTCCATTTTGCATTCAGTGGACTGAAGTTGCCACCAATGTATCCAGTATGTACTTGTATTGCTGCAATAAGTACACTAAATTAACATTATGCTTACATCTTTTTCCTCTGCCATATTTTTACCTCCTTTACTATAATTTCAATGCATCTTTTGATTACTTAGTTCCTAGTACTTTGACTAATGTATACTACAGTCTCAGTAAGTATTTGTGGAATGAATATATAAATGAATCTAACTTCTCCTAATAATATTTGTTTTCTATGCCTGGTTGGTACCAAGATACCAATTATATTTTTCCACCTGCTTAAAATGTTTTGAATAAGTGATTTTTATTTCATCAGCTATTTAGAGCATGAATATATATCAGACATGTTTGTACCACCAGCCTACATTAGCCACCATTATTTTTTATCCAGATGAAATATTTTCATCCTTATACCTAGATTATTTCTTTCCTATTCTACAAATAAATACTACATCTGAAATTACATGTATCTGTGAAAATCCACCTTCTTCTCTTTGCTATTCATAATTCCCGTTTTCTCTTATAAATTTATTACTAATGTGATATTTCAGACATTATTGAATGATACTTACTATAAAATATAAAAACATTTATTGAAATGTAAACTTCCACATTCCTAGTCATTATTGAAATATTGTTTTGGCAGGGCCCAGCACTATGGCTCACATATTTGGTAATATTTTTTAGGAAAGAGCCAAAATTGTTACATTTGACTGTGGAAATAATATATTTGAAGAAGGTGATGAGCCCAAAGGAATCTATATCATTATTTCAGGCATGGTAAAGGTAAGACAGAGTGTTTTGGTTTGTTCTTAATTTATTCGAGAGGCAGAGAGACAGAAAGAGATAGACAAAGAGAGATGCCATTCATTGATTCACTCCTCAAATGCCCACAACTGATTGTGGTTGGGCTAGGAACTGAAGTCAGGAACCAGGAACTCCCTACAGGTCTCCCATGTGTGTGGCAAGAACCCAGTCATTTAAGCCATCACTACTGCCTTTCAGTTTCTACAATAGCAGGAAATTGCCTTCAAAACCAAAGCCTGACTCACTAGGCTAATCCTCCGCCTAGCGGCGCCGGCACACCGGGTTCTAGTCCCGGTCGGGGCGCTGGATTCTGTCCTGGTTGCCCCTCTTCCAGGCCAGCTCTCTGCTGTGGCCCAGGAAGGCAGTGGAGGATGATCCAAGTGCTTGGGCCCTGCACCCCATGGGAGACCAGGAGAAGCACCTGGCTCTTGCCATCGGATCAGCGCGGTGCGCCGGCCGCAGTGCGCCAGTGGGCCGCAGCACGCTAGCCGTGGAGGCCATTGGAGGGTGAACCAACAGCAAAAAGGAAGACCTTTCACTCTCTCTCTCTCTCTCACTATCCACTCTGCCTGTAAAAAAAAAAAAAAAAAAAAAAAAGCCTGATATGAAATCCTGGCATTCTGCTAACGGCACACAGGCATTTTAACCAGGATCTTAACTCTTAGGTCAACTACCCACTCCCAGAATTATTTACAAATGCATTTTTGAGCACAAGTTTTTAATGAAAACTTTTTGAAGTTGAGAATTAATAAGTTTGGGTATTAAGAACTACATAGTTATATTTGTGAGACAGCAACAACCATTCAAATGATAATATTCATGTTCAGCCACAGTGGACAATACCCATTATTGTTTAAGCCACAATTTCTCAAAACAGAATCATCAGAACGATCAGCATTTAAGATAAAAATTATGGTATAAATAATTACTTATCTTAGGTCTACCTGAGTTGGAGATTTAGCCATTATAAGGTGGCTGGTACATGTTGGTTGACTAACAGAAATCAGAAAGATCAGAATGTTTAAGAAGGCTTTGTGGCCGGCGCTGCGGTTCACTAGGCTAATCCTCCGCCTTGCGGGGCTGGCACACAGGGTTCTAGTCCCAGTCGGGGCACCGGATTCTGTCCTGGTTGCCCCTCTTCCAGGCCAGCTCTCTGCTGTGGCCAGGAAATGCAGTGGAGGATGGCCCAAGTGCTTGGGCCCTGCACCCCATGAGAGACCAGGAGAAGCACCTGGTTCCTGCCTTCGGATCAGCGCAGCGCGCTGGCCGTGGCGGCCATTGGAGGGTGAACCAATGGAAAAAGGAAGACCTTTCTCTCTGTCTCTCTCTCTCACTGTCCACTCTGCCTGTCAAAAAAAAAAACAAAAACAAAAAACAAACAAAAAAAAAAACGCTTTGTATCTAAGTCACCGCTAATTTAATAAATTACCTTCTAAAAGCAAGTAATAAGTGTTCTTAAAACTATATGTACATATTGCAAATGTTAAAATCAAAGTGGTAAAAGTCACAAACTGGTTTTGGTAATACATGTTAATTGACTTAATGTATTTTTCTAATTCTTATTGAACAGCTTAAAAGATCAAAACCAGGTTTGGGGATTGACCAAATGGAGTCAGAGGATAAAGATTATCAGATAATTTACACAGACTATGTGCTCAGTGGGGAAATCATAGGAGAATTAAACTGCTTAACTAATGAACAGATGAAATATTCTGCCATCTGCAAAACTGTAGTGGAGGTAAGAAAATACCACATGCATCTTACCATTGTATCTTGTCAAAGATTTCATATCAAATTCAAGGTTATTTCAGTGTCTAGTATATGTTTACATTCTGGTGACAATTTACCTAAAAAATAAGAATGACAAAGGAGCAAAAGTTATTATATAATTAAACTCATCAAATGTGCTGATTTCATAGAAGAAGAACTGAACCAGAAAAACTGGGCATAGAAACTCTCTGATGGATATGCCAACTATCAATACCTTGATTTGGAGAATGAGAAAGGGGGAGAACTCAGAGCTAGAATATATTAATGGAAGTCAGAGCTAGAATATGTTAATATATATTGATATATTAATAGAATATATTAATGGAAAAGTTAAGCAAAGTGGGTTGAAATTTTCCTAGATATGATAAAGGACCAAATTTGCAAAGGACCATGCTTCTTACTGATATACTATTGCCCCAAAGCATAAAATGAGAGCTACACAAGCTCAGACTGATCAGACTGCAAATGAGTAGCCTATCACAACAGAAATCAACAATGTTCTGTGGAAGACAAAAAGCATCTGAGAGTTCTGTAAGATATCACCAGCAATTATGAATTTCAAAACAAGCAGAAAAAACATTAAATTACAATCTTTAGTATAAGTAGTGTGGGGGAGTAATAAATAGAAAGAACCACTGAGATTGCCCAGAATACGGATTGGGCAGACAAGAACTTTAAAGCCGTTAAGAACAGATTCAGAGAATCAAAAGGACATATATTCAAACAACAAAGGAAAATTATTCCAAACAGTAGAGATAGGAAACATTAGCCATCATAATATAGAAATACAGAAAACAGCCAAATGGAAATTTTAGAATTAAAAAAAACAGTTTGAATATGGCAGTAATAAAAATCCATGAACTGGAAAACAGATCATGGAAATAATATAGTTTGGAAGACAAAGAGGATAATGATTCTTAAAGGTGTCCAGAGACTCTAGAGATCTGCGTGACGTTACCACGTGGTGCAGTACATGTAAATAGACGTTGCATAAGGTGAAGAGAATGAGACTTTTCCCACATGGATAGAAAATTGTATCTTACGGTTTCAAGAAGCTGAATCCCAAACATGATACACACACACACACACACACACACACACATCAAATTGCCAAAAAATCAAAGAGAAAAAAAATTCAGAAAGCAATCAGAGTAAGAAAACTTGTATCCCGGAGATCAAAGAGAATAATTGTCATATCACTAACTTCATATCAGAAACAATGAAGGCCTGAAACCAATAGGGCAGCATGATATAGAAACATAGAGCAAGAAGGAGAGATTCATCCGTCTGCTAGATCACTCCCCAAATGGCTACAACAGCTACAGCTGAGCCACACCAAAGCCAGGAACCAAGAGCTCCATCCATGGGTGGTGGGTACCCAACTATTGAGCAATCAACTACTGCTTCCTAGACACATTATGGAAGCAGAGGAGGTAGGATTCAAACTGGCACTCTGATACAGGATGTGTACCTCAAGTAGTGGCTTAAGCCATCATGTCACAACATCAGCTTAAGAACAACACTTAAAAATGTGAAAGGAAAAAGTATTTTTCTACTAAAAAGGTGAGAGAAGTCTTCCTAACCAGACCTGGACTATCATAAATGTTGACCAATATTCTGCAGGCTAAAAGTAAATGCTATTAGACAGAAAACCACATCTATAGGTAAAGAAAAAGAACACCAAAAATAATGAATACGTAAGTAAAATAAACAATTGAATTTTTTGATTCTTGTAATTTCTTTAAAATGCAACTTTCTTAAATAGGAACAATACTGTTGTAAGAGATACTGTTGTAGGGGCCGGAGCTGTGTAGTGGGTAAAGCCTCCACCTGCAGTGCCAGCATCCCATATAGGCACCAGTTCAAGTCCCGGCTGCTCCATTTCCGATCCAGTTCTCTGTTACGGCCTGGAAAAGCAATATAAGATGGCCCAAGTCCTTGGGCCCCTGCATCTACATGGGAAGACATGGAGGAAGCTCCTGGCTCCCGGCTTTGGATCAGAAGAAGCGCCAGCCATTGCGGCCAATTGGACAGTGAACCAGCGGATGGAAGACCTCTCTCTCTATCTGCCTCTCCTTCTCTCTCTGTGTAACTCTGACTTGACTTTCAACTAAATAAATAAATCTTTAAAGAGAGAGAGAGAGAGGTTTATAACATGTAAAGTAAAAGATATGACAAAATATAGAATTAGGGACATGTAAATGAAATTATTCTCTTGTAAACCTATTATTTTTGTGACATAGGAGATGAAAACTGTGAAGTGTGAAGTTGGGAGTGGGGAGTATAAAGGATTATGTGTGAAATATGAAGTGGTATTAGAGTATGGATTGTTAGTAGTAGAGGGACAACAAAATATATGTAGCTTAGAACAAATAAAGGAATGAATGGAATATAAAAATATTTAATTAACCTACAAGAAGACATGAAAGGAGATGAAACCCTCCCCAACCCACCCCAAAAAAAGATAAATGGAAAACAAATAGCAAATGATCACTTTAAACCAAATCATATCAATGTTTGCACTGTTGGTGATCTAATCATATCAACTAAAAAAGTAGTTATCATCATTAATTTTAATAAAATGTCCAATTCTGTACTGCCTTCAAGAGATGCATATTAGTAGGCACAGCAAGTTGAAACAACCATAAGATAATTTGTATAGTTAGGTTAATATTAAACTAATTATACTTCATAATAATGTTCAACAGTCCCAATTGTATGTATTTACCAAAGAGAAATTATATAGATCAAACACAAAGGCTTGTATCTGAATAGTCATAGCAACTTCATTCTTATTTCATATCTGTACCATTGGGCTGAAACATTTGCTACCCTCAAACATAGACTTTTCAAAATATACCTTTATTTGAAAAGGTTAAATGGGGGCAGGCATTGGGGTGCGGCAAGTTAAGTGACCACATCCCACATCAGAGTGCCAGTTTGAGTCCTAGTTTCTCTGCTTCTGTTCTAGTTTCCTGAACATGCATCCTGTGATGGCTCAAGTCCTTGGATCCCTGCCACTCACATGAGAAACCAGGAGGAAGTTTCAGGCTCCTGGTTTGAAAACCATACATCTAATCAGGGACTGATATCCAAAATACATGTAGTACTCAAACAATGAAATAGCAAGAAAACAAATAATCCAATTAAGGGGCAAGCACTGTGGCGTAGCAGGTAAAACCGCCGCCTGCAGTGCCTACATCCCATATGAGTGCTGATTCGAGATTCAGCTGCTCCACTTCTGACCCAGCTCTCTGCTATGACCTGGGAAAGCAGTAGAAGATGGCCCAAGTTCTTGGACCCCTGCACCCACGTGGGAGACCTGGAGGAAGCTCCTGGCTCCTGGCTTCGGATCGGCACAGTTCCAGCTGTTGCGGCCAATTGGGGAGTGAACCAGCGGATGGAAGACCTCTCTCTCTCTATCTGCCTCTCCTTCTCTCTCTGTGCAACTCTGACTTTCAAATAAATAAATAAATCTTTTTTAAAAATCCAATTAAAATGCGCAGAATACCTGAATAGACTTTTTTTTAAAAGAAGACATACAGATGGACAACAGACAGGAACACATCACTATTCACAGAAGTGCAAATTAAAATCACCTTGCACCTGTTAGAATGAGTTATCAGATACAAGATAACAAGTGTTACCCAAGATGTGGAGAAAAGGAAATCGTTGCCCACTGTTGGCAGGAATGTACATTTGTATAGCCATCATGGAAAACAGTATTTTCAAAGAAATTTAAAGTAGAACTACCATAAGACCCAGCAATTCCACTTCTGGATTTAAAGCCAAGGAAATGAAATCATTATGTCAAAAAGATGCACTCTTAAGATCTTTGTGGTGTTATTCACAGTAGCCAAGACATGGAAGCAACCAAACTGTCCATCAATAGATGAATGGATGAACAGACTACACAATGTATTCACAATGGAATACAACATAGATGAACCTGGAGGACATTATGCTGAGTGACATAGCCCAGGCACAGAAATGAAAATTCTACACAATTTCAGTTACATGTGGACTCTAAAAGAGTTGATCTCATAGAAACGGATTAATAAGTGCATTACCACTGTCTGGGGAGTGGAAGGAGGAGGGATGAGGAAAAGGGAGATTTTTAAAATTGAACTTTATTTTTTATTAACATAAAGAGAACACATTTCATATATTTCAAAGATACAATTCTAAGAACATAACGATATTCCCCTCCCACTCCCACTTCCTATCTACCTCCTTCCTTCTTTTTTCTTTTAATTTTTACAATAACATATGTTCAATTTACTTTGTAATCTCAGGCTTCATAGTCCACTAAATATAATGTTCAACAAGTAAAAAGTAGAAAGACCATTGTTCCACAGGAATATGGACAAGGACTATAAACAATAATCAGATCATAAGATACTAATTTTACTTATACATTCAGGATTTTTTGTACTCTATAAGCTACCACAAATCAGAGAAAACATATGATCTTTGTCTTTTGGGGACTGGCTTATTTCACTAATCATAATGGTCTCCAGTTGCATCCATCTTGTTACAAATGTCAGGATATCATTCTTTTCATTGGCTGAGTAGCATTCCATAATTTTCTTTATTTAGTCATCAGTTGATGGACATCTGGGTTGATTCCATATCTTAGCTTTTGTGAATTAAGCTGTTATAACATGGGGGTACAGATAACTCTTTTATATGCCAATTTCATTTCATTTGGGTATACTCCCAGGAATGGGATGGCTGAGTCATATGATAGACTTTCATCAAAGGATGTATTTTCAGTTCTACTGGAAGAATAAGTTTTTATTATCTATTACACAGCATGGTGACCATAGTTAATATGACATATATCTCAAAATTGCTTAAAAATGGATTTTTGGGCCAGCGCTGTTGTGCAGTAGGTTAATCCTCTGCCTGCGGCGCCGGCATCCCATATGGGCTCTGGTTATAGTCCTGGCTGCTCCTCTTACAATCCAGCTCTCTGCTGTGGCCCGAGAAAGCAGTGGAAGATGGCCCAAGTCCTTGGGCCCCTGCACCCACGTGGGAAACCAGGAAGAAGTACCTGGCTGCTGGCTTTGGATCGGCATAGCTCCAGCCATTGCAGCCAGTGGGGAGTGAACCAACAGAAGGAAGACCTTTCTCTCTGTCTCTCCCTCTCATTGTCTCTAACTCTACCTCTCAAATAAATGTCCTCACTGCAGACAAAAATGATTAGTTGGTGAGGTGATAAATCTATAATTTGATTGACTCATTACAATATACACACTACACACTACACAGTTTGGCACATGCTCAATCGGATTTAGCCCTAATGGTAGAGTTAGAAAGGTGCCAGGGGATTACAATTCAATCCCATCAAGGTGGCATGTACCAATGCCATCTCACTAGTCCAAGTGATCAGTTTCAGTTCATAATTGATCATAATGAAAGGATTAAGAGTCAAAGGGATCACATAAACAAGACTAGTGTCTGCTAATACTAACTGATAGAATTAAAAAGGAGAGAATGATCCAAAATAGGAAGCGGGATACACAGCAGACCCATAGAATGGCAGATGTCCTAAACAGCACTCTGGCCTCAGAATCAGCCCTTAAGGCATTCGGATCTGGCTAAAAAGCCCATGAGAGTATTTCAGGCATGGAAAGCCAAGACACACTGGGAAAAAAAAAAAAAAAAAAAAAAAAAACTTAAATGAAAGATCTCTGTGAGTGAGATCCAAGTGGAAAGAACGGGCCATCAAAGAAGGAGGTACCTTTCTCTGAAGGGAGGAGAGAACTTCCACTTTGACTATGACCCTGTCTAAATAAGATCGAAGTTAGCAAACTTAAAAGGCTTCCATAGCCTTGGCAACTCATGACAAGAGCCTCGGGTGATTACTGACTCCATAAACAAGAGTGTCAATTGTTAAATCAACAACAGAAGTCACTGTGCACTTACTCCTCATGTAGGATCTCTGTCCTTAATGTGTTGTACATTGTGAATTAATGCTATAACTAGTACTCAAACAGTACTTTATACTTTGTGTTTCTGTGTGGGTGCAAACTGTTGAAATCTTTACTTAGTATATGCTAAATTGATCTTCTGTATATAAAGATAATTGAAAATGAATCTTGATGGGAGAGGGAGCAGGAGATGGGAGGATTGCGAGTGGGAGGGAGGTTATTGGGGGGAAAAGCCGCTATAATCCAAAAGTTGTACTTTGGAAATTTATATTTATTAAATAAAAGTTTTTTAAAAAACAAAAAATTATTATTTATATATACACAAGTATATATAATTTATATATAATTTATAAATACACAAGTATTTGTTAATTAAAAATAAATTAATAAAAATAAGTATATTTGTGACATGTATATTGATGAGCTTGATATAATTACTCCACAATATATACATATATCAAAATAACACACTACATTCTATAAATATACACAACTTTTTGACAGAATAAGAAAATAAGAAAGGACCTTTCATTGTATCACAGTCTTTCAAAATTTAGTACATGGCAAGATTGCATATTTATCACTATGCACATTTTAATAGGTTTCCAGACAATAGCATAAATCTTACACAATTTAAATTCTTATTATTAATGTTACATATGAATGATAAAACCTTATTTCTTAAACCACACATGCACAGAATGAAATATTAAATTTTTTTTCTAGACATGTTTTATTTCCAAAACTCACTTGATTGAGGCTTTTGAACAATGCTGTCCTATCATCGAGCATAAAATGTGGCTAAAAATTGGACTTGGTATTACTGCCCGAAAAATCAGAGAACATTTGTCTTATGAGGTAAGAGGTGTTTGTATAAACTTGTCCTTCCCTCTGAATGTAATTGGAATAAAATATTATTAGACATTATTATGTGTGAGTTTGTATTATACTTCATAAAAATAATAAACTACAAAATTGCATTTTTTCTTATAGGATTGGAACTACAAGATGCAATTAAAGCTCTGTAACATTTATGTAAGAGATATACCCAAGAGCATCAAAAGTGATATCTATGATGAAACTGTAACTGACGTTATCCTCATACATGGAGCTGTGGAAGACTGTCAGTTACGAAAAGTTTATAAGGCACCTTTCTTAATTCCTTTAACATGCCATCAGGTAAAGAAAAGTCAACCTATACCTTCAGATCAGTAGTCCACTGTCATAGCAGTCCTGGGCTTTCACCCCTCCATCCTCCATTTTCCCCCACCATTCCATAAGCACCACCCATACCCATACCCATATAAGTCCATACACATGGTCTTCACTGACTGCTTTGGCACGCTGCAGCCCAAGCAAAAGCTGTTCTCATTCAATGACGATGAAGCGGTCCAATCTGCACAGACATTTGGGTCACAGATTTTTGGTGCATCTGTACATAGTAAAAGAGGGCCTACTTAACCTCAGGAGATATCTTAACCAAGAAGAAACAAAAAGTTATGTCAATGTAGTAATTCAATGTTACTGGCTAGATGTGAGATATGTCAATGTAGTTATGTCAATGCAGTAATTCAATGTTACTGGCTAGATGTGAGATACAAGGAAAAGACGAGATGGGAATGGGAGGGATTCTGAGACAGGAAATGATGATGAGGGATTTTCTGAGTGGACACTCCAGGACTGGTGTGTTACCATGAGAACAGTGAAGCATTCTTAAAGATGGTGCTCTGTGCCTCTGTTCCTGAACACATAATAACAGAGCTTTGGTGTTGGGGCTGGTTGGAAATGTAGACAGCCAAGTGAGAGATTCTTGAAGCTTCCTGAAACCTGTCTGACTCTATGAGATCTGTTCACTGTGGATGGGAGTACCAACACGATTCAGAACGTGTCAAAAACAACCACAACATGGAACGGTTTCCTGAAGATCTGCTCTTTTTTAAACTTTATATTCTACTGTATTGAAAACCCTGGGTGATTTTTTAAATGGTCATTGATGATTAGATCTGGATCATTTTTCTCATTTGGAAGAGAAATGAACAAAATATTTTAGAAAATCAATGAGGGATGGGTATTTGATGCAGCAGTTAAGATGCTTCTAGGGATGTCTGTATCCCATACTGGAGTGCCTGGGTTCCAGTCTCAGCACCAGCTCTTGTCTCCAGCTTCCTGTTAATGTGCACCCTGAGCTGCAGCAGGCGATGTCTCAAGTACTTGGGTCTCTGCCACCCATTTGTGAGACCCAGATCGATACCTTGGCTCTGGTTTTGACCTGGCCCAGCCCTGACTTTTCTAGGCATTTTGGGATTGAACTGGCAGATGGAAACTCTGTGTGTGTGTGTGTGTGTGTGTTTCTGTCTTTACCTTTCAAATAAATTTTAAAAAACATAAAAATCAATGAAGATATATGAAATATGGACTTTCACAAAACCAACAAGTTCAGGAATTATAAGATATCTATCTTATTTGTGTTGATTCATTAATATTTTCCCTTTAGGGAGGATCTGAAATAGTAGCTTACAAGAGAATCATTTAATTGTATTTTTGCTCAGAATTAACTTATATTCTGTCAACTTTTAGATACAAGGCACTGAAGATTTCACAAAAGTAATGATGATTCAAACTTCAATTGATATGAAAAAATTCAGATTCAACTCTAGAAAGTATGTATCTACACGTAAAATTTCTTCTGTACCAAAATCTTTAGGTGAGTTCTATTTCTGTGAACAATTGTGAGAACAGATTTCCCTTTATAAATAGTCATATCTATTTTGGAAACAGTTATAAGCAGTATGCCTAGGACATTGAGGATTCCTCCTAGTTGTTATATTTGGTGCTCCTATGCTGAAGTTAGACTGAGAATATTGAAATTTTATTTATATTTTATTCTATAAGAATAAATATGCATAAGTTAGCAAAATGATAGGGAGAAAATTAATGAGGGAATTACTAACTCTTCCTCCAAAATCTTACACAGAAAGAACTATAGTATTGTATTATCTGAACAACAAATACATAAATCCCTGGAAGTAAATGAATAACTTTTATATAAATGCTATTATTCACACAAATTTCACATGATAAAAATCAAATCATAACAAATTATTTATTAAGCCATTGATTAAAAGTTGGTAGCTAAATTTGAGATTGATTTAAAATTGAAAAATACAGAATTAAATTATGGAATAAACAAGTATACTACAACTGAATATTTATCATTTCACCAAAAGTGAAATAATTTTCTAAAATGAAATACAGGAATTAATTTTAGGGGCTAACATTGTTGTACCGTGGATTAAGTCAGCACCTGCTGACTTAATGTGAGTACAGGTTTGAGTCCCAGCTGCTCCACTTCCAGAACAGCTCCCTGCTAATGCACTAGGGAAGGCAGCAGCAGATTGCCCAGAGCCTTGGGCTCCTGCCATCCACATGGGAGACCCGGATGGAATTTCAGGCTCCAGCCTGGCACAGTCCTAACTGTTGCAGCCATATGAGGAGTGAACTAGTGGGTAAAAGATTGATCTCTCTCTTTCCTTGCTCCTTCTCTCTAACTCTTTCAAATAAATGAAATTAATCTTTTTATTAGAAAAAGTTAATTTTATAGTGTGTCAGTAAAAATGTTATTAAGAAATAAGCAAAGAACAATTCATGAAAGAAAATATATCTTTCAAACAAAATAGAGGAAAATGTTCACAAGCTAAAATTTAAAAAAATAAGCTAAATACTTGATACACTTAATTTGTGAGTTTTCTTAAGAATTATAGTATCTACTGACCAAAAACAGTAAGGAATCTGATATATGTTCTTTCTTTACTGATACCAATATAAATTGATAAAGTAAATTTATTTAAGGATTCCAAAAGTCATAAATGTGTTTATACCCTTTGATTAAATAATATAATTCCTAGAAACTTATCATAAGTATATAAAGCAACAGAAAATAATCAGAATGCATGTATGAACAGTTAATTAAATCAACTCTATGAACGATATGATTGGATATTATATAGGCATTAAAAGTTAATTTTCCGTGTTGTGATGTGAAACAGACAAATGATAGACATCAAGTGAAATATCAGTGATTAACATTGTATTGCTAATTTTAAATTATTTTTATCTTTATTATGTTACAATGATATGATTGAATCTACATGGACACAAAATGCCATCGTCGCATTGGTCCCTACTGACCTTAAAATGCAGTACATACAAGACACAATATTGGGCCTTTCACTGTCTGTTCCTTTGCTAGCCATTTCCACTCTTTCCCCTCTGAGACCTAGTGCTACCAAACCACTAGTGGCTCACCTGACGTGGGAGAGCTGAGCCTCTACATCTACTGTTTCTTCTCTCTGGAACAGTCTCTTCCCCATTTCTCAATGTTCTCTGAAGCTACTCCTCCTTATCCTTTAAATTTCGACTTTTTCTCTGAGGAGCCATTATTGACACATCCCAATCAATAAAACTGAAAGATGTAACTCTTCGGTGCATTTCCATAGCCCAGTGTGCACAATCCTATTTTTACCATGTCATATCTTTTTGCTAGTCCATTTGCCTGTCTGCGTGTTCCACCAACTGGAAACTCCAGGAAGGCATGGGTGTGAACTCTTTTGCTTTCTTATGTATCCTCATTAGCTACTCAACACCTCTGACACTCTCAATACATATTCATGTAAACATACAGGGCGGGGGGGGTGTTAAGATGGTTTTGTTTCTCTACTTTCCACACTTTCTGGACATTCATTATAGAATCTTCATAATAGAAGCTCTTCTTAAAAATGATCTTTCCAACCCATGACCACCAGTTTCAGATCACAGATAATTAAATGTGCATGGCTTGAATGAGGTCTGATTTGATTGTTGCACTAATCGAAAACAGTGACTTGTTTCAATGATTGAACTGTTTTCCTTAAACCAGCTGCAAAGAGAATGTTGGAAGGATGTCTTCAAGAAGAAGCAAATAAGGGAGAGGTAAATTTAAAGCACTTTTTCAAAGTTTTGTATTTGGGAAAAGAGTCTGGAATTTATGGAAACTATCAATATATTTCTCTTGTTCTGAAGGAGTTCACCAGCTAATCATTTTGTAGATTTTTTAAAAAGATTTGTTATTTATCTGAAATAGAGAGAGACAGAGAGAGACAGAGAGATCGGCCATCCTCTGGTCACTCTCCAGATGGTGGCAATTGCCAGGGCTGGGCCAAGCTAAAGCCAGGAGCTTCCTCCAGGTCTCCCACGTGGGTGGTAGGGGCCCAACCACTCAGGCCATCTTCTGTTGCTGGATGTTGCTGTTGAGCTGGATCGGAAATGGTACAGCTGGATCACAAACCAGTGACCATGATAGGAACCAGGCCCCATCATTTTGTAGACTGGGGTATGGAGAGTTTCTATTATTGAAGGAAATTATATTAATTTTATTTGAATATCAGTGAAGTGACAAAGAAAAGTTCAGGAGATGACGATTTGTTTTGAATCACATGAGTATCCAGCTGCTTCTCCAGGTGACCACTTGTGATGTACCCGGGCTGCTTCCACAACATCTTATGCTGACACTTAAACTCATCTGCTACCTCAACAAGGCATCTAGAACCTTCCATCCTGAAGGCAGTTTGCCTCTATATTCACAATGCCTGGCAACACCCACAAACCCTTTCTCTATCACAACCAACCTATAACTGTGGTTTTCCCTTTACAAAATGAAGAACTCCATCAAAGGCCTGCCACATCAAGCAGCTCCTTGCAAAGTGTTCTGGTCCCCCAGGCAGAGCACACAGAACTGCCATGGCCAGAAGTGTCAGTTTTTAGTCCTCTGATCCATAGACCAAAAAAGCAAAAAAAATTTTTTGGCAATTTTTAGCTATATTCATCTACTTAAAAGGCAAAGCAAGAGAGAAGAGAGAAAGAGAAATCTATTTGCCGGTTCAGTCCCAAAATGCCTACAACATCCAGGGCTGGGCCAGGCCAAAATCAGACGGCTGGAACTCCATCAGAGTCTTCCACGTGGGTGGCAGGTACCAAGCATTTGGTTGGTCATCTGCTGCCTCCCAGCAGGCATTAGAGGCAAGCTCAATTGGAAGTAGAGCAGAGACTCCAATATGGGATGCAGTTTTCCCGAGCAGTGGTTTAGCTACAACACCCACCCCTAAAATCTGCTTTATAAATTTAACCTTTATTAACAGTCTCAACATTTTCATTTCTGTTTCCTATCTCAACTTCTAGATACAAGAGTCTGAAGAATTACTTGAGGAGAATATTAACATCTAAGATGTCCTGTGGTATAAACCTCAGTGAAAATTCAGTAAGCTGCCCCCATTTCCTTCACATGAGCAGGGGTACAACTGCCCCTGGAAGCCCAGATTGAAGCCAGAAGTCCATTTACCCTTCTGTGATAGTGTGAATTATATCACTACCCACTAGCCTGTTGCTTTTTCTAATGACAGTGTTTCTAAATTCTAGATTGGAAAATTAACTTTAAAATAGGATTCCTTTATCTAGATCTCTGGAAACTATGTAGTCTCTTAGTTTTTCTCTCTCTGCCCTACTTTTTAATCTCACCTGCAGCAGTGGCTGCTTCCAGTTCAGCGGGCTATTTTTCAGGCATCCATGTACCATTGAAAGATATAAAAAAGCAGTAACTCCTGACTTCAGTTCTCAATTATTTATGGTCTAGATAAGACAAAATACACAAGGATAAAGTTAAATCACAAGATACGTATGGATTGTACCCAGTGAATCTAAAGGAATCCAAAAGAGCCATGGCTGACTATGGAGATGGAACAGAGTATTCGTGGAGAAGGGAAGAGGATTTTCAGAATAGAGGACATGGAGGGCGAGACCACCGGGAATAATGCCTGCCACAGTCTGACAGTCGCTTGTTCAAAATGTCAGGGAGTTAGCTGTGTGTGCATGCCCGTTATGTGACTTTATGTTACATAAATGATATCACTGGGTTTAAAAATAAAACTCACCAGCTAACTAGGTTTATCTCCATTTAAAAGAAATGCAAACCTTACATGGCTCCTCCTATGACAGACTATATCTAAATACAGTTTTAAATACCAACAATATACTGAAAAATTATGTGTGATAATTGCTTGCAGTATGATTCGTACCTTTACTTTGGAAAATGTATACAGCATGATTAAGAAAACATGGGGATTCCAACCAGTAAACCTGAGCAGCCAACTCAAGCAAAGACAATTCCTAACATAAGGTGAAAATAGTAGCCTAAGAAATGCAAAAGTAATCAAGGGGAAGTAGTAATAGTTGTTTTTTTTTAAATTAACAAAATTTTTATTCAATAGTGACATCTATTTCCTGTGAGATAGATGAAAATTGAGTGATACTTGTTTTCTCATATTTTGCTGGAAGATGAGTCAAGCTGATTTGTAAAAAACATAAAAATTCTCATAAACTTTGATTCAGTGATTCTACTTCTGGGAATCAATCCAAAAGAAAGAATGCAAAGCATTAAAATAGACATGGTGTTTGGCATGGTGGTTAAGACACTGCTTAGGACGCTTGCATCCCATATCAGACTGATTGGGTTTGAGTACCAGTTGTTTCCAATTCCAGGTCCGCTAATGTACATCCTGGGAGGCAGAAGGTAATGGTCACCTGTATGGGAGACTCAGGTTGAGTTCTGAGATCCTGGCTCCCACTTTGCCCAGCCCTGGCTGTTGTAGGCAATGGGAAGTGAACCAGTGGATGGATGATTGCTCTGTCTCTCTCCTCTTGCTGTCTCTTGGCCTTTAAAATAAATTTTAAAAAATTTTTAAAAAGAATATATGTAGAAAATGCCCATGGAATTCCTTTTATTATTATTATTATTACACAGTTAGACAGTGAGAGAGAGAGAAAGGTCTTCCTTCCGTTGGTTCACCCCCCAAATGGCTGCCACAGCAGGCGCGCTGCGCCGATCTGAAGCCAGGAGCCAGGTGCTTCCTCCTGGTCTCCCATGGGGGTGCAGGGAGGGGCCCAAGCACTTGGGCCATCCTCCACTGCACTCCTGGGCCACAGCAGAGAGCCGGACTGGAAGAGGAGCAACCGGGACTAGAACCCGGTGCCCATATGGGATGCTGGTGCCACAGGTGGAGGATTAACCAAGTGAGCCACGGCACCGGCCCTGGAATTCCTTTTTCTAATGGCAAAAATTAAAAAGAGTCCAGATATCCAACAATGAGTAGTTTCACTACAGAATATCCATACAGGGAAATATAATACTATTGTTAAAAAGGTTGGTTGTGCCGGCGCCGTAGCTCAATAGGCTAATCCTCCACCTTGCGGCGCCGGCACACCGGGTTCTAGTCCCGGTCGGGGCGCCGGATTCTGTCCCGGTTGCCCCTCTTCCAGGCCAGCTCTCTGCTATGGCCAGGGAGTGCAGTGGAGGATGGCCCAGGTGCTTGGGCCCTGCACCCCATGGGAGACCAGGAAAAGCACTTGGATCCTGGCTCCTGCCATCGGATCAGCGCGGTGCGCCGGCTGCAGCGGCGGCCATTGGAGGGTGAACCAACGGCAAAGGAAGACCTTTCTCTCTCTGTCTCTCTCACTGTCCACTCTGCCTGTCAAAAATAAAAAAAAATAAAAATAAAAATAAAAAAAAAAAAGGTTGGTTGTATAATTCAATGTAAAACATAAAGAGGAAAACAAAACATAGAAAAACAACAAATTCCAACATGTAAAATTGTTAGAAAAGATAAATCCAAGTGACTAAATTATAGTTCTAGAAGGGTGAAATTAGGAGTGGTTTTGTTCACCTTTCTTATTTTATGTAACTCTATTGTTCTTATCCTGAAAAACCTAATTATAAAACCATTAAGTGATATTGAAATAGAAATCACTTGCAAGTTCTCTGTTCCTTTCTACTTCCCTATAAACTCAGCAGCACTGGTGATGGAAAGGGAAGTGGGACCTGCTTGGCCTGAAGCTCGGTGAGTGAGAATGGCCCATGTCTGTGTTGCCCACCATGGAAAGCCCTCCTCCTGGTAACACATAAGCCACCTCTACCCAGTCCAGCAGGTCCCATTGGCTTCCAACATTGCCAATGAGAGATGTTTCTTGTGACGGTGAAACTGACTCCAGTGCATCCTGTTCCAGGTTGTAGGTCAGGGTTGAAAGATTCCATAGTTCTCTGAATTTTGATGGTGTTCTCTCTTCTGTTAGGAGTGATGGACAAGTTTGTTGAGAAGACTGAAGCACATCCCGGTGCTGCTGTTATAAAAGGCCTCCCCTGGCTGAGCCACAATCTCTTCCATGGAGAGGAGGCGACTTCCAGGCAAACCTGTGCAGATGTTCCTGGTGCCACGCAGGAAGGAAGTCTGGACCATGGCACCAGCCAGTTCAAATATATTTTTTCCCAAAATTTCCTTAGTTGAAAGTAATTATTTTTTTTAAATATCCCAAACATCTCAGAAAAGCTTGGTGTAAATTTTAGTCTTAGAGCCAGGAAATAAGCTTTTACAATGGATAGAGTCTGCATATGCTCAAGTCTCCTTGAGCAATATGGTTTGATTCATTTTATGAAAAATACAATACTATTAAAGTATGTTCTAAATGTCGCTTTCAATCCACATACTGATTTTTGGCTGTTGTCTTATTTCACTTTTCTTGGGCACTCTCCAAGATTTACTGTAGTAAAGAATGAAAATTATTTCAGACTGAACCCTACTCCTGTAAGTCAGCCCAAATTCCCCAGTATACACTTTATCTACCACTATATTCACAACATGGAGTACAACACCTGACACTTCATTTTAGAAAATATTCTCAACACTTAAGAATTAGTAGGGTAGATGCTGTGGCATACATGATAAAGCCATCGCCTGCAGTGTTGGCATCCCATATGGTTGCCGGCTATAGTCCCAGCTGTTCCACTTCCCATCCAGCTCTCTGCTATGGCCTGGGAATGCAGTAGAAGATGGCCTAAGTCCTCAGGCCCCTGTACCTGCATGGGAGACCCAGAAGAAGCTCCTGGCTCCTGGCTTCGGATCGGTGCAATTCTGGCTGTTGCAGCCATCTAGGGAGTTAGCCAGCAGATGGAAGGCTTGCTCGCTCACTCTCTCTCTCTCCTTCTCTCTGTCTCTCCTTTTCTGTGTAACTTTTTCAAATAAATAAATAAATCTTTAAAAAAAAAAAAAACTAGTGTGTTTTCTCGGTATGCTAAGTGCATCCCACATGCTCTACAGCTGTGATTAATTTAACTTTTACAATCATATAAAGTAGGTACCATGTATCCCAACATAGAAATGAGTAAACAGAAAAGTGAGCTTGAATAATTAACAGAAAACCTTACAGCTGGTAAGAGGCAGGGTAGAGACTTGAAAACAAGAATAACATTTATCCCCCCACCCCAGTTTGGTAAACCCTAAGTAAATACCTGAATGAGTAATCAATATTTAAATGTATGTCTACAGGGCCACACTTCCTCCTAGGGCTTGGGAAATCTGAACATTATGACAAAAAAACCATTGTGGGCACAGTTTTAATAGCTAAGTGTAGAAACTCCAGTTACAAGAGTATACCCGTGGAAAACCCAACTTGGTTTGTTCCTTGCGGGAAAGTCAAATTGAACTACAATGAGTTTTGTTCAAAACTAACCTCAGTCTTTTTATAGAGCAGCCACTACAGTGTTTGAGGGACCCCATTAATGAGCACTCCTCCACTCCTGAGTTCTGAACTAACTCAAAACTAAGACAGAGGATTAAGGCAGCTAGAAATTAAAACACACACAAACCCACCATTATTACCAACTGAGTTGACCTAAGAAAATGTAGTTGTCTTCCTTGAAAGGATTGACTACAGTAGGCATTTATCATTATCATCAATGTCTAAGTGAGAACAGCAGAATACACAAAGTTTCTAAGGGTAAATTCACTCCCAGAAAACACCAGGCAGATGGATCTGCAGAAAGAATATGCAAGTTCTGTCTCCAGTTCATTAACCCAATTAGCGGCTGCACCTTAAGGGAATGCAAAGAAGGTGGACACAGGCCATGCACGTGAGGCCAAGAGTTCGACCCTGAATCTTGGACAAGCACCAGGACAAGGAAGGAATGCTCTTGGCCAACAGCAGCTCTCACTCACAGGGAGCTTAGTACGTGATCTTTAGACGTCATTCTGAGTGTTGACAGTAGCTCATGCAGTCATCACGTGGATTTTAGGAGGCAAGTGCCATCAGTGGCCTCATTCTACAGAGGTCTTCTGAAGGGAATCAGAATAGGGTAGTGTTGGGTCAGGGGTTCAGCCTAGTGGATATGATGCCCAAATCAGAAGACCTGGGACTGTGTTCTGGTTCCAGCTCCCTATTAAAGCAGATCCTGGGAGGCAGCAGGTGATGGCTCATGAAGTCAAGTTCCTGCCAAACTCAGGAGCAATCTGAACTGATTTCCTGGCTCCTGGCTTCCACCTGGAACAGCCCTAACCTAGCCCTACCTATTGCATTTGGGGAGTGAACCAGCAGATGGGAGAGACAGACTTCCTTCCTTCCTTCCTTCCTTCCTTCCTTCCTTCCTTCCTTCCTTTTCCCTCCCTCCTCCCTCCCTCCTCCCTCCCTGCCTGCTTCCCTTTAAATAGATCTTCTCAAAAATAGGGAAATCTTAACTAAGCTATTATACCCCTGGACCTACAAGAAGTCTCAAACACTTTTTTCCTATCACAAAATGCAGGATAATTTTCCTTCTAAGTAGTTCTCCTAGCTCTCTTTTTTCATTCTTTTACAAATGTCAAAAATGACTAGACTAGGGCTGAAATTATCCCATCCCTGTCTTTGAAATTGAAGAGGTTTCGTAAGATCAGCCTACCCTAAAGGCCTCTGACCTGCGTGGTAGTTGAGACCTGCCAGAGTTCCAAAGCTATGTAAGAACTAGGAAGCTGTGACATACTCCAATCATGCACATACACCACACAGCACTGACATTGGATAATGGAGACCAGAGTTCAAAGCCAAGTTCACCTTTCAACCAGTATTAGATAGTGCTATTCAAACCTTTTTGCATTTACATCCCCATTACTGTTGAGACATTCTTCAGCAAGTCACTTGACTTCTATGAAGCTGGTGTGCTCATCTACAAAATAAAGGAGACAGTATTTATCTCAGTGAATTCTTCATTAATGAACGGGAAATAGCATCTATAGCATTTAAGGTAGTGCCTGAATAGTTAGAAAGCTCTCAAAAATTGGTCATTTGATTATATTAACCTCTAATTGTAGAAATATAGAAAAACTGTCTCCATGTTGGTCACTAGTTCTTTAAAAGTTAGGAAAGTAAATTCATGTATTTATGTTTTAAAGCATCATCCAAAAGTTGTGCTTTTGAAATTTATATTTATTATGCAAAAGTTTTCTTAAAAAAGCATCTTTTTATTGAATATTCAGTATTTATTTAGTACTTATTTATCTAGAGAGACAGACCGTGATCTCCCATTCAGTCATTCACCCTCCAAATGCCTGAAATAGCCAGGGCTGGGCCAGGCTAAAATCAGGAGCCCCAAACTCAATCTGAGTCTCTACCATGGGTGGCAGGAATCTATCACATGAGCTATTACTTACTAGTTCACAGAGTATGCCTTAACAGGAAGCCAGGGTAAGAAGCAGAGCCAAGGCTCAAACCTAGGCACTCCTACACGGAACATAGACATCCGAGTGGTATCCTAACCTCTGCACCTAATGTCCACCCAGGAAAGTAAATTTACATATCCTGACACTGTCACCAGCTTACAAATGGGCAGCCTTTATTTCCAATTCAATTCATAGAATGTCTTGTATATGTTATGTACTGGGAAAAATACTGAGAAGAACAAAGAGAATTTATGACTCAAAGAGTTGTTATTTAGGTGTTTTGTGTGCATGTGTGTTGTTGTACTCTTCATCGTGGTGCAAAGGTAGACTCTTTAGTCCTGGGTCAGTTTTACAGCAGTAAGTGTGTATGTGACGTCCTTCCTGCTCTGCCCGTCACCTTACCTTACGCAATCATACGCAAGTTTTATCACCAGTAGCTACCACTTCCACAGCTCAGCTTCTCCATCTAGTGGCCTGTGTAAGACTGAAACTTCCAATTTAGGGAGCAACGCTCAACCTTTCCTTGAATTACAGTGGGCAGGTCATTCCCAGCCATCACCCCTACCCTGTTCAATGCCGGGACCCAAAGAACCCTAGGGGCAACACTGGCACTGCCTCAGCCACCCACGAGGGGGCGTGCGTGTAGTCTGCCCAAGCTGCCCCACCCAGGGTCTGGCGTACCTCCATTCGCACAGGTGAGCAGGCCAGAATAACCCTGCTGGCTGGCTGGACACCTGTCTGCTTCCTGTCTCCTCCACAATGCTGAGACACTCAGGTCATCTGCACCTGGCCTCCAGGTTGCACAAAAGGCGCTGAGGTCGACCAGAAGGGCATTTTTAGATTGGCTCGATGTTTCTCTTGAAGGGAAGATGGAAGCTAAAGGATGGATAGTGCATCCAAGACTTCTTCAGATTCTCTGTTTCTCTGTCTCTAGCATTCTCTTTCACACACACCTCTTCTCCCACACTCAAAATAGCAGACCGTTGATTTATCCTAGTTTGTTTTGTTTTGTTTTGTTTTTTCTGCACAGAGAACAAGCTTCAGGTAACTTGGAAGACATGTTCTGGTGTGCATTGTAATTATCTGGTCCGGAGATGCAAGTGGTTTTAAATGAGGAAGCTAGGGGAAATAGAATAGGGCACCCACAGATTCTTAGAACTATATGCAGTAGACACCCCTAAAGTTTATAGGACCATTGTTAAGAGTTTTATCTCTCATTTCACTTGCTTCATTTCATTTACTAATAACAGGCTTTTCCTGAGTTTGAGATATTCTCAAAATAAGAAAATCTGCCACCCTAACAGCTTTCCTAACTAAATACTTGAGGGACTAGTGGAAAGTATATCAGGGCTACTGTCGTGCAATTATAATGAAAGACAAAATCTCCTGCCACTTTGGAAAACTCTCTCCACCAAAGAGAAGAAATAGAAAATAGCTCCATTTAAAAAAAAAAAAAGCTTTATTTATTTATTTGAAAGGCAGAGTTACAGAGATGCAGAGGCAGAGAAAGAGAGAGAGAGAGAGAGAGAGAGAGAGAGAGAGTCTTCCATCTGCTGGTTCACTCCCCAGACGGCCGCAATGGCTGCAGCTGGGATGATCCAAAGCCAGGAGCCAGGAGCTTTTTCCAGATCTCCCACGTGCGTGTAAGGGCTCAAGAACTTGGACCATCTTCTACTGCTTTCTCAGGCCATCTCAGAGAACTGGATTGGAAGTGGAGTGGCCAGGACTCGAACCAGCGCCCATATGGGATGCCAGCACTGGAGGTGGCAGCTTTACCTGCTACACCGCAGTGCCAGCTCCATTTTTGAGAACACATGAAAACAACCTGTAATGCAGACCATAGGCAACCCCTTAAAGAGATCACTAAAGCACAGCTCTGGCCCTTTACGTCACTAAGCAGAAACAGTCTGTGGTCTACATTTTCTCACAATCAACAACCACTAGGCCTCAAATAAAAAGATGCGACATTTGCCATTTTATCCTAAATTATCCTAATAGTCTTTAAGAAGAAAAAATACACCTGCCGTTCCTTTTTGCCCGAGATAGACGGGCAGTGCCAGGCAGGTGCCAGCTGGAGTTAGGTTTCTGTCCAACCAGCCAAAGGGGGCTATCTTACTTGATGATTCAGCTTCAAAGACATGGCTTCTGTCTCCTCCAGGAAGCACTCCTGGGTTGTTAAAAAGCTTTCCATGTGTTTCAAGAGGGAAACAAACAAGTTTTCTAAAGCAAAAAGAAAAACATAAGTCGACAAGTTTTCTGAAGATTTTTTTAAGCAAAAGAAGACACAAAGTCTCTTCCCTTATTTCAGTCAGGAGAATCCAGCTCATTTTAATTTGTATTTTCCCTCAGCAAACCAGAACATGGTAACTCTATCTTCTGCCTCTTGCCTCAGTTCGGGGGAACTAGTAGCACCCTCTCTAGCACCAGCGGCCCCTCCTTATTCCAAATCCTGTCCCTCTCCAAGGCGGTGACTCGCCACCTCTCTCATTTGTAACCAGATATCATGCTGTGGCGTCCCAGGCTGGGCAGGAGACCTCCGTGTGTTCTGCGTCCTGTCCCAACACTGTCTTGTCAGTATCTGTTGTCCCTGCCAGCCATTCTAGTAGGTGTGCAAAGAGGCTGCGGTGTGGTCCTGATTTACATTTCCCTAACGGCTGTGACCGGCTGTGACCGTGATGTTGAGTCTCTTTGGCTGCAAATTTTTGCTTTCTGTATAGTGGCCCCGGTGAGGGGTCTGTTCAAACATTTGGCCCATTCTGTTCCTGGGGGTTGTTTTTTCATGAGTGGGTTGCAAGGGTTCTTCATAGCTTCTATTTTCTACTACCCTGTGGTTTGACTTTGGGTTAACTTTGTTTCCTCCTCTGGCTATTCTGAGACAAGGTGATTTTATAAACGTAAGCGTCTCACGTGGGAAAACTTGCCCAGCTGGGCTGGTGTGGCACCGTGGGCTTCCCCTGGGACCCGAAGCCCTCCCTGACCCACAGCTTCTGGCTGCGGCCAACAGCGCTGTCCACGCAAGCCCTGGCCTGAGGACGCCCTGCACGTGAGCGCCTCCCGGGCTCCTCCCCGGCCACTCCTTCCTTTAGCACAGGCGCTCTGCCGGCCCCAGCTCGTCTCTCTCAGAGCCACGCAGCGCCTTCTCCACCACAGCAGCTGCTTTGGCAGAGCCCAGGCCCCACGCCCCGGAGGGAAGTGGTAAAGAACCCGAGGATGGGGAACTTTCCACGGAGGGAAAGCCGGTGAGTCCAGATGCCCCACAGCGCGCAGAGAGAGGGGCAGGGCGGTGTACGGCTGCCCCTGGGGGTGTCGGGAATTGGTAAGGGACCTGACCAGAATCCAGTGTCGCATGAAATTCCTTATAGGTGTTGCCTTCTCCCTGCAGTCGCAGCCAGCAGCTGGTAGCCAGGAGCCGGGATGTGAGAACACTGACTTCCTCCAAGGAGGACTTTGTAACAGGGACCGCCTAAGGAACAGAGAACTTTCTCCAGGCCTGGGGAGGGGGTGTGCCTGACCTCTGAATGCTGCACAAGAATTCAGATACCCATCCCTTTTCTCACCATTAAAGTTTGTCTAGGGCCTATAAAGAGCCTCCTGCTACCTCCAGCCTCCTTGGATCCACACTTCTCAGAAGCAGGGGGACAGAGAGAGATCATCTAAGTAGGTGGAGCACTTGGCTTAACTGTCATTTTTGTAAAGATTTATTTATTTATTTGAAAGGCAGAGTTATAGAGGTAGAGAGAGACAGAGAGAAAGGGAGAGTGAGAACAAGCGAGAGAGGGGGGTGGTCTTTCATCAGCAGGTTCACTCCGCAATGGCCATAGCTGCGCCAATCCGAAGCCAGGAGATAGGAGCTTCTTCTAGGCCTCCCATTCGGCTGCAGGGGCCCAAGGACTTGGGTCATTGTCTGCTGCTTTCCCAGGTCACTAGCAGGGAGCTGATCAGAAGTGGAGTAGACAGGACTTGGTAACTTCACCCGCTGAGCCACAGCACTGGCCCTGGCTTAACTGTCCTGAACCTCAGTTTCTTTGTTTTCATTGGAAATCATAATAATACAGTATCCACCCTGGAGGATTCTAGTGTATATGTTGTTAGCATAGTGCCTGACATATAGTACGAGATAATAATTAGAAAATAGTCTCATTTTTAAGGCCATTATCTTCATGACTGTCCGAGCAACTCCTGTTTAAAAAAAAAAGTAATATCACTAAAACCAAGAATATTCCTAGGTTAGAAGGTAGACTGGTCTATAAAAAATGAGCTAGGAGCCAGCGCTGTGGCACAGTGGGTTAACAACCTGGCCTGAAGCACCAGCATCACATATGGGCGCTGGTTCAAGACCCAACTGCTCCACTTCTGATCCAGCTCTCTGCTATGGCCTGGGAAAGCAGTAAAAGATGGCCCAAGTCCTTGGGCCTCTGCATGTGCATGGGAGACCTGGAAGAAACTCCAGGCTCCTGGCTCCTGGCTTCGAATCGGCACAGCTTCAGCCATTACAGCCAAGTGGGAAGTGAACCATCAGATGGAAGACCTCTCTCTCTCTCTCTGCCTCTCCTCTCTCTGTGTAACTCTGACTTGGAAATAAATAAATCTTAAAAAAAAAAAAAAAAAAGAACTGGCCAGGGAGGGTATTTATAGGATTATGCTTTGTGACTCGGTTTCTGCCACTACAAAGTAGAATACAGGAAAAGTGTGTTCCTTGCTCAGAGGAGCCTTGGGGATCGCAAGGATCACTTCATCCCCTTCCTGAGCATCAATGTTGTCTAAGAAATCTCCACCTTGAGTACCCAGAGCCCTTGGTCAGACAATCTTCCACCCCAGCACTCTTCAGCAAAACCAGCGCACTTCCCCACCACACATACGCAGGTCCTGGAGCTGTATCAGACAGGAAAGCAAGGAGTCTCGGCCCCACTCGGAACACTGATAGTCTCAGGGGCACGAGGCGGACTCCTGGACATTTGGAAAGAAGTGATTTATGATCACACGTGGATGGCGGACATTGGAGGAAATGAGTGGGCTGTGGTTGTGGCAATGGAGAGAGAGATCAGATCAGAGATAGACTGGTGTACGCTTAGGAGCGAACATTAACAGGTGCACAGAGGCAATTCCAGGGTTACACACAAATAATAGAAGTGAAGAAAAGTCTAAAAAAATTTAAAATGGGGAAATGGGGGGCCTGAGGAGGAACTCCTTAGTCAATTTCTGATGTGTTGAGTTTTAGGTGGCAGCAGGACACTCAGCAGATGCCTTGGAACCTGAGACTCCAGAACGCCAAGCAGAGAGCATCCAGGTGAGAGCAGACTCACCAGAATCCTTCCGGCCTTTGCCCTGGCAGAAGGAAATCTCTGGGTTTGTCAGCCACCCACCGCCATGACAGAGGTACCTGCTTTAGACTCAGCAGAAGTTGGAACAGTGTTAAATTGGAAGACAGGACAGAAAATAAAGACACTTGGAAACTTTAGACCAGGGATGTGCTAATTTGCTGGAAGTCAAGTGTAACCCCTAGCAGTAAAATAAGGGGTCCTTTTTGCTGCTGTCACTTTGTTTGCCTACCACAAGTGCCTTTGTGCTCAAGCTGCACCCTAGCCATTTGATTTTGAGCCCTAGGTTTCTGCTTCTGAGGTGGTCTCTCTCACATGGGACAGCTGTTGAAAGGTTTATGGAAAGGCTCTTGTGATTATCCTGATGTTGTCAATCAATCCTTTCTGACCAGGCCTTTTGAATAGTCCAGCCCTAAAGAATTTCATAAGGAAGAGAATCACTAAGATAGTCAACTAACATCCCAGGATGCTACATCCCAAAGAGTAGCAAAGCCGGGTGTCCTATGGCCTGAGGAGTTATTTGCACTTTTCTTATAGTTTCAAGAGCTTTTGAAAGGATAGCACCTATAAAATAAGCATTGTGCCGAGGCTCATGAAGACATGATCCTCCCCAACAGGGAGCATTTCTTCAGTGCAACCTCTTTGGGGAGGTATGACTGGGCACATGTTAAGGAATACAGTCCAGCTGATAAAACGTTATGAGAAGGGCCTTGGGCATCAAAACAAGGCAAAAACTGGGTGGACTGGGAGCCTGGGAAACTTTGTAAAATAGACAAGACTCTGGAATCGCTGGCATGTAGCCTGATGTCATAGAGATTTATCTGGTCTGCTTCCTGTAGGTTGCTTGAACCCATCCCAAACCCAGACATCCGTATTGAAATGCAAGGATATGTTGCACTAAAGTTGAGTAGGGAAACCATCCAGCTTACAAGTCACTTTGGCCCACATCTAACTTTATCTGATCCTTACAACCTCAGTTGTAAGGTAAACAGTATGCACCCTCATTTTGTATATTAAGGAACTGGCTCAAAGAGTTTAATCAGTAGCTCAAAATCAACCATTTCCTTTAATTTCATGGTCATATCTCTTCAGTGGAGTTAGTTTCTCAGCATTGGTGTGATTAAGTAGTTCTTTGTGATCGTTCTTGCAGGAGTTGTAAGTCTTAGACTCTCTGTTGCTATTCCGAAATGCCTGAGACTGGGTAAAAAGAACAAAAGCTCATTTGGTTCACAGCTTCGGAGGCTTGGAAATGCAAGAGCTTGGCATCTTGTGAGTGTCCTCTTGCCACAGCATAATGTGGCAGAGGACATCGCATGGCAAGATGAAGCAAGTGTGTTAGCCCGAGTCTCTCTTTCTGCTCTTATAAAGCCACCAGTGCATCATGGGGACACCACGCTCATGACCTCCTCTCATATTTGTTGCCTCTCAAAGGACCCACTTCCAAATCTAGGGACTAAGTTTCAAACACATGAACTTTCAGGAGACACATTCAAACCATAGAAGTCAGTGTGGCTCAAAGGCACCTGACGCCATTCTGACGAAGAAAACCTGTAGTTAGGGCCTCTTGGCCCTGAAGGCTGTGGTGAATCACAGACCGGAAAGGTCATCAGAACGCTTATCCAAGGTCAAGGTCCAGTAAGCTGCTCCTCTACTGTCCCTTCTAAGGGAACCCTGTGGGAAGATGCTTTTGGATGGTGTTTAATTTTTTTGTGGTGTAAGTGGCCCAGGTAGTACTGTATAAAATGCTTCCCATTCAACCACATAGTCCATTGAGTATGCCTCAAATTCAGAAGGATAGATAGGCAGACACTTAGACTTTAACCTGGAAGTCTGACTGCAGAGAGATGCTAAGACTTCCTGACTTAAAAAGGATGTCTCCTATTTAGCTTTGCCACTGCAGTCAGTTAAGGTAGTCAATCTGCTTGTCTCCTACAGCAGTTGGAGCTGCTCTGTTCTTGGCTGCTCATTCCTCATTCATATCTCCTTCAAATATTTATTGAAAACACATTTGCCACGTGTCGAATATTGAGGCACACACTGGTGATTCATATCAATGAAAGAGATAAATATGGTCCCCAACCTGGTGAAGCACATGTTCTTGTGTAGGGCACAGGCACAGGAGCAGACAATCACAATATAGTGTAAATACAAGAAATGCAGGGCTCAGTGAAATCCCACACAGTTTTTGCCAAACTCATACTGAGAGAACTGACTTGTAAAATGTCCACACACTTGAACCTTGACTTCTTGTTGGTCACTCTTGATCACCTCTTCATCCCCAGGGGACCAAGGGAATCACTGGCCTTGGAGATGAGCAAACCCTTTCCCCTGGCTGGAAACCCAGCAGCAAGTGTTTATGGCTGATTAGGAGCTGGTAGTACCGTCCACATCTTAGAAGGCCAAAGGCATTCTCTCATGGTGGATGTGCCCTGGGACGAACGCTTGTTTCAGGAAACAGAAGGTTTTTCTGCAGAAATGGTGACGGGCAGGGAGTCCCCTTAACAGAGATGCAGAAACCAATCTTGTGATTCAGTGTTGTCTCTCTTGGGTATTTTAGATGCTGGAATCGCCACTTCGCTGAAGGGTGCTTCTGCCTTCCGTGGTGAGTGGAAAGTTGTGTTTAGGAGCTATTTCCCCAAGTGTGGTTTCGATGGGGTATTTTCTGTAAGTTACCTGTGAACTCTGGGCTGCCTGTGGCCATGGTGGAAGCCAGTTGGAGCCCAGTCACAGTCACCTGAGAGTCAACCAGGGAAGCGAGCCATCAAGTGTGGTGAGAAACAGGAACAACGGTCTCATGAGTGGTGCACTCTCCCGAAACAGGAAGGCCTCCGAGGCAAAGGCTGCAACTGGCTGCCAGCATGCACACCCAGGAGCACACATTTCTGTCTCTCCTACAGAGAACTGACAGTCACTGTGGTAATACAAATTGTCACCCAAACTGGAACGCCTTTGAGTGAAAGGGGTGCTAAAAATAGTTCATCACTGCTATGCGATTGACAATGACATTGACCTAACTGAGCAAACCAGGATATTCCCCTTAAGATGAGAGAGATGATTGATAAATATAGGTAGATGGCATTTTTCCAGGGGGTCTTATATACAGAATGCTCTTATGGAAGGTGTGTGTGTGTGTGTGTGTGTGTGTGTGTTGGAGATCACAGATTAGGACTGGGAACAAAAATAATCTGAGCTCCTTCACTGACAAACTGAGAGTTTGTCAGGAAAAAAAAAATCATTCAATAAAGTAACCTATAGGATCACCACAGTTCTCCATCTATGAATCAATTCCATGTCAGATTCACAAAAGGGATGAGGGAGGAAAGAGAGAAAGAAAGAAGGAAGCACAAGAATATGTATGTTTCCACCTAGCCTTCTCTCTCATTCTTTCTTCTTCTCTATTCTCTGTGCTGAAGGAGGTGCTGTAAGTGGTATATAACTTTAACAAGTTGTGGAGTTTGTTCACCGCTTCTGCATATCGAAACAACCAACTGACTGTCCCTTCCTTCTACAGGAAAAAAATATGCATTTTCAAAGCAAGACAAGATTCCCAAAAAGAAAGTAAGTCATTGCTTTCCCATCATTTTCCCTTTTGAGGGAGGGTCTTCCATTCCCACGCCGCCCCTTCTCTGTGCATCCCAAAAGGCATGTTTCTGAAGGCCCAGCGTTTCGTCATACTTTGTCCAATCGCATAAATGTCTTCCCCACTGGACGGGGAGCTCATTTTTTTTAAATATTTATTTATTTATTTATTTGAAAGTCTGAGTTACACAGAGAGAGGAGAGGGAGAGAGAGAGAGAGAGAGAGAGGTCTTCCATCTGATGGTTCACTCCCCAATTGACCGCAACCGCCAACGCTGTGCCCATCCGAAGCCAGGAGCAAGGAGCTTCCTCCAGGTCTCCCATGTGAGTGCAGTGGCCCAAGGATTTGGGCCATCTTCCACTGCCTTCCCAAGCCATAGCAGAGAGCTGGATCAGAAGTGCAACAGCTGGGGCTAGAACCGGCGCCCATATGGGATGCCAGCGCTTCAGGCCAGGGCAGTAACTCACTGTACCACAGTGCCAGCCCCCGGGGAGCTCATTGAAGCAGGAATTGGCTTATGGATCATCCAGTTTCTCAGTCATCACCTGAGGTCTGGAGGCTGCAGGGGTTGACTGGCGACAAGAAACGCAAAGGATGGAGGCAAAAAGCAGTGATGAGAAACAGTGAAGGGAGAGAGGACACGGAGAGCACAGGGCAGGGGCAGGGCCTCCTGGCCAAGTTAAAGGTCGGGGCTTTGTTTAGAGAGCCACTGGAGGCACGGAAGGGCCTTGCAGCATCAGCTACAGTCAGATTTGCATGACAGGGATCAGCCCAGCTGCAGGGTGCAGAAGAGATTGTCGCAGGAAAGGCCAGAAGACCACCCAGGAGGCTGGGGTGATGGTGTCCAGTGACAGATCAGTGTGGAAGTCAGGGGGAGAATTCCAGACAAGGAGGGTGGTAATAGTAAGAGACAGACAAAGAAAGGGTAGGTCTGAGAATGGTCCACTGCATTTCTGAAGAAAAATGGGGGAGGTTGGCTTTGTCTTCTTGGGTTTAGTGATAGCCTTGTTCATTCACAGCGAATCTTAAAAAGCCAGCCTTTTGGGGTACGGAAATGAGCAGTACAGCCCTCCCAGCCCTTGCCATTTCACCCCAGGGAATGGTGGTCCCAGGAAACCCTAATCTCCAGCAGTGTAAAATGTGATAGAAGTAAAACCTCTGATGCTAAAACTCACAGACCCTTGTCTTGGAATAACATACACAGGAGAGTATGGAAGTGTTGAGTCTGGGATGTTGGGACAGAGGGAACGGCAATCCATATAGCACGTGGTCCCTACGCAGATATGCCCGCCTCCTGTGTAGCATCCAGTGAGGGTGCGTGTCTGCGATTAAGGGGCAGATTTGGAATAGAAGAGCAAGTGTATCCAGCCCCTTTGCTGAACGACCAAAGCCAGCTAACTTTAAGGAAGTTGGCTTTTGAAAACCTGGCCTGCACGTGTTTGCATCTACCAGCAGGTGGTGCAGGGATGGGAATGTTCAGCCCCCGAGTTTCCTCTTGACAAACTTTTCCGGAGCATCTTGTAGCCAACTCCTGCTGCCCACAGTAGAAATAGGAGCTTCCTCTCTGTGCGCTGGGTCTCCCGGAGCCCCTGTCTGCCTTCCATGCCAGCCTTTGAGCCCCTGAGGACGGGGACTGAGGAAGGAGTAGGATTTCCTATCTAAAGACTCACACTATGCCTCCCTCCACCCGGCCCCTCAGCCTGTTCCTTGCTAGGATGGACCGCGACTCCCCAGGGATGTGCTATGAGTCAGAGGGGCCACAAGGGGGCTACTCCCGGTGCTCCTGGGCTCCCCGGCTGCTTATATCCCAGTCCACTCTGGCTCCCTTCAAATCTCCCCAGGACCTGAAATTCACTGAATGTTTCATTTTTTTTTTTCCTCCAGATGAAGGAATGTCATCTGCTCCCATCCAGGTAATAAGAACAGCCCTGAGCCTTTTCCTGTGATAACCATATGGAGAAGTTGCCCTCGGAGGCACCTCCTGACCCTAACTTAGAAGGTAGACTTAGATACCAGTGCTTAAACCCTGGGGCCATGTCCAGGGCCTGGTGGCAGAAGCAGCAGCACTACTTCTGTTGCAGAATTTACTGAATGCAACAACCACGTCCTAAGCACCTCCTGTATGACCAGCCACGTGCTGGGTCACGTATCATCTTACACAACTGTTACAACCACCGTATACGATTGGTGCTGTTATCTTTACCCCATTTTACAGATGAGAAAACTGAGAATAAGCGATATTCCCCCAAAGCCAGACAGCCTGCAAGAGGGCGGAGCCAAGATTCAAAACCAAAATCTACACACCTTCCCTTGTACTTTACTGCATTGCTTTTTATCTCCAGAAATTCCGGCATGAGTGTTTGCTTCTTTTTTTGGCTAGCAAATATCTCCAGAATGGGTAGCTAAATATCGTCAATCAATCACGTTAAGTATCGTTAAGCGTCATCAAAGTGTTCCCTTTCATGAGAGCAGACTGCCCCAGCGTGATGAGACCTTGGGAATTCTATGGGGTGGCCAGGGTCACTCTGGATCCCAGGGCTGTATACCCTGGCAACATGGGTACTCTGGCTGCCTTGTCTAGTAGGTGGGAGCAGTCACTTAGGAAAAAAGGCCACAAGATGGAGAGGAAGAGATCGTGGGGCCCGACCTGTGTTGAGACTGCAGCCTCGAGGGGAATGGCAGGGGGCCAGCTCTCACTGACACCTGCCCTCTGCCCGCAGGAGAACGGTGAGCAGACCCACCCGGAGGAGCTGTGCTACATCCTCATCAACCACAGGGTCCTCGGGGCGAGGCCCTCCGGCAGCTCTGCGGAGGAGTACTACGAGAACATCTCCCACCAGCCCGGGAAGCCTCGCGAGACTCCGGCGGCAACCGAGACTGAGTACTCACTCCTCCGTGTGCCCCCCACCCCGAGGCACCCACCTTCCCCGGAAGACGAGTATGAACTTCTCATGCCAAGCAGAATCCCCTGTCACTCCCTGCAACAGCCTCACTCGCGGATGGCCTCTTTAGAGACGTCGGTTTCCTGTTTACAATGAAGGGGTTGGACGGGCGCTCGTCTGGCACCAGCAGAAGCAGGCGTGGGGTGCAAGTCTGGCTTCCCCCAGCAACCTCTTCTGCGGAGCATGGTTTGCAAGCCACCAGCGCCCCTTATTTCCTACTCAGTGCCCCGCACCCACAGTTCAGGCAGTTATCCTGAACCCGGCTGTTTAAGAAAGCAGAGATCCTTCTTTGGTTCCAAGTGGGTTTGGACGTGCTCAGTGGTGGGAAAAGCTCCCTGGTCCCGGACAGCAGTGCGCACCACCTAGAGCCCCACTCTTCTGTTAGGGTGCGTACAGAATACCCCCATGGTTGCTCTCTGAAGTTGCGTGGAAGTTCATCCTACAAGCATACCCAAGGGGGAATTCACTCATCATACCGACCCTGCCCCTCAGCCCCCCACGCCCCACCCACCTCCACCCCCAGCCTCTGAGCTGTGTCCTTTCCATGGCCTGTTTCAACTCATTGGCCTCCCTGGCTTGGATAATTACACAGGGGGATTTAGGAGGTGCTAGTGCAGCTTTTCGTGTAATTTTAACCCGTAGGTATTTCTTCAACTTTAAATTTCTCCCTGTGAATCTCTGTAAAACAATCACAGCACCTGAGAATGGAGCAGAAAGGCCTTTTGAGATCCTTCCCTCTTATTCTCCTGGGTCAAAAAGTATGATCTGCCCAGAGATATGTTAAGGTTAGAACCTGACATCCTGGCTTTTGGTTCAGTGCTACAATATACTACACAGAAGAGCCTCCAGTATTTAGTAAATGTCTATGTTGAATAGTACTATACATAAAATATGTATAAGATGTCCCCCTGAGGAAAACAATACACACACACACTCAAACACCTTCTCTGATGAGTACTTCTCTGTATGCCTAGATTACGTAGCTCCCCTCATGTTTTCCTTTGTGTTGCTAGGATTCTGTCTATAAACCAGCAGTCAGCAAAGCATAGCCCCCAAGTCCAATCTGGACCACCACTCATTTTTATAAATAAAGTTGTACTGAAGTTCAGCCACACTCACTCCTTTACATACTGTCGATCATTAGGCACCCAGAAGAAAAGCTTGAAGATATCTCCCCATATCTCATAATGTGAGATAAACTTTTATACAGATGTGTTTGGTTGTTGGTGGAACCCCTAAGATTGAATAAGATTGGAGTTGATGAACTCAAAAGTCTTCCATAGCCTTGGCAACTCATGACAAGAGCCTCGGGTGATTACTGATGCCATAAATAAGAGTGTCAATTGTTAAGTCAACAACAGGAGTCACTGTGCACTTACTCCCCGTATAGGATCTCTGTCCTTAATGTGTTGTATTATGTGAATTAACGCTATAACTAGTACTCAAACAGTACTTTACACTTTGTGTTTCTGTGTGGGTGCAAACTGTTGAAATCTTTACTTAATATGTACTAAGTTGATCTTCTGTATATAAAGATAATTGAAAATGAATCCTGATGTGACTGGGATGGGAGAGGGAGCGGGAGATGGGAGGGTTGGGAGTGGGAGGGAAGTTATGGGGGGGAAAAGCCACTGTAATCCAAAAGCTGTACTTTGGAAATTTATATTTATTAAATAAAAGTTAAAAAAAAAGAAGTGTTGAGGAAAGTAAAAAAAAGATGGTATGAAAATATTAAACCACAAATTAGATGAGTAAGGCTGAGGACAATTAGCAATTGTTAGACTATTTCTGTATTAGACTATTTCTGTATTCATACGTGTTTTCAACCTGCTGTTTTCCTGAACTCACAGCCACCGTCCTAGTTTTAGGGATGTTAACATAGAAGTTGGTGAGAAGCAGTACGTGTATTGTGTGTTTAATTACTGTTTGATTAGGAAAGCTCATCAAAGCGAGATAACTCTGATATTTACAGTGTACTCAGAGACCAGTGAGGATAAATGCAGAGACTCGGGTAGGTTTGTGCCACTGATGGTCTTCAGCTAAAGAGCCGATCACCTCGTTGTGTCTTGTTTTCTGTTAACTTCCTACCTTTAGCAATCTTCTTTCACATGGAACCCTGACTGCGACCTTTGGCCAGGATTCATTCAGGTTTCAAAGGAGGTGCATGTGGTAGCAGGACAGGGAAGACCATGCAAGACTTAGGGGAAGAGGGTGGCCCAACAGAGAGAATCTGGGACTCAGGTCCTCAGCTGTCTCTTTCTCCTTCTGTGATCTTTAGCCTTTTACTTGGAAGTTGCGTTTTTTCACTCATAAAAAGGAGCACTGCGTCCAATTTTTGCAAATCATCTATCACAAACCCCAAGTAAATGATGAAAGAGTAAAGAGAAACAAAATTATTTTATTACATGGAGAGAAAACCATGCCAAAGGGTCTGGTGATCCAGCAGTCCTCCAGATACCAGACTGATTGGGTGCATGCTGTAATTTTTCACATGGATACTGGACCATTGTGGAAGTCTGTGGGTTGAATTAGTCTTAGGATGGGGCCAGCGTTGTGGCCCAGTGGGTTAAGCAGCTGCCTGCAAAGCTGGCATCCCATGTAGGCACCAGTTCAAGTTCCAGCAGCTCCACTTCTGATCCAGCTCTGCTAATGTGCCTGGGAACTATTTGGACCCCTGCCACACAGATGGGAGACCTGGATAGAGTTCCAGGCTCCTGGCTTCAGCCTCATTCAGCCTTAGCCATTGCAGCCTTTGGGAATTGAACCAGCAGATGGAAGATCTCTCTTTCTTTGTGTCTCCTTCTCCCTTACCCTCTCCAAATCTGCCTTTCAAATAAATAAATAAATTTTTAAAAAAGGAATAACCTTAGTACAACATGATAGTTACATTTCTTTGAGCTTTTCCTGTGAAAGAATTTTCTGTCCTGAACAGAATTTGCCTTTTGTTAAAACTTATTATTTATGGCCAGTGCCGCGGCTCAATAGGCTAATCATCCGCCTTGCAGCGCCGGCACACCGGCTTCTAGTCCCTGTCGGGGCACCGGATTCTGTCCCGGTTGCCCCTCTTCCAGGCCAGCTCTCTGCTGTGGTCCGGGAGTGCAGTGGAGGATGGCCCAGGTCCTTGGGTCCTGCACCCGCATGGGAGACCAGGAGAGGCACCTGGCTCCTGGCTCCTGGCTTCGGATCAGCGTGGTGCGCCAGCTGCAGCACGCCGGCCTCAGCGGCCATTGCAGGGTGAACCAACGGTAAAGGAAGACCTTTCTCTCTGTCTCTCTCGCTCACTATCCACTCTGCCTGTTTAAAAAAATTTTTTTTTAATTTTTAAAAAGCTGAACACAGGAACACTTGATGGTTCAGCAATAAAAAAACTTATTAACTTATTATTTATAAATGTTTAATCAAAGAAAGTTGCTCATACAATTAAAATACAGGTTTTATGAAAGGGAATTATTTTTGAGCAGGAGAGCCCTTTGAGAGTGCTTCAAAATAACTACTATGATGTAAACAATTATAATCTGCCTATCAAAACTAAAAAACTAAAAAATTATGAGAATAACATTACAACTTTAATGTACCTACAGTATAGGGTATTTCATTTTTTTTAGAAAATAAATTTCAATGCCAGAAAAAAATCCACTGTCTATATATAATGTTGATCCTTCCCAAACATGTAGGATGTCTCATGCAAGTCATACCTGTCTTTGATGAAAATGCACATTCACACATTTGATTCAAGAGGTTAGAACGGAAACCCCTCAGTTAAAAACTCCCTGTTCTTGATCAAGAAACTGAGCTAAGCTTTTATTGACACAGGTCACAAGTCTAACCAGAAAACTTGCCCTCCTCCATGCTGGTCTTAAAAGTGTACAAACAACCAGAATTCAGCAGCACAACTTACGCAGCAACTGTAGGCTTTGTGGTTTCCGTTTCCATTCATACTAGCATCTATAAATATGCCCTTAATCTTTGAGTAAATTTTTATTTAAAACAGAAGAGAGAAGGAGGAAGAGGGCAAAGAATCGATGGAGACATCTACTACTGAGAACAAGTTGAAATGCCGATGTTTTGGGGTGGCAGTTGATGCAAATATTCTCAGGGGTGAAAGGAAATTGGCAGAACAGAAAATAAAGTGACTCTTCAGGACTTCCTAGGAACCTAGAGAAAGAGATTCTGGTTACAACGATGATTCTTCTTAGCCTAGCCTCCTCCTGTGTTCAGAAAGCCACTTGGTCTCAGAATACCTTGGTTCTGCCAGCCACTAAATGGAACAGTCTAGTCCCCTCCCTGTCTCTTAAAGAAGGTTCTTTTGCAAGGTGAGGTATTGAGTGATCACTTCAATCAGATAGCCTTCCACCATCTGATGGCCACACCTCTCAATCCACTCCTTCCCCCGCCCACGTGTGCTCCTGGTGGATTCCCACACGTCACCCAAGCCTGCACTGAGCACAACCCTAGGGTGCCCTGCAGGGGTGGATGCTATGCTTCATGCTAGGTAGCTTGGGCTTTGCCCCTAACAAGCTATGGCCCTCAGGACTGGTCCTTCCAGCTCTCCAGGCCTTGGTTTCCCAGTGCTGTCTTTTGATGGTGAGCGTCTGTGCTCTCTAATCACCAAGGAAAGAGTAAAGCACGTCTGTGCACAAAGCTGCCAGCAATGCAGCAATAGTGTGAGTTATCGCGAGCAACGAAATAGTAATGGGAGAAGAGAGGACTTGAAAGATTTCTCCCATTTTTCTTAGCATTGATCAGACTCTGAATAGGGCAGGAGTTCATGTCCAAAGTCCACATCTAAAAGGAACAGGAGAGAAGAAATGAGAAGATGCACACATGTGTAAAGGAAGACAAATCTGCTCACTGCTACCCTACCAGTGCTTCAGTGTGCAGCTGCAGTCCCACTTCCTACACAAAGTCTTCTCCAGCTGAACTGTATGCTAAGACTCTTCTCCCTGACTATCCACAGCCCTAAGCTCATCTTTAGATTGCCTGCTGTTTCCTGTTTCATCAGTGCAGGTCCTGACTCCCCAGGAAGACCAGCAGCTTTTCCTTATTGTTTTCTTCCTCACTGTTTACTCTGTAGCTTCCAAAGAAAACTCTTCTTTAAAATAAGAGATTTATTTATTTATTTGTAACTCAGAGTTACAGTGAGAGGGGGAAGGGGAGGGAGAAGAGGAGAGGAGGAGAGGACTAGGGGGACGAGGGAAAGGAAGAGGGAGAGAAGGAGAGGGAGAGGGAGAATCTTCCATCTGCTGGCTCACTCCCCAAATGGCCACAATGGTGAGGGCTGGGCCAGGTTGAAGCCAGGAGCCAAAAACTTCTTCTGGGCCTCCCATGTGTGTGACAGGGGCCCAAGTACTATGTCATCTTGTGCTGCTTTCCCAGGTGCATTATCAGGGAGCTGGATGGAAAGTGGAGCAGCCAGGACACAAACCAGTGCTGATAGGGAAGCTGGCGTCACAAGCAGCAGTGTAACCCATGACGCCACAACACTGGACCCAGAACACACTTCTTAAAAAAAAAAAATCTATTGAACTAAATTAAATTGAAAGGCAAAAATGAACTGCACACATGGCTTAAAATTTTACTGGCAGGACAGGGCTTGCTGTCTCCATGCTGTCTGGCTCTAAGCGGCTTCCAGCAAAGAGCAGTTTTACTTCTCAAGTCCTTTAAATCTGTTGCAGCCACCTGTTGCAACCTTACCACACGCCGGGCATGATGCTCATCATTAAGTATGCTGACTCATACATCACTCTCGCAGAGCTGAGCACCGTATATGCCAGTGCCATTCTCCCCAGACGTCTCAGAATGCGGTAGTCACAATGACTGGCTATTCCCACGCTGCTTGGCTGAGAAGTTAAACCTACGGAAAAGTCCTCTCTATGACTTGCAAGTGGTCGAATGCTCAAGACAGAGTGCTCCTCCCATCTGGACGCTTTCCAAAGCAGGGAGAGAGAACCAAACGAAGCCAAATCCTGCCTGTGGACGTGAACAAGCCCTTCCTTGCAGGTGCCCGGTTCTGTCACAGAGGGTCTTCAGAGCAAGTAGAGGACATGGATGGCCTTTCTCAGCTCCCAGTGCAACAGTGGGGAGAACCCATCCCACCCTCACCCACTCCAGGTCGATCTCACTCAGAAAAGGAAGCTGCCCTCTGGGGGATGAAAGACTACTTCCAATCTCATTCACTGCAAGAAGATGCAGCCTCAAACATGGCCGCGGAGAGCCAAGATCCGGGAGGTCAGTGAGAACACAACACACAGCACGGATGCAAAAATAATTTATTGTAAATGTTTTAAAATCATTCTCTATGAAAAATGTTCATTATTTTCTGAAAAGTACAAATACACTAAGACTCATATTTGACATGTAAAAAAAAAATAGAGGAAGAAGGTAAATTCACTGGTTTTACTAGTTTAAGGAACCGTACTTAAAATGAGACAATGAGTGCATCTTCCAGTTAAATAAGAAAGCAAACTAGTCCAGACTAGCCCAAGGCATCCACTCTGACATACCCACACAGCTGCCACTCACACTGACTTCTCCCCAACGCTAATTATTAGGGATAGGACCTTCTTCTTTTATGACCACAAACTCCTTCTCCTGATAACTTCCAGCAAAGCAATTTTCCCAACAAAACAAATACTCTGTCTCCTGATTTGTAGACAACGAGTAACATTGTTAATATTCCTCCTAGCCCCAAAAGATATGGCATTAATCTTCCAACAGCTTATCTCAAAAGGAGGAGAGGGGCCCTCCTGTTTCGGGACCATCTGTAATGAGACACACAATCCATCAAGAGCCGCTGTTAAGGAGTGTGAATGATTCTCTGATGGAAGTTTATGAAAATACACCTGGGGTGACCATCCAAAATCACGACAGTATCCTCAAAACTCACAGGGACTCATGTTTCCATAAGAGGTCTTCGGGAGTCATCAGAACAGTGATGAGATGCAAAATAATTGTGAATCAGCAATCTTATTTCTAGAGCTACACATATCTACAATACAGGGACATTGGTTGATAGGCTTAAGGCTGACTTTCCAAGACACCCAAGTACAGATCATGGAAATAGACACAGCTATGCCGTTTAAGTCTTGTGAAATACCTTCTTTTCCTCACCCACAGGCTTAGAGGTAGATCAAGTGCAATGGCAGAGGGAAGGGGAATTTCACAGTGATCAGCTCGGCGCTCCCTCCCCCGGCCACCTGCCTCTCCCTGCTCCTGCAGCACAGGCTAGCAGATCTTGCCTGCAAGGAGGCAGTGCACCGCCTCAGCACTGCAGAGAAAATAACCACGCGTGGGTGGAGGCAGCCGGTGCTTGGAGAACAGCAGCCTCAGACTGTGGGGTCCATCTGCCTGCCCCATCCCCTCCCAACCGCTTTCTGACTTCCTGCTTTGCCAAGTCTGGACCCAGTGCTCGACCAGGGGCAGGGTTTGGAGCTGTTGTGCTGGATGTGGAGCCAGACTTCGTAACTGTACAGAATCACAGACAGAAAGGACAGTTCATCCCCTCTGGCCAATGCCAGCTGCTTCTACATGAATCCACAACAGAAGGACTTCTCTTCCTCGCCAGAACTCAATGGCGCTTCACTCTGAAAAGAAGACAGAGACGAACAAAAGTCACTAATATTTAAAATCCTGATTAAATGTTGATGATTTCAGCTATGGGGTTTGAATATAAAGTCTTATCTAAAACTGGAATATTGTAACTCCTAACAGAGGGAGTTTACTCGCCAATCAATGCATACACAGACACACGAACATACACAACTCTGAACACTTTTCAAAAGGCGGATAGCATATATTGTTTGCTTACTTGTTGGATACAATGCAAGAAAGATCATCCCGATGAGACTTTATAATTCAGTTCTGTTTAATAATTGAATCATACTAGTATCTCTATAATTCCCGCCTTCTCAAATGCATACGGTACATGGTGTGGGGAATTCGGCTGAGGGAGACGCTGCAGAGCAGTGGCCCAAGTGGAAGCTCTGACGCAGCTGCACACGCGAACCTGTGGGCTGTGCAGCCACATTCGCAGCTGACGGTCGGGCTGCATGACTGCGATGCAGAGCTGCCCTATGTGCACGGCCGCGTGTTGCGTGGAATCCCTGGCTTACACCTGGTAGGTGCTCGGTTCTCATACGCTTTCAACTATAAATGTCGCCCGGTGTTGCCAAATACCCCTGGGAGGTTTTCCTTGATACTACAGAAAGCCTTGGAAGGGACAGAACACCCATGCTCGCTTGCCAGCTGACTCAGCAGTTGAGCCAGAAGTGTGCCAAAAAGACCCACTCCTCACTGCCTGGAGTTCTTCCTTTTCTCTCTCACATATCATGTGTTTGCTCTTTGCCCCGACATTGTCTACTAGGAGATCCCTTCCCACGTGAGAAAATAGTACCAAGGACCTCATCTGTGTCAAAATAACTCATGGTACAGACTTCTGTGAAAAAAGTCTGACCTTTGTGAAAGAGAATTTCCCACCCATTCATAAGGTGAAGAGTCACAGGGTGAGAGGTGGAGGGTTTTAGAAATCCCTTTATAATGACATGCTCAGGGTCTTTTTTATTTTTATAAGGCATCAAAATCTTCCTTTAGCCAGATCAAAATCATCGCTGCACAGCTGTCCCTCAGTATCTACCGGGGATTGGTTCTAGCACCCCATGAATGACAACATTCACAGATCACAACAGAGATCTCAACACGGATCCCTACCTGGAATGGAGTAGCATCTGCACTTAGCCCATGCACATCCTCTTGCATCCTTCAAATCACCTCCAGATTACTTATGCCTACCACAATGCAAATGCTATGTAGATAGTCGTCAGGCTGCATTGCTCGGGGAATAACAACAAGCAAAGAACCTCTGTACGTGTTCAATACAAATGCAACTTTTTTTGAGTGTTTTTTCAACCATAGTTGCTTGAGCCCTTGGATGTTGGACCTGAACAGGTGGAGAGCCAACTTTATTCCCATATCCTTATTAGAAAAGGCAATTGTATACACACACACACACACACACACATGCAGACCCCTCTGGAATCCACATCACAATTTGATGCAAGGTCCTGCCTCCAAGGTGCACACAAACGAACCCCAGTGGACCACAAACAAGGCTTCTGGGGAATCCTTGGAACCCCTGACACTGTGCACTGGGAAGAGCAAGTGCTTTTCTTCTTCTCTGGGGAAAAGGCACATGGCTGTCTGGCTGTCTTCAAATTCTCTAAGGGGCCTATAAGCCAAGCAATTTTAAGTATCTTTATTCTCAGGGGCCAGTGTTTGGCGCAGCAAGGAAGAAGCCACGTGGGATGCCTACATTCTACACTGGAGTGCCTGGGTTCAAGTCCCAGCTCCACTCCTGATTCCACCTTCCTGCTAATGCAGACCCCAGGAGGCAGTCGATGGTGGCTCAAATGATTGTGTCTCCACCATCCACATCAGAGACGGGTTGAGTTCCAAGTTCCTGGCTTCCGCCTGGCCCAGCCATGGCTGTTGCAGGCATCTGGAGAGTGAACAAGCAGATGGAAGAACTCTGTCTCTCTGCCTTTCACATGGAAATTAGAAATGGATTTTTAAAAATACTTTTGGAGAAATCTTTGTTCTCTGAGGAACTGGAACATTATCACTGTGGGAAACCAGTGGCCAGCCAGCCATGAGGGTGGGGGTGCCCGCCACCAAGTCCTCAGCTCATGCAAACATGGGAAACCAGCCTGAGAACCCCCTGGGGCCCTGCCAAGGCCTCGCTGCCCCTGACTGTAGGATTTGCCCTGGGGCTCCTCCCCTCTTCACCTGCCACCTGCTCTGGGTCTCCCGTCCTTCTTCCCACTGTCCCTGTCACCCCTTCCATTGGACAGAGGTGGAAACTCTGACCCTGAAAACGTCAAATAGCTCATGTACAGCACACTCCCACCCTGAAAGGGGGGACGTGGTGGCCATGAAAACCCCTAGAGAAGAAGGGCCTGGAGGAGTCTCCAGAGCAGCAGTGAAGTTTGGGTCACGGCCACGGCGCTGTGGCTAGGGGATGTCTCTGCGGCTCCTGGCCGAGCCCTGGTCTTCTCGGGCTCTCTGCAGGCCCCACAGCAGCCTGCCTTCCAGCAGGCCCTTGTCACCCTCCACCAAGCTCCCTTGCCTCTGCCAGGGAAGGGCTAGGAGCACAGTTTTGGAAAGGAGCCTCAGGAAATCAGGACAATCACACTTGTGATTATTATTATAGGCGACGGCTCCTACAAGCTTGGCAGGTCTCTTCACCCAGGTGGGGCCCAGGTTCTCCTGTGTGTCTGTATGAATTCCTATGACTGGAGCCATAAGTCGTGCCACACACGTATGTTGCCTGCCTGGCCCACGCACATGCTTGCTTTATGCAGGAAGCACTGGGAGGAAACTTTTCATTTCTGAGCTTTCCCAGTGAGCTAAAGTTTCGACTTCTGAAGGGCATTCTTTTTATCTGTTTGGGAAATTTAAGCTTCAGTTCTGCTTTATACAATCCCTTAGGACAAGAGGACTTTTGCTTTCACAAGCACAATCTCAGGGCCAGCGCTGTGGCCTAGTAGGTTAAGTAGGTTCGTATCCTGGCTCCTCCACTTCTGATCCAGCTCTCTGCGATGGCCTGGGAAAGCAGTGGAGGATGGCTCAAGTGCTTTGGCCCCTGTACCCACATGGGAGACCCTGAGGAAGCTCCTGGCTCCTGGCTTTGGATTGGCCCAGCTCTGGCCATTGTGGCCATTTGGGGAGTGAACCAGCAGATGGAAGATCTCTCAGTCTCTATTGCTCCCTCTCCCTGTAACTGTCTTTTGAATAAAATAAATAACTCTTAAAAAAAAAAAAAGTCCCTTCTTATCCTGGGTGGTACTTTCTCATCTTTCTTTGTCACTCTTCTGGCCCTGTACTGCTGTCCCTGCCGCTAACCGCATCTCCTCCTGATTTACATTTTTCATTCATTTAACCAGTATTTATCAAGTACCTACTAATGTGCAGGAGAAGTTTATGAAGGATTGCATGAGCAAATAAAATAGCTGAGACTGTAAGCACCGCAGGCTACACAAGAGCCAGCACACCTCCAAGGGTGGTCTCCGAAGTGAGAAATGGACTAAAATCAGAAGTAGAGGCCACAGCTTCCAAGCAAAACACTTTGAAGTCTTAAAGCCATTGTGCCTTCCTCCTTTCCTCTTTGTTAGGTTCTGTGCAAGGTGCTGAAGGTTTCCCGAGTCTGACAAATGGGGCGTTTGCTAGGTTAAAAAATAACATCAATTTTCTCATTCAGTTCTTAGTTTTAAAAGTAAATGAGTAAATTTCTTATAATTTTCTAAGGAAAGAAATGAATTTGTCTTTTATGCCCCTCTATTAATTTCTTCAAGGACTCATTGGCTTCCAATAGAAAAATAAAAGGGTTCCCTGAATTGAGATGATTTCTGAACAATTTTGCTATACTTCTTATGTCAAATTCTTCAATGCCGGCTGCTCTTGTGAGCCACACTATTTCCATGAAGGCTGCTAATGATGTGGCGAAATAGGATGCAGGCTTGCAAAGAGGGTGAACTGCAACAAGCAAACATTCAGCAATCTTCCTCACTTATATTTCCAAGATTGCTTTTCCAGCTACGCTGTCTGCCTATAGTAGGCAGGGACTATGTGAGGAATGAAGGAAGCACTGATCCATTGCAGCTTCAAGTCACCAAAGTTGCCAAACCAAACCCATCCATCTACCACAACCCGTTCACCAGCTGATCGCTTCAACTCTGACTTCCTTGCTTGTTCTCCTTACCATAGAGCAAGAGGGATGTTGGATCCAGGCCCAGACTCTCACAGCCAGATACATTCTGATCATGGAAATCCTGCAGCAAGATGCCCAGCACCAACTCCTCATTCATCATATACCTCATGAAGGCGTCATCTTCCGAGGGAACCCCAAACTGCAGGTGATAGGTCACCGTGGCATTTTCACCACTGAAAGGCAAACCAATGGAGACGTTAAAACACATCAACAGAAGCGCAACACGACTCAGGAAATCCACATGGGCAGTAAGTTTTGCAGTTCTGTGTGTTCTTCGAGTAGACAACAGCCAAGGTGTTCTGTCCAAGAAGAATCTACTTCCATGGGTCCATCCCAAGATGCTGAAATGGACACTAACCTTCTTCCACACCTGGTACCCAACCCAAAGATGCCCACTGAGAGAGTCATTGAAGGGAGGAGAGACATCATGAGGCCCCTGTGGTCAGGGACTATTCAGGGGTTGATGTGCCATCAGCCCCAGTCTCTGCCTTTTATCCCTTCCAACAAGCCAAGAAGCCTGCCCTGTTCTCTTCATATATTCCCTTCCCTGAGTCTTAGTGCTGCCCCTACAAGTGCACCTCAGAGCTATGCAGTTTAACCAGTTCTTGACCTAACCCATAACATGTTTAAGGTAGACTCCAAAGCTCCCTGCCACTGGCTGGCTCCAGAACTGAACACAGGGTCCACCCTGTGTTCACCGGGAATTGCCCTCCCTAGGTTGTTCCCAAAGTGAGAACCATTTCTGCCCCACTTTCATTTACAGAGGCCCCTCAGGCAGAAAGACAAAGCCTTGTGGACTCTCAGTAATGGACTTAAATAAAGGAGTTCACTTCTTTTCGAACATGCTTTTCCCATTTCCAAAATAAAAGTAATCATGGGGTTATTCTTGGTTAATTACTAGCTTAAGCAGCTTGTTAAATGCTACCTTAATATTTGGGTTTTTCGCAGTCATTCTATTATGTGGGTTCAAGGTGGCCCAGATTAAGAGCCTGTAATAAAGTAATTAACAGGAGATCACATCTGAGACTTGCACCCAAGGGCAGCTTTTACAGTAGCACCAGTCCCAGGTGTCAATCAGCCCACTGCTCTTGGTAAGGATGGGCAAAGAGCTCCCTCTTGTGGTCAGAGGTCACATAGGCCAAAGTTCTTACACTGGTGTGACTGACAATTCAATTGCTATTTATAAATTCTATTATGCCAAACCCAATAATACAGAATTGGAACTTGAAGAAACTCATAGTTTCAAAGATGTCACTACAGACATGCTGGAAATTGAACTTTCAAACTGCATTCCAGCTGCCCTAGTTTGCAGGTGTCATTATTTGTCCCCTGAGGTCTACACTTGAATTACTGCTAATGATGGTCAACGCCTCCACCAGGCAGTCACTCTGCATTCCCATGGCCAGGGGCTTGGGCTGGCTGATGACAATAGCCAGGCTGGCTCTCAAAAGACCAAGTCAGAGCTGAATGAGAAGATGAGGTTGCGTGACTGTGGCCTGGCTGGCCCTTCCCAGTCTCAACAGACCAGCTCCCTGGGTGAACTGACAGACATGAGGCTGAATTCTGAGGGCAGGAGAGGAACGTTCAGGAAAGCAGTGAATCCTGTGGACTTTGCCCTAGCTGCCCACCACTGGAGTGGGACTAGCAAACAGTAAATCAAAGAGCACTCCAGGCCACTGTTGGACCAGTCCAGGAGTGAGGTCAGCGCCCCCTGTAGACACAAACAAGCAGCCAGAGGTGTGGGGATGCAGGGGTTCCCAACCATGTGTGACAGCATCTTTCTGGAGCAATGGCTTTGGCTGATGCATTTAGCATTTTAGCAATTCAGCCTAAACTTTTAAAAAATGAAGCAAAAATGTTTTCCAGAGATAATTTCTTTATCCAACAGAACTAAACTTCCTGAGGTTTTCCTTCAAATAACTTAAAAACAGATTCTCTAACATTATGTGTTGATTGGATTTCTAGCCACATTTTCTGATGGACTTTTCCCAATGTCTACTCCACCCCGTTACATGATCTCAGCTCCTCCAGGCCCGTAAACTAAGGTTGGACTCTTGGAGCGACCCTACAGACTCTGCCATGCTCTTCTGCAGTCTGTGAACTGCAAGTTGGGGCAAAAGCAAGGAGGAAAGTTGTTGAGTCTGATTGTGTTTTTCCCTTCTCTGCTGCACCTCCTGATTTAAAATGAACAAATGCCAAAGATGTGACCATCGACCACTTGTATCTTGGGAGTCTGCAAGGTAGCCTGCCAGTGTACATGATTTCTCACGTCGGGTCTGTTTTGGTACAACAACCTGGTGCTGCCACCTGCTTTACATGTTTCCTCTCCCAGCTCTACCAACACTGGGGTTAGGACAATGGATGGTTTGAGAGTGGAGCTCAGGATATAATACAAGCTTTGATGGTCATGTTCCAGAGACATGTTAGGTAGAGTGGAGAATAAGGCTTTGCCATGTAAACCTTGTTTAACTCATTTCCAGGCATCCTAATGGGACAAAGGGATAATGAAATGACTCCTATACACTTTTTCTACACCATAAGAACATGAAAGATTAGGAAGGAAATTAAACAACAAAAATATGTGTCTAGGGGCCGGCGCTGTGGCATAGTAGGTTAAGCTTCCACCTATAGTTCCAGCATCCCCTACCAGCACCAGTTTGAGTCCAAGCTGCTCCTCTTCCAATCCAGCTCTCTCTGCTGTGGCCTGGGAAATCAGCAGAAGATGGCCCAAGTGCTTGGGCCCCTGTACCCATGAGAGAGACCTGGAAGAAGCTCCTGGCTCCTGGCTTCGGATGGGCCCAGCTCTGGCTGTTGCAGCCATTTGGGGAGGGAAACAGTGGCTGTAAGACCTCTCTCTGTCTCCCTCTCTCTCTCTCTGTAACTCTGCCTCTCAAGTAAATAAATAAATCTTTTTTAAAAAGTGTCTATATACAGGTATAATATCTACAGTAAATATATACAACCCAGAACTCACACCAAATTGTAGATGGCTGTTAACTTTTTAGAAGGGAATACAAGCAGTTATTGATAGTGACGGTGAGAAGAGAGAAGGGAGAAGGTAGACTTTTCATGAAATATGTTATCTTCATGTATTTGATACGAAGCAAGGAGATGTTACTTCTGTATCACTTGCACGCCGCAAATGCAACAGCAGCACATTAAGAAAAAGCCAGCACATAGAGTCCATCAGTACATCACATCCCCACCTGAGACCCTTTTCTACGTCTCTCCTTAGCTTATTTGGGCATTTGCTGTTAAACAGGAATAATTTACCTGAGACTGGCTTTTCCTCTCTCTGCCTGACCTTGGTTGAATCAACCTGGGCTGCTTTATTCTCATTTGTAAAATAAGGGGACTGAGCTACCTGGTCCCAAAACACTCACTTGGCACTGACACTGATTCTAGCATTGGCTCCCTGCATGCAAAAAGACTCAGGGAAGTCCTTCCAGGTACATGGTGGCCAGGGCGTGGGGGGTCGGGAGGGTGTTCTTTTCAGAGGCAGACAGACCAAAATGTAATGCTCCATGCTCTCACCTGAAGTCCGCAATGTTAACCGAAGTAAAATAACGATGCAGAGATGGTGAAGTACTGTACAGATCTGTGAGCTGAAACAGAAACAAAACCACACACATAACTGACGGATCATATCGCACGGCACTTGGCAAAGCTAAGCTGCTTCTACGCACAGGGCTTTCCACTCCAGCTAGGCATTAATTCAGCTAGAGCCTCTGAGACAGGAAGTAGGAACATGTGAGCCCGCCACGAGCCAGAACTCCAGCCAGCAGTCATCAAAAAGCACCTCACTTATAAGGACTGAGCGACTCGGCCAGGCATTCTCGACCTCTCTTCTAAGTCGCGTGGGCCCCTGTGGCCTTTGTGGACCACCCAGTCCCTGGAAGGGAAAGAAGGCCCTGGAGATGAAGACGGCAGCACAGGCCACTCAGAGCCCGGACATCAGCAGCCAAGGGTTTCTTTCTCCCTTCTCCAGAGCTTCTCTGTCACGAGAGAGAGCCACGTCTGAGAACAGAACTGCTCCAAAGGGACCTAGCAGGGAATGGCAAAGATACGGAGGTTTTTCTGTACCCAAGAAAACGGCAAACATGATGAAAAACAATGACACCTGTGTTCCACTATGACTTCTGCTATGCTGGACAACGCTCCTCAATGGATGACGGGTCTCAACTGAGCCATCGTAAATTGGAGATGCGCATTCCCTGATGACACATTTACTGACGGTTACTAGAGATATGCATTCACCTAACCCATCGAGCATCACGGCTCCTCGGCTCCTCGGGGGCTGCCTTGCACACTGCTCTACAGTGGGGCAGAGCCACCTAAACACAAAGCCTATTTCATAATAAGGAGGTGAATGTCTCATCAAATAGCATCCTGGCCGTGGGAAACATACTGGTGGCACAAGCATGCTTTCATGTCATCACAAAGTTGAAAATTCTAAGTTCAGTCATAAGTCAGGGGCCCTCTGTGTGGGGTCCAGCCCTTTATTTTAAGAAACCAAACAAAGCCAAAGCCACTCCCATACCTTATCTGGCTTTCCTCCCTCCCTCCCCTAGTGCTAATGAGCATCCTGAAACTGACCTGCATCCTATCCTTGTACAGTTTTATAAATTACTACTTCCATACATCATCATCCCAATGTATCACTTAACTTAGCTTTTATTCAACTACAAGGTACTAAACTCTAAGATTCTCTCTCTTTTTTTTTCCTCAAATTTCACATTTAGGCATAAGATACATATCAGTGAAGGTCACTCACTCCAGCTACTTCACCGACCTCAGAAATGATTTCACCAGGTCATTCAGTCCGCTACTGATACTGACCATTGCTTCCGAGGTCCCCCTTACAAATTACGCTGAAGGAATTTGTCCTGGACCACCTCTCTGCAGCTCTCCTTGGCCATGTAAGTTTCCCTTGGCTGTATGCCAAGAACTTGAGCTGCTGGATCCAAGGGCAGGCATGCCTGCATGTAACCAAATCTTGCCAAATTGCTCACCGTTTTCCTCTCCTCCAGCAGTGCTTATTTGCTCTATTCCCCACATCCCAGACTTTACAATTTCTGCCAAGTCAAGGACATAAAATCATGCTTCACCTTGCTTTAATTTGGACTGCCTTGCTTACTAATGAGGCTGTACATCTTTCTAGGTGTGTATTAACTTCTCGGGACTGCTCACCTCCAAATTGCCTATTCATTTCCCTTAGGTTGTCTGTCTTGTTCTCTGTCTGAAATGATTGCTTTTATATTCTGGACACCAGCTACTGGCATTATGTTACAAAATCTTGTCTCGAGCCTTGGTTAGTGTTTTGCTTATGTTTTAGAGATAGGAATCCTAACCTAGCAGCACCGAGAACACAAGGTGAATGCACTTGCCTCACATTTCTTTTAAATTTACATTGGAAGCTTAGACATCTTGTTCCCTAGCAGGTGAGCTCCAGCATAAGTCAGAAAGTCTGTACTGGGATCTAGTTATGCCTCCCAGCATGGCCATGGCCATGGGGCTAGAGGGGGGGAAGGGAAAGGGGAGAAGAGGGGAGGGGAGGGGAGGGAAGAAAGGCAAGGGAAGAGGAGGGGAAGGGAGGGAAGGGGAGGGAAAGGGAGGGAAGGGGAGGGGAGGGGAGGGGAGGCAATTGTGAGTACTGGGAAACTTCAGAAACTATGAAAGCAACTTCCACAGAGGAGGGTGCACGTGCTAGACAGACAGAGGTTTTTTCAAGCACCAGAAATAGTAACAATAAAGACCATACTCAACAATGATGCCTCCCTCTTCCTTTTGGACTGAGCGCCCTGAGGCAGGGATTATGTCTCCCGCCCCTTCCAACCTCTTCTGCTCCCTTCCCCCCTCCCTCCTTCATTCACCCTCAGGGGTTAGCACTGTTTTGCACACAGTAGACTCTCAACAGAGTTTTCAAGTCCAACTTTCAAGTTCAAAGGTGGAATGGATGACTTTGACCTCTGTCAGTGTCTGCTCCGATTCTACTCAGTAGTGTGCAGTGTTCATAGGGCTTATTCATGTTTGCGGAGCTGTCAGTCACGTGTCTACCGTGGGCCCAAAGACCTGAAGCAGGAGCTTCATCTCTCCTTGGTCATTGCCTCCCACACTGCTGATGAGGCTTGGTGCCAACAGAGACAGGAGCCCAGGGAGCTGACGGGCGGGGGTCTGATACTGTGGCTAACTGGCTAACTAGAAGCCAGCTTCTGGAGTGACAGAGGAGGCCTCCCTAGGTTATTGGGAGACCTTCAGTAACTGCTAACCAAGCACGGGGTGAGGGGCTAGGAAAACAAGGCACACTGTTCAAATATCGTAACTCTCTTTCCCAATTCCTGACACAGAGCTTCTAGAACCCCTATAATTTCCCGAGTAATAGGGGTGCTGGGTGCATCTTCTGTTCTAAGATTTGGTCATTGATTCCAGCTCCTGACACAGGGCTGTTCCTAAACCCTTGGAATAGGAGTGCCTTCCCTTCTGGGGTGACCCTGGCGAGCTCCTGGGTGGAGGCTGGGCGCCAGGCACGTTAAGCCATGACACTAAGAGCTGATCCTTCTACACTGCTCCCACCCTCTAAGGAGGAGCAGGGCTGGAGAAGGATGTCCACAAGGAAGACACCGTAAAAATCCCTACAATACTATGTCTGGGAGCTTCCATCCCTACCTCAGAAGACAGATGCCCCTCCTTTGCAGCTATAAAACACACTGTGTGAACCTCAGTAATAGAACACACCACACTGCTTTTTACCTTCCGCTTCCACTTGGACTGTGAGCCCACTGAGGGTGCCAACTTTGCAGCCCTGGCACTTGGCAGGGTGTCTAGCATATCATAGACCCTCAATGTACACTACATGTGGACACAAATGGAAGACCAGAGTACAAGGAACACTGTCCTCCCGGAGCCTTTTCCCTCTGAATTTGAACTTCAGAAAATTGTGCATCAGAGCAGGTGTTTAGAGTAGCAGTGAAGAGGCTGGCACTGTGGCACAGAGGGTAAAGCCCCAGCCTGCAGCGCCAGCATCCCATATGGGGGCCAGTTTTTGAGTCCCAGCTGCTCCTCTTCCAATCCAGCTCTCTGCTATGGCCTGGGAAAGCAGTACAAGATGGCCCAGGTCCTTGGGCTCCTGCACCATGTAAGAGACCCAGAAGAAGCTCCTGGCTCCTGGCTTCAGATCAGCTCAGCTCCGGCTGTTGTGGCCCACTGGGGAGTGAACCAGTGAATGGAAGACCTCTCTCTCTCTCTGCCTCTCCTTCTCCATGTAACTCTGAATATCAAATAAATAAATCTTTTAAAAAAAATAGAGTAGCAGTGAAGATACTTGGCATTCCACATTGGAGTGTCTAGATTTAATTCCCAGCTCTGACTCCTGAGTCCAGCTTCCAGCCACTGTAGACCCGGGAGACATAGTGATGGCTCCAGTAATGGTGCTCCTGCCACTCACATGGGACAACTGGATTGCATTGGCTTCTGGCTTTGGCCCCAGCCACTGCAGATAATTTGAAGAGTGAACCAGTGGATGGCAGCATTCTCATTCTCTCTCTCTCTCTCTCTCTCTCTCTTTCTCTCTCTCTCTCTCTCTCCCCCTGTCCTTTTATCTCTCTGCCTCTCAAATAAATAAATAAATAAATAAAGCAATAATAATATCTCACAGAATGCTAAAAAAAAATAAAAGGCAAAATATGGCATCAATTTCCTAAAAAACCCAGACAAGGAGTCCCAGCTACTTACTCCCTAGCTCTGCCAACTGTTCCAGCAACACGCACGTTCCAACATCAGGAACCCAGTAAACAATGAGTGAGACATAATTACCCTTCTAGTGAGCAGTTGAGGCAACTGCTCTTCAGTCATGCAGTCCTCTGGAATCTTCAGCATGATGAAGAACGTTTTGTTTGATGACAGTTCAAGTATCTCATTTTCATCTTCATCAACATACGTTACTAAAGAGAGTGGGCAAGGTGGAAATAGAAAGTCAACACAGCTGCACAACATATCAAACTTCCTTGTTCCCTTGGCTGATGCAATTAAACACACCGTTGAGACCTCATGAAGGACAGAGGTGAACACAACAACCAAGTATACGCCGAAATGCCTTCTCCACTCGAGAAAACTGAGTAACCGACAGACGCCTGCCTCCCCCATCATGGAAGCTGTGTTTGTTTCATGTATGCCAAAGGAGTCTCATTGCACCGAATACAGCCAAGGGGAGGCGGGAGGGAGGGAGGGCGTGGGAGGAACATGATTGTCTGCCCAGCTGAGCCTGCAGCTTAGCTCTGTACACTGGTGTCAAGGCAAGGGCTGGGGGACAGTAGAGGGAAGGACATGGATGGTGCAGGCTTGGGGGTGGGAACAAGCGACTTGGGGGAATCACCTTCCAGTCCTGGGATATCACAGTTGGTGAGAAGTGAGAAGCTGACATCACTGAGGGTAAAAGGCAAGCGTGTGAGCCCACGTCTTGAAGACGGGATGGGCATGCAGACGTGGCGCTGGGCCACATTGCACAGAGGAGGAATGTAGATGCACTCTGTTTGGAGGAGGGAGGTCAAACTGCACTCAGCGCTGCAGGCTGTGCAGGAATGATGTTCCCGGACAATGAGCTCTGCAGCGCTGCTCAGTTCCAATGACGGCTCGCTAATTGGCTGGCAAGCAGTTAGAGCTGAGGCAAAACCACACCGAGTCAGGAGCCAGGAGCCACAAACTGGCACTAGCTGCCGAGTTGCTCCCCTGGCTCAGTGGCTGGCACATACAGAGGACCACCTCTCTGACCCTGAGAAAAGCGTGGGTGGGAGGAACCAGGTGCTCCTGTTGCCATAGGCTTTTCTCTTAAATCCCATGCTTCAGCAGCATCATCAGCTGTTCTGGACTTTGAAGAGGCCATAGGGGAATAAACTCAGCATTGATGAAGAAAAGAAAGGCAAAGAGAAGTAAGAATCCTGCTACTGATTCCTCGAGGAAATCTGCAAATGGGAGGATAGGGACAAGGAACATGCAGAATGGGTTTAAGCTTGCAGGTCTGGGATTTCTGCTCAGTGTTGGCTCCTGGCTGAGGTCTGGGAATCTGGATTTGGGGAAAGGGTTCCCATCATGCCCTGACAAGGTGACTCACCATGCCTCTGCTGTTTGTACAAACAATGTGGCTGCTGATGTGACTAACTCCCAATCAAGAACCTGGGCACCGAATCTATAGTGTGCTGGCTAAGTAAACATTTCACATGCGCTGTCACAACCTGTTGTCAGAGCAATTAAGAGAGCCCTGTGCAACTCCACTGGGAGAGGACGCCCCAACGCTTGTTCCTTCTGGATTTCACTCTCATGAATATTTTTATTTAATGCCTCCTTGTGTTGCAATAAATCGCAGTCATCAGTCTGACTGTGTGTCGAGTCCTGTGAGCTCTCCTAGCAATTCACTGAATCTAGGAGAGATCCTGGGAACTCCAAACTCAGGGAACGATCCCTGAGTCCCTACTGCTTGTAAGTCATTACATTATTTTGTCTGATAATAAAAGGCATGCCCTCATAGCAGAAAACTTGCAAAGTACTGGAAACTGTAACAAACACATACACATACACACACAATCCTTTAATTGAGTCGTTTTCCCCAGTACTTTATATCCTATGCCCCCCATATATTTTTTATTATAAATCTGAGGTCTTAATGAGTGGGTAGTTTGTGTCTTGCTTTTTGTAGTTGCTTATTGGTGTGGATTCTTTTTTTTTTTTTTTTTTTTTTTTTTTTTTTTCTGACAGGCAGAGTGGACAGTGAGAGAGAGAGAGACAGAGAGAAAGGTCTTCCTTTGCCGTTGGTTCACCCTCCAATGGCCGCTGCCACTGGCGCGCTGTGGCCGGTGCACTGCGCTGATCCGAAGGCAGGAGCCAGGTGCTTCTCCTGGTCTCCCATGCGGGTGCAGGGCCCAAGTGTGGGGAGCAGGGCCCTGTGGGGAGCAGGGCCCGTCTCCCGCAACATGGCGAAATAAGTACTGAGACTATCGAGACTAGACTAGACCACTGAGACTATTGAGACTAACTCTATGTGCCTGATCTCCCACCATATGGCGCTGAGAGGGAGTAAACAAATCTTACACAGCTGCTTCGTCAATTAGCTGATTCCTGACCCAACCTCTGATTGGAGGAGAACAGCGTGCTCAGCACGTGGGCAGCAGAGCACGGATTGGTGGGAGAGGACTATAAAGGCGAGATAGAAGTGGCGCGGGGGGATCCGCTTATGTGCCGCGAGGCGCCGCAGACATCTCACACCATGCGCCGAAAGAATAACAAGAATGTGGACACACACCAAGTGGAATGCGGTTAGAATGCAGTTAGCACAGGAGCAAGCTTGAGCGCACAATGCAGAGTCATTCGCTTAAACAACAGGGTCCGGTTGGTGTCGTTCTCCCGCTGAGCCCGCAGAGGAGCGACACCCAAGGACTTGGGCCATCCTCCACTGCATTCCCTGGCCACAGGGAAGAGGGGCAACCGTGTTGCAGTTGATTTCTCAACAATGTTGCAGTGGATTCGTTTCTGAGAGGAGGAGCATGGTGGGGGCAAGAGGCACGGAGTCACCACACAGACCCCAGGAGTCGGGTGAAAGCCGGCTTGAGGCAAGCAGCCCAGAAACTCGTTTATTTCAGTTGGTATAACATCTTATACAGCCAAGACCAGCCAATCTGGTCAAGGGGAGGTCTATGCCCCAACCAGTCACAGCCTGCTGCCAGGCAGGCTCCATTTGCCATGTGAGTTTCAAATCCATCCAATCACAGCCTGTTGCCAGGCAGGCTCCGTTGCCAGGTGGGTTTCAAAGCCATTCCTGAGTAACTGATGCTCGCTTGCCAGTGGCGACCTTGGCATGGCCTTCTTATTCCACCACAAATGGGGACAGAATCCAGTGCCCCAACCAGGACTAGAACCCGGTGTGCTGGTGCCGCAGGTGGAGGATTAGCCTAGTGAGCCGTGGCACCAGCCGGTGTGGATTCTTCTGTTGTTTTTATCATCTCAAAAGCACATGGTTTGATATTTCTTATAAAGATCATTTTAGTGGCTTCACACTGTTCATATTAGGTTTATTTTCTTAAATCTGGTATTGTTTCTTCAGCTTTCCACTCTTATAAATAAATAATGCTGCAATGGACACATCTGAGCTCAATAACACCACATGGATTTCCACAGCAGATATCAATACCTCAGAAGGAACTGATCAGATCCTGGCTCCTTTGGAGCCGGTTGGTACAAGAGGCTTAGGAGGAAGCAAGAGGCAAGGTCCAGATGCAGATCCCTCCAGAAGTTTGCCAGTGAAAGGAGAGAGGGGGAAAATATCTAAATGAAGTAGAAGAAGCCTGATGGAAGACTGTCTTAAAGGACATATGATGCTAGCGCCTTTGAAACATTGAGAAGAACCTGAGCATGCTTAGAAAGAGGAGATATCGAAGGTCTCTGGGTCAGAGAAACCTGGAGGAGGCACCATGGAGAGCGCAGCTAAAATGGTCAGTCTTGGGCAGGTGGAAAAACACTGGAGATCTGAAAGGTGAAACTGCAACGCAACTTCAAGACACTGGGTCTACGGAGGTTCAATTATGTTCCCAAGGACCTTGGCAGCTTACAGACTGTGAATGCTGACAGCCTAGGATTTTCCCGTGAGTCCCCGTGTACTAGGGAGCACTGCCCTGTAAATCTGTCAGTCTGCCAGGACCACGTGATATGCTAAGATGCAGCTCTTCCTCCCAGAAAACAACGCATCCACTTAGCACCGCGTCACTTGGGAAGTCCCTGCTTACATCTCAGTACCGCAGCGTTCCCACTCGAAGCAGGACCTGTAAACTAAGAGACTAGATGGGCCAGACAGGATTCAGGGGAACACACTGGAAGAGGATGTCACGTAAGGGTCCCCAGAGTGTCCTAACTTTAAAACATATTTTTCAGCATCCACCTACTCGTCACAGTTTGGTTTTTGCAATATTCAGAATATCTTGCCCAAACCAAACAAGAGTTTCATTAATAAGATGTTATGCAGGGTCTCTCCCCTCCTGACTAGGATGAATTAATGAAGAAAGGAGAGCCCTTGACGATGCCTAAGTGGTTCTATAAATTATCCAAAAAGAGAATAATTTTGAGACAAAAAAAAAAAAGACTTTTTCAGAGAAGCAGGACCAGTGCTATGGCGTAGAAGGTTAAGCCTCCACCTGCAGTACTGGTATCCTATATGGGAACCGGTTCGTGTTCTGGCTGCTCCACTTTTGATCCAGCTCCTTGCTAATGTGCTTGAGTAAAGCAGCAATAGATGGCCCAAGTGCTTGGGCCCATGCACCTATGTGGGAGACCTAGAAGAAGCTCCCAGCTCCCGGCTTCTGGCTTCTGCTTGGCACAGCCACAGCCATTGTGGCCATTTCGGGAGTGAACAGCAGATGGAAGATTCTTTCCCCACCCCCTTCTTTTTCCTCTCCCTATCTCTGCCTTCCAAATAAATAAATAAATATTTTTTAAAAATTCAGGAAAGAATTTTTAGTGAGGATAGGACAATGCCATAGGTATAAAAAGAGGTGGAACAGGGACTTCCCTCTGACGGTCCCAGCTTCCCCCAGAGGAGCTCTGTGGGCGCTTCAGAGATGACAGTAAAATGACTCAGCAAAATAATCACAATATTAGAATCCTACAAGTAGCTGCAAGGCTATAAAAAATCTGACTTCAGGGGCTGGCGCTGTGGTGCAGTGGGTTAAAGCTCTGGCCTGAAGCGCCGCCATCCCATATGGGCACCGGTTCTAGTCCTGGCAGCTCTACTTCTGATCCAGCTCTCTGCTGTGGCCTGGGAAAGCAGTAGAAGATGGCCCAAGACCTTTAGCCCCTGTACCCATGAGGGAGACCCAGAAGAAGCTCCTGGTTCCTGACTTCAGATTGGCTCAGCTCTGGCCGTTGCGGCCATCTGGGGAGTGAACCAGCAGATGGAAGTCCACTCTCTCTCTCTCTCTGCTTCTCCTCCTTTCTCTGTGTAACTCTGACTTTCAAATAAATAAATAAATCTTTTAAAAAATCTGATTTCAAATTCTTTTAATAAAAAAAATTTTATTTTTTGAAATTTTTTAAAAAATATTAGAAGAAAATATAATAAAATATTAACAGCATAGATGGCTTTTATGAGCATCTGAACATGTATTATTTTTGAATGCAAAACATTTTAGGTAATTACCAACTTTTCAGCCTTCCCTGGAGGCCTAAACATTGAAGGGCCGAGTTGCCAAGTAAAATCAATGTATGCCCTTGAGCCAATGTTGTGGTGCAGCAGGTTAAGCTCCCACCTGCAATGGTGGCATCCCAAATGAGCACTGGTTTGAGTCCTGGCTGCTTCACTTCCAATCCAGCTCCCTGAAAATGTGTCTGGGAAAGCAGCAGAAGATGGCCTGAGTACTTGGGCCCTTACAAGCACATGGGAGACCCGGATGGAAGTCCAGGCTCCTGGCTTCAGTCTGGCCCAGCCCCTGCTGTTGTGGCTATTTGAGTCGTGAACCAGTGGCTAGAAGATCTGTATATGTTTGTCAGTTTCTCTCTCTCTCTCTCTGTCTCTCTCTGCTTTTAAATAAAATAAATAAATCTTTGAAAAATAAGTAAATGTATTATCTTGATTTTTTAAAAAAGTTTGAAAAACCTCTCTTACATATTATCATACACTAAAGCACAAATTTACAATCAAATTTACAATTTACAATCAAATTCAAAGTGAAGGGGCTGGTGTTGTGGTATAGAGTTACCCATATGGGCACCAGTTTTAGTTCCAGCTGTTCTATTTCTGATCCCACTCCATGATCCCACTCCTTGCTATTGGCCTGGGAAAAGCAGTAGAGGATGGCTCAAGTGCTTGATCCCCTGCACCCATGTGAGAGACCCAGACGAAGCTCCTGGCTTAAGCCTTGGCCCAGCCCAGGCCGTTTGGGTACTGAACCAGTTAATAGAAGATCTCTCGATCTCTCTCAATATCTCTCTCTCTCTCTCTTTCTCTCTCTCC